ACGCCGTACGGTGCGTACAAGAAGAACGTTACAGTCAATGGTGATCAGTATAGACCTATGATTACTAACTCATTCGTTCCTGAATTGAATAACCAAGATGTCCAGGAAATGTGGTTTTTTATTGAAAGACACGTTTGGTGACCGCCTAATTTCACGTTTTGGAACTGTGAATTGGCCTCCAAGATCTTGTAATTTAACACCGCTAGACTACTTGCTGTAGGGCTATGTAAAGTCATTGGTCTATGCGGATAAGCCACAAACGCTCGACCATTTGAAAGACAACATTCGCCGTGTTATTGCCGATATACGGCCACAAATATTGGAAAAAGTCATCGGAAATTGGACGTTTAGATTGGACTACATCCGCGCCAGCCGGACGGTCATATGCCAGAAATCATATTTAAAATGTAATGCCACAAGATTATTTTTCGGATAAATAAAATTCATGTCAATCGTTGTTTCATTGCAACTTAAAGTTCTATACGAAAAAAAACACCCCTTATAATGGTCCTGCGACTGCACTTATATCTTTAGATTACTCGGCTTGACCATAGACCTATGTGCGCCAAATTGAGTTTTTTGAAAACTACTTAGCTAACAGATATCAGAGAGTTACTCTTGACAATGTAAGTACTGAGTTTCTCCCTGTTTCATCAGGTGTACCGCAAAGTTCCGTCCTTGCATCTATATTTATACCTGCATCGAATATTGAAATTTGCATTCGTTTGTTGATAAAACTCATCTGTTTTACTCCTACGATCTTAAATTATTTGATATTGCTTCAATTTATTTGGGTTTGCATAACTTATTTCTATATTCTACCAGGCATGATCTTCAACTTAATGCTAAAAAGTGCAGTGTAATATTCTTCTCTCCTAAAAATTGAACAAGTATCCCAAACATATTTATTAATTAACGGTAAACGTTTGAAAATTGTGAATTGTAATAATTGGAATCTTTGTTGGTAAAAAAGTCTTATTTGGTTTTGCGCCATTTATACATTTATATAATTTCAGTTTACGGAAACTTTTAGCTCAGTCACGATTATGAACTATGGTTTGGTCCTTTATTACCCATGTCTAGATAGTATTAATAAAAAAAATTTAAAAATTCAAAACAGCTGTTGCTGATTTGCCACAAAATCCAAAAACTGGCTAAAAATTGACAGTACTTTCAGTATATTCTGGCGTCTATCGTATTCCAAATTATTAGCACATCCAATCCGTCCTACTTACGAGTTAAATTACAGCTTCGTAATGTTCAATCAGTGGCTTTAAGGCACCCCTACAGACTCTCCCTGCCGCAATATCGTTTATCTTTTTTGTAATTTTTAATAGTATACCCCCAATCAGTAAAATCACATTCAATTAAATTCTTTAAAAAATATTTCAGGTTGAAACTGCTACCTCTCAAATAATTTGATTTTCGATGTTACTTTTTTTATTTTAAATTTTAACAACTTCCTATCGTTTTATATTGATATTACATTTATCTATTATACTATATTTAATTTAACAACGTAATTATAACTTCCTATTTAGTTTTCAATTTAAACATTTAAGGGGTTAAGTGGGGTAGCTTTTGCTAGACTTCCCCTCTTTTCTACTATATATTTGTATATAACAATATACAACAATAAAGGCAAAAAAAGTTCGTGGTCAAATTTATTTGAACTTTTTGAGAACCCGCTTGCCGATTTTATTGGAAAACGTTCCTTTGCAAACGAGAACACAGGAATTTTTTAGACCCGACTCAAAGTGTTGAATGGGAAGCGGCACTTTGTTTCCGTGGCCCGCCAAATCTGCAGACCTTACCGTCCCGGACTTTTTTATCTTTATAAAGACGTTTAGTTTCAATCAATGTTGCTGTTTTAGCATTATCGATATTTAGATTCTATAATGTTCGAATAAACTTGTTAATTTACAAGCGTTGTTAAGAATGTTAGGAATATTTTTGAAAATTTCAATTATTCGCTTGATTTAGACTATTTTTTGCAATAGAAAATCGAAATTTTCAGTAGTTTTTAAGAAAAATGAATTTTTCAATTTTTTTTGCGGGACATCAATTCTTTGGAGAAATGTATTTTTTTTTACACCTGAAAACTAAAATTGGCAATTTAAATTTTCAAGTGTAAAAAATACGCTTTTTCAAAGACCACCGTGTAAATTTGGTACAATTTTGGCTGGGACGCTTGAATTTACGCAATTGCTCAAGGTTCCAAGCCTATCCCAATACACGAAAGGCAATTTTCCATGAGAACGATTTTAACGCTTCACCACGCATAAATCAGACGTTTTTTAGTACGCGAACTTGGTTAAAAATAGATTACGATAGAATTTGTCGCGCTTAAAACAATCTTCCGCGCTACAAGCGCCCCCTGTCGGCATTTTCGGTGATCGAGGGCGAAGGGCGGGACCCCTCGCGCGCTGGCCGACCAATCGGCTCCCGACGAGGGCCCGTCCTTTGAATAAAATTCGGTTTTCGCGTTTCGACGCCCGCGATGGGCGGACGCCCTTCCGTAGGGTCGATAAAGGGGAGACGGCGCCCTGCGTCCTTAGGACGTGCAGTCGCGATCGGGCAGTCCCTGGACGCACACGGGAAACGGGAAAAAGTGCGAGGCTGTGATTTTTTTTAAGTATGATCAACGCGAACAGGGACGAAAGGGCCATCGAGATGTTCCGGGTGCCCCCGATTTGCCTGGACGACGTACCCGAATTGCTGTTGTGTGAGTTTTTTTTTGAAACGGTCGGTGCGATTTGTGATGACAGATGTAATTGTACAGTTGTACTTCGCATTTATTAGTGCTATACTCAGAAATCATTCAACCATTCCAGAATATTCCTTAATGGCATGCGAAGATTGTTAAACAAAAATTAAAAAATATACAGAGCAATACATTTTTGGCCGTGCGGTGTTGCCAGATATGCTCGTAAAGTATATTAACTTTCGTTTTGAACATTTTCGGAAATAAAAAACACTTGAATTTATGGTTGCGGTTCCCTATTAAATTGCTTTATCCTAATATAGTATGAGAATTAACTTATCGAGTACAGGGCGTTCATAAGATAAGGCTCAATTAGCAAGATAAAAAAAATACATGTTAGGTGGGAATTTTAAATGGAACACCCCATATTTTATATTGCCACGTAAATGAGAAATTTGCCATCTAAAAGTACCAAACTATAGTATATTATATATATAGTGTAATTATTTTGTAATTAACATCGAGTATCATCATTTTTAGCGCTCGGAATGGACGCATTTGGAAATGCAGAAAAATATGCTAAAGCGTTGGTCTCATTTCCTTCCGAGTTTGTAACAGGTTTTGGAACTTCCCTTCTTCGTAGGTTTCGAAAATTTCCATCAAATCTTTTAAACTTTTTTTTCATACACTGGTGACAAATGCGGATATTGTTCATTAAATCTTCTGCACAATCTTGAAACAATTCTTTGACACTCACCATAAACGTAAAACAAATTCAAAAATGCGAAATCGGAATGCACCTAGAGACGTCAATTATTTTTTTATAGGAAACGTCATGAGAGCCGCCTACCCAGATGAAATGTGATTACTTTAGTTCGCTTTAATTGCAATATTTTGGTTTTTTCGTGAAATAGATATACCGTACTTTGATACTTTTAGATGGCAAATTAATTGCTCATTTACGGATTTTTATATCTTGCCAATTGAGCCTTACCTTATGAACACCCTGTGTACGCGATAAGTTAATTCTCATATTGTATTATGATAAAGCAATTTAATAGAGAATTTATTCTTATCTTGCATTTGATACAGTCTCACCAAGTCTAGAATGATAACGTGCATTTTCCATAATGATTAAAGACGTTCTTTATGTCGTGATACGTACGTACGTTCTCATATTATATATTATTTAAATGTGTTTATTATATCATATTGTCGTATATTTTACAAATAAATTTTGTATGATGAATGAAGACGGTGGGTGTTTTTTTACTGTTTTAGTAATAGCTTTTCATATTTGCTTTAGGATCGTTTTTGTTTAAATACATTTTTCCAAAAATAACTTTTTAATTTATGAACGATTCTTAAAAAATGTATTAAATTTTGATTACTTCGATAATATTATTAGGGCAAGAATAATTGCGATGCATAAAACGACTGTGTAAAAATAGTTAAAATTAATTATATTTCAAGATGGATAACTTTTGTGGCCTGCATTTAGAAGAAAGTGGTGGGATTAGTTAATAAGATGATAACATCCGAACGTGTCGTTATAAAAACACCCCTGACACCGGATTATCGAAATCTTCCGTTATCCGGCAAATCTAAAACAACAGAAGAAAAACCCAAATAAAAGAATTGATACTCGCCACTAAACGAAGCTTAAAATTGCAAACTAGATAAAATATAATAATAATAATAATAATAATAATAACAGTTCATGACAATTACAGGACAATATGAGATGAAACAATCACAAGTTAAGTGCGTGATTCGCTTTATTGACAAAAAGCTCCGTGTATGGACGCGCAGCTGGCGCAGATCGGGTAGGGATGCTTGTTAAACAGCAACCGCAAGATCAGACATCTCCGCGAAAGGACGCATGTGTCCTGAATTATCACGATGCCGCCAGACACATTGGCACATTGTTTGGCAATTCCACGACTTTTCATTCACGATCAAGTCCACCGCTTCCCTAAGCAAAAAACGTGGTGGTCTTTTGACGGTCTCACACTAGCCCAATCAACAGCATTTTATAATCCGATTAGAGATGGTTAATAGAGGGGAGACGACGGTTTGAGCGCAATGCCTAACAACAAAACATGTAAAACTAAGGCAGATTTTTATGCGGTTGGCTCGGAAGTTTTAGAAATTCAATTTTCGAGGAAAAAAACTAGTTCAATAAAAAGCTTGACTTTTGGAATAATTAGTTATATTAATAGTTATAATTAGTTAGGGTGCGAATTCGACCAGAAATAAGATTTTTTATCCTTGTTTTTTTTGTTATCGTTCGCAGCGACAATTCCAAAATGCGGCGGCTGCCACGAACTGATCTTAGATAGGTTTATACTCAAAGTGGCGGACAGGACCTGGCACTCCAAGTGCCTCCAGTGCAGCGACTGCCGCGTCCAGCTCACCGACAAGTGTTTCGCCCGAAACGGACAGCTCTACTGCAAGGACGACTTTTTTAAGTAAGTATCTAATCCATCTAACCAAAATTTTGCCTTAAAATTTTAAAATTGTAATTTGTTTAATTACAAGGCTGCATTCGTATGCGTTGCTTCAATTAAACGCAGCATTTTCCTTGTTATAAAAATGACTAAACATGTAATCTGTAACCATTCGATTATAAAGCTACTGATGAGGGTTTTTTAATTACAAACAAATAAATAAATGAAGAACAGACCCACCAATTAATGGTGGTATCCTAAGAGACCATTATTTAACATGGTTTGGAAAATTTAGCGTAGTAGAGTAGTCCGGATGTAACAATTTCCGCTTTGTTTATGCCTCGTGCCGTGGGTGCAGGCGGTTCGGCACAAAGTGCGCGGGATGCGAACTGGGCATACCGCCCACGCAGGTGGTGCGCAGGGCGCAGGACAACGTCTACCACCTCCAGTGCTTCGCCTGCGTGATGTGCGCGAGGCAGCTCAACACGGGAGACGAGTTTTACCTCATGGAAGACCGGAAATTGGTCTGCAAGCCCGACTACGAGACCGCCAAGTCGAAAGGTAAAGAAAAACCCATAACACACACTCAACGTTGACAGTGAAAACTACAGAATACTAAGGTCGCAACAATCTGAAAGATACCAGATTGGAAACTCACGGGTTTCTTTATTTTCTAAGGTTACATTTGCACGCACCCTTTTTTGTCAACCACTCGACCGCTGCCCCACCTGTCAATGGTCGTGTGGCCAGTGATTGTGGCGCCATCTAACCGTGCCGCGTATTTATTCTCAATTTTAATTAGGCAACCACCATTGATTTCAATGTCAACCTGACTTGGTTCCTTTCGCGTGTGGAATTCTGTAAGCCGTTTTTACATGAATTAAAACACTGAAAACGTTCAAATTGTTATTTGCTTTGTTAAGTTAAGTTAGAACAAAAACTGTTCAGATTTTCACAGTTGTTGGTTAGTTTATGGCAGCTATTTCGGCAACACCCTGCTGCGTCTATCAAATACAAAATATAACAATATTCCGACATCTATCTAAACGTTTTTTGTTTTAATTTAATTGTGTGAAACGGAATTTCATCAAGTAAACGCCACCTTAATTAGAACCTTGTTTAAGTTCCGACGCAACTGACAGACAGACTAAAGACAGATGACGGTGATTACCGACGAAAAGTGCAAGCTCTGGAATCTGGATAATAACGTGCAAACGTAGCGCCAGCCACCACAGTGAACGCCGGACAACTACATCTCTGTCTTCAGTTTGCGTTTTTGATTTTCACCCAGTTAATCCGTAATAATATAATATGAAAATAGCACAACGCAGAAACAGTACAATAACACAACAATAAAACAAGTATACAAAAAGAAATACACATTCACTACCTTTCGAGGTTTTACAAATAAACCTGACCATCATTTGTAGCGCCATCTATGCGCTGCCAGTGGGACATCGATAAACAACTAAACACATTACATCAAAAATATATTTTCTTGTTTCCAGTTGGCGTATTTAATTAACATTCATCGATTTTTCGAACAAGACAAATCTTGGGATTGAGGCGGATGATCCTGGCACCATTGGTCGATAGCAGTAGCAAAAAAACCTTAGTTTTCTGTGGACTTTAGTGGTAGAAAATAGAATAGTTTATGTACCTCGTACAAGGAAGCTCCGTTAACGGTTTTCGTGGGGTGCGGTTTGCGGAAAATGACTATAGAACAGTACATCTTTCACTTCGTATGGTATTCAAATAGCAAATTGGAAAATCGTCGATGGTTGCGAAAACAACCGCGAATAAGGCAATCGAAAACTTTCTGCGGAAAAATAAAAGTCTCCGTTTCTTTTTTTGTTTGCGATAAAAGGACCGATGGCGGAAAAGTTCCATTAAGGGCGTTTCGTTGCAGCGGCGGAGTGTCTGGACGGGGATCAGCCGAATAAAAGGCCCCGCACCACGATAACGGCTAAACAGTTGGAAACGCTGAAAAACGCGTACAACAACAGCCCGAAACCGGCCCGCCACGTCCGCGAACAGCTCAGCCAGGACACCGGTCTGGACATGAGGGTGGTCCAAGTGTGGTTCCAAAACAGGTATGCATGGCGTCCCATTTTCGAAGCGTCTTTGCGGATTAATTCTGGTATTGTTGAAGGTACAAAGGTACCGAAAATTCAAGCAATCGTCTGGAAGATACCATCAGTTTACGTAGTCCATCTTGTAAAGGCAGAGAATAAGAACAGCTCAATTATTTATTGATAATCCTTACGGAATACTCAATTGTGACTACGTCATTTCATTTTATGAACATATTCTTGTCTTAGGGACAGATTATTAAAAGATGTTTTTGAGATCACAGAATGTTACATTGTCCTAGTGGTCTGTGGCGAGACTGGTTCTTTGTCCGGCGCCGCTCAAGAAGACATTTAAAAACTGCCATATAGTTGTTTTCCTTTTAATTACTTACGTTTTCTGTAGTGGTGGTAGTGGGTGCATTTTACTGTTCGTGTGTATTTCGATAAAGTTACCCAACGCGGAGAGCGTTGTATTTCAATTGCAGTAATTACGCCCGTTTAAACCTCCATTTTGTTAATTTTACAGTGTGACGCCAGATGGCGATACAAGTTGACATTATTTGTGAGGATCACGAAAATAGGAATATAAGGCCCTTGGTTTATGTGCTGATTTTTCAGCAACAACATTCATAACATTTATTTTAACGCCTATTTTCTCTGCCTTTGAAAGATAAAACAATAAACACGACATTTTGAATTTGAATTCAATACTTTTCAGGATCGTCTAAATAATAAATAATTTAAAATGGTTACAATTAGTGTTGTGTCAATCGTTCATTTTACGAGGACCGAATCATTTCCATCAATCGTTCATTTCAATGCTTTTTGTTGCTCACATAAGCGGCAATAGTCACTGAATCCGAACAGTCCGAATGACCGATTCAGATTCATTTGAATTTGAATTATTGTTGCGTCTATATGTTATGTTTTCTGTTCTAGTTAGTATAACATTTAGCTGTGTTCTGCTTTTTATTGAATCATGATTTTATCAAAATAGGTGTTACGTAGTGGGTTGTACTAATAATACATTAATTTGTTTAAATGAAATACCTGTGTGGAAATATATATTTTATTCAATATTCAATTCAACACACAATCAAATCTACCAAACGATGTAGCAACACTCAATACTATAGAATAATTATAACAATACTCTCATGCATCTAAATCTTAAACCATTCCAATGAATCGGTCACTTCAGACCGGTCAGGGCGGCAGCGAGAGCGAACAAGGTGATCGAATCGTTACGAACAAGCGGGATTTGGTCGTTCGATCCTATGAAGTGATTGAATCAAAGTGACTGAATCAATAGCAATTGACACAACTCTAGTTATAATGGATTTTCAGGTCTGCATTGGTCAGACTATCCTTGAACGCGTTGCTTTGAATTCGAATTTTAGATACGCCGTTTATTTTCGTTAAAAATTTACGACGAAAAAATAAAAATATCTTTCTATCTTCGATAACAATGGAGGTTTTCCATAAAGACCCGTCGAAAATGGCGTATACAGTATATAATCCTGCTCCGATGATTTTTCGTTTCCGTCGTCGCAGAAGGGCAAAAGAGAAAAGACTCAAAAAGGACGCCGGCAGGACGAGATGGAGCCAGTACTTTAGGTCGATGAAGGGTGGGTCGTCGCCGCGGCACGACAAGCTTCTCGACAAAGACGACATGAAAGTCGACCTCGATAGCTTCAACCATCACGGTAACGTTTTTTTATAGGCTAATCGATAACAATGACCAAATATCGAAAAAATACTTGAACGTATCTATTGGCCTTACCACTAAACAGGATTCAAAACAATTGGGATCCTCTACAGTTATGGCGAAAGAAGAACCCATTTTTCAGTTCTATTCATTTCGAGCGATTGCCTGTATCGCCATTAGAGGGCGCTTTGTGAAATCACTCCAAATAAACTTTATTTCTCACGCAACGATATCACATTTATTGGATCAATTTATAAGGATCAATCACGCTAGTGAAAACCAAAAAAAAAAAATAATATCCATGGATGTTCCGATCCAAACTAACCACAACTATCCGAATTTAGATGGCGCCAATAGCTCCGAAACTTTTAATAAAGATATATGGACGCCCAGTCCACGTCATCGACGTCATTCAAGCCAGATTGATACAATAAACGATACTTTTTAGGGTGCGTTAGTGTTAGTGTTAATTATTACATTTTGGACTAATTCAGGTTACATATCGCAATACATTTAAACAAATTGCTCGTGGACTTGTTTAATGGTAGCTGTTAATTTTGCAATAAGTACAGTTTTTATAACAAATTATTCATAATATGCATATCTAGTATCCCACATTCGACTTTTAAGGGCCATCTTCCATGATTTCGACGTTATTTACATTTTTCGTAGTGATTGAACCGATTTCTGGCAATGATTACGTGTCTATCGGGCTTTAGAGGTGGTTGTGGTGTTCGCAGATCTAAGCGACGACAGTTACGGTACCGTGGTCAACATGAGCATGGACCAGGAAGGCTCGTCGCCGCACAGCGTCATCGGGAGACCCATGTTCCTCCACGGGGCCACCTCCCCCTCGTACCTGGCGGCTCACACGCCGCCCCACGGCCACGACCACATGCCTTACCCCGATCAGTTGGCGGTCTACGGCCTCGGGCAGGGACCGCCCCCGGGGATAGGTCTGGGCCACGCCCCCGTCCCTCCGGGCGGACCCGATTCCGAGATGAGCAACGACAGCAGCCCCAGGGGATACCCGGACTTTCCTCCCAGTCCCGACTCGTGGCTGGGAGAGCCGTCCAACGCGCATTACTGACCCGACGTGGTGGGGGGAAGGGACGTGGCGCGATTCTCGCCGACTCGGAAAAATTCGTTCCGGTCCGTTTGAAACCTAAAGGTGCCCACTCACGCCCAGAGGTGACGGAAATGTTTCAAAAACGACGCCCTTTTAAGCCCAGATAGCACGCCATATCAAAATACAAAAGTTTTTTGTGTTTATAGGAACTTTAAGCTTTCAAATCGTACAGAATGTCTCGGTCGCTCGATATCGACTAAACTATTTTAATGATTTACGTCACTTGGCCTAGTATTATTTGCGAAGGAACTGTACGCTTACACGAGACTCGTGATTTCTAGAGTTTTAATCGTTAAGGATATTGTAATTTCATAAAATTATTCCCTCTCTTCATACTCGTCCCTGTTCCAGACGATCATTAATTCAGTATTATAATAAAAATAAATAAAAGTATTTGGCTAATTTTACGATATTGTTTTTGATCTTTAATAAATATTTTTAATTTTTTTTTTGTAATAATGCAATATGTAACTTTTTTTTTTAATAGAATATATCACTATATGTTATGGGCAAATTAATTATCGAAAATTCATTGGTTCAATAGTTGCCTAATATTTGTTTTGCCTACTTTTTGCTTTTTGTCATTAGTAAGTCAAAATAAAAAGAATGTTCCATTTAAACATCCAAAACCGACGTAGGTACTGAGAAACGTGATTACTCTAAAATTTCTCTTAAACACTAACAACTTTTGTTTTTAAAATTTACGTAATGAGCAACCCTAGCCAATTTCAGGGATTCCAAAAACTTTTTTTTTTATATTTATAATTATATTGTCATTATTTACATTTATAATTATTTTTCAAAACAGGTGACCTCACCGCCTAGAATGAATCAGTTGATTAAAACGCTAAATTGAGTTAAACCGCAACGCCCCAATCAGAACGCGTTAGATGTTTGACCGTGATCCAATGTTGCCGGCCATTATTTGGTTAGTTTCCATTATGCTCTGTTGTTGAGATGGGAGGAGGGAGTATATACGTCATAAGTATACCGAAAACCAACCGGATACTTGTCGATGAATGGCAACATTGGATTACACATCTAACGCCTTCCTTTCGACATACGGAAGCGAATTTTCACATGCTATTTGGGACGCCGTCCATTTCGAGATAACCGTTTGGCAAAATAACGGTAATCTCCCAGTTTACTTATTTAGTGGTTGGCTAGATTTTAGCTATGGTCGTCGAATGATGTGCAGGTGCAAAGCGCTGCCAACAACAATTTTTAAATAACATTTTTTTATTTCAAAAATCTCCCCATCAGGTTGCTAAAAGGGCGGCTGCAAAAAGTCCCGAGTTTTTCTGGTAATTTAAAGGGGGTTATAGGGATTTCTAATCAAGCGATACGCCACCTAGCGGTCAAATGTCAAACCATTCGATAGTACGTCGAGGAGGTTCAACGTCGCCAGTAACGATTTCATCGTAAACAACTAGTGAGGTTACGTTTCGAAATTACACAATTTTCAAATGCAACAAATACGGACGAACGAGAATCGCGCTACGTCGTTAAACATTTCAAATGTCGATGTGTGTACATATACATATGTGTCCGGCGCACAAAAAAAACTCGATCGATATCGCGGTGTAGATTCGAACCAATCGGATTACGACATGTATGGTATAGTAGAACCAGCGATCTATCAAACTCAATATAATTCTACGTCGATAGAATCCAGTGACACATTGTCAACCCGTTAAATGTCAACTCTAAGGTCGGCAAATACGAGTCGAGGAACTATATTTGACGCGTTCGATAGATCGGTGATCGTGCTATACTTGGATGTTTTTGTGCACATTCTCGTCGATGCAACACGCACAGAGAGGACCGTAACGTCAGCCATATTGTACTTAAGAGAAATATATCAAAGCTATCCGAGCGGTATGTCTGTTGTACAGTACGAATAGTATTATTTACATTCTAGTCAAAGAACCAGGTGAAAATTATTTAATAGGTGTGACGTCCTAGTCGTATATTTTTCGTTTCTTTTATTTATTAGAGATGTTTAAATAAATTTAATAAAAAAAGATTTTTTTTAAATTACCTTCCTCTCTTTGCGTCGCTGAAAGAAATATGGTCGAGGGTCCCTTCTAAACGTACCCGACGTTACAGGAAACGTAGAGAAGGAATGAGAGTGAGAATATTACAAAGACAATGACAGCCGTAGGTAATTATTATGCACGCGATATAAGAACTGATGTGGTAGGAACTGGAAGACTTCAAAGAAATAAACTAAAACCGCAAAAATAGTGGATAAATGTAGTTGAGGATGAAAAGGCAAGACGGGGACCGCGAGAGGTAGACTGGAAGGACCGAAACCACTACATTTTCAAATGGTTAATTAACGTCCGAAGCACTTAGCTCTAGGATTCTCATCCACGTTGCGCCCACAATTCCGACGATCCCCATAGACAAGACACGAAAAGCGCTTAAAAAAAAAGCTTTCTAAGGAAATATCATAACACATCTATTGTCAGCTGAAATATGTCAAATATGAAAACGTGTCTAGGTTTCGCCCGATCACGTCAGGAATGGGAATATTTAAGAGGCAAGTATTATTAGGAATACAATAAAAGAAAAACAACAATGTCGGTAGAAACTGGAGGATCTCCAAGAAATAAACATATTAAAACGTTGAGGATGAAATGGAAAGACGAGGACCGCGGGAAGCGGACTGGAAGAACAGAAACCAATATAATCGTATATTTTCAAATTTTCAAAAAACGTGCCTAATTGGCCGATCGATCAAATAGATTCATCGCCGCCATGGAATTATCAAATTATTTATTATTTTGAAACGGGTTAAAATGAAACGAGATAAAGCTAGATAGGATATATTTACACTGTACATCGTGGACCGGGGTTACAACTCGGTGGTGGCCACTCCCCAATACCGCTGCATCCTGTCCAAGTCGAGCGAGTCGACGAGACCCCTCTCGTGCATCAGCGCGAAGTCGTATTCCAAGTTGTACGGCATCAGACGCTGGAGGCTGCCGAAGTAGGCCGCGTTCGGCCCGCCCCCGACCCTCTCGGTAGGGTTAAACGAACGTGAGCTGCCGAACTGCTTCGACAGGAAGATACCTGAAAGGTGTTCCGAAAGTTTCTTGGCGGAAATTCGCCAAAGTCGTTCGCTGACCTGCCGCGCGGTTGTTCTGACCGGAGCCGCACTCCAGGTGGGGCGAGCTGCGCGACAAACCGGCCGGCAATTTGACGCCCGATTGCCGCCCGCCGCCCCCGTTCTTAGCCGGCCCCAACGTGTCGAGCTCCTTGTCGAACAGCTTCTGAGTGTTCCTCTCGAGCATGTACTCCCAGCACTTGAACTGCTCCTCGGACACGCCCGAGTCCGAATCCTCGCGGTTCCTCTCCTCGTCCCGTCTTTGTCTCAGCGCTTTCGCCACGCCCCTGTAGCTGCGTCGCTCCGGGCTAGCCTTTACCTGCGCGGACGTGATTAGTGGTAGGAAGAGGAAAGGGAAACGAGCAGTTGCTCCAAACCCACCGACGTTTCGTCGCATATAACGATATTCGACAGAGTACGTTCTCTATGATTCTAGTTATAGAGCTCTATCTAGGTTCATCTTTTTTGTTAGCTTCGATAGTGGCAATCGATTTACCATTACTATTAAGGTTTAGCGCAGGTCTGCTGTAGGTTTTCATTCTCTCTCTATTATTGTAAGTATTTTCTTGTCGTCCAAGCTTTAATGATGCTTTTGTAGTGCATTTAGTCCTTCTTTGGTATTCTAGAAACCGACCCACGTCGGACAATACATTGGTTTTTTATATCTGTTTTAAATATAAAATAGTACGCGGAATTTCGGAAAGCTTACGGTAAACTACTCTTAACGTGCCCGATATCGAATCTGAAAAGAATACGATTGGAGATACTTAATGAGATGATGTATGAAAGTAAAAAATTCTATAAATAATGCAAGTCCCAGTCGGGCAGAGTAATTCTCGCACACTGTCTTGTCTTTATAATTTATTGAGTTTGAAGAGTGAATATCTTGTTTTCGTGGTCACTAGCATCTCTATGACTCTCCACATGGCTACAACTTCCATAGTGATTTCTGGAGGTCGTTCATTTTGCCTTGTTTCATGAATAAACTCTGGTAATCGTGGCCTATATACTTAAGGTGCATCTGCTGCATTATTGATCGTGGATTTATCAGTGGTGTCCCAGATTTTTGTCTCATTACCCACCAGTATCTACATCAGTGTTACGGTAAGGTCCTAGAACCGCGCTGAGGTGTTTTTAGCGCCTCAAATCTCATGCTTTTCAGCATCCTTTATCGCATGCAGGTTTTCGTGGAATATGTTGGGGTCTATGCCAGGATGGATCGGTAAAATCTGTTCATAGATAGAAAGTGTCTAACTGATACAAATTAAGGAAAGACCCGGGCAAGCTGTAAGAATGAAATATGGCTGAATAGGTCCGTACTCTGCTTAGAATTTAATTATTTGGGGTTTTGTTAGGAAAGATACTAAACAATATTTATTTATTTATGTATGTATTTATGTTTAAATCTAAAATAAAATTACAAATGAGGAAGGGGTTTTAGTCAACTGTCTACTGCGATCACTTGCATTGTTCATTACAATTACGCTATTAGGAGGAATGTTTGGAACTAGTTTGTTTTTAAACCAACTTTTAAATAAATCAGCGGTGGTGTCTTCATGGTAATCTAGATAAGAATCTTTAATATTTTTCGCAAACAGAGAAAGTCCATTTGAAATCCAACCATCTTTAGAGCCAGCATGCAAAGTAGTTATTCTTTTACCTCTTTTTGATGGCGCGTTTGTTTTACACTAATCAGTTGAGTCAACCCAACCCTTTTCCGGAGTATCGAGTGTCGAACGAGGTTTCATTCAAGTAAATAATTGGCCTTTGTTGTTCTCGGTAAATCCTAATTTTTTCCATATAGTCGCCATTTCCGAATTCTAAAAGATTCCATTAAAAGTTGCCTTTTTCCAGTTTTTTAAAATCTAAAACCCATGTGTTGAATACACTTCCATAAGGTAGTTCTGCCACATTTAACACCGGTTTCATCTTTTTCAAGCCTCCTAATTAAGATATCTAATGTAGGCACGCTTTGTTCCTCGTGTAACTGGTCATCTACGCTTGAGAAAATGTCAGCATCGCTTTTTTTTTCCTCGCTGAAATGGGATTATTCGCTATTTTCCATACAGTTAACGTTGGAATTTTCGTCAATGTGGCCGTTTCTTCTAAAGATGCTTGCTTGCTGGCACCACGTTCAATGAGAGTCAAATAAACATTGTTTATAACTTTCTTAGTCTCAATAGAAGTGTTTTCTACATTTTGGCGGGAGCATCTCCTGAGATACACCAGACTCGCACATATTTTGCATAATTCGCACACGATTCAGCACACGCTGTATTACACACGAAATAAGAATGATTACTAATAAACTTAAACTAAGTAGTATACCAAACCACAGAATATTAAACACAGGTAGGTATAAAATTATTTTCTAGTACGGGCTACAATTTTTACTGAATTTAAATTCCAAAAGCAATTGGTTACTTTCTTATATCTATGAACAGACCATACTTCAGTCATTTGGGTGTTGTAACCTCCATTCCTTCATACTCCTACCAAACCTATACGTTACATTAGGTAGACGACACTTCTTTTGGCCTTGTTCTTGGGAGGAAAAAAAAGACTTTGTTCGGACCATGTTGCGTCTCTCTACATCAGTCACTTATTGAAGTATTTATTAGATATGACGTAGAAGGGTTTAGAGCAATTGTTCGTTTTACCATTATCCGTCACTTAGGGATTCTTGTAAACGGAAACATACCTCCGCGGCTTCAAAGATGGCCGGCGCGACGCTCCTGAACAGACGTCCGTCGTTTTGCCTGGCGATCTGCGCGAAGAACGCCTTCGACGACGAGTTACAGTCGCCACAGCCGCTCGCCAAAGACCTACAGGCGTCTTCCATTGTCTTTATTTTTTATAACTAACCAACCGAAGGTGCTGACTAAAGGAATACTGCGAGACTACAACACATGTTGCTGAGGAAATTCCAATTCGACGGCTAATTACTTGCGCACAACTAGGGGGCAAGCATTGCAAACCACCAACTAACGATACTCTCTAAGCAAGAGCTACTCCACTTCGTCGAAAGTAACTAAGGGAGTTAAGATTTGCCGACATAATGGGATAAGTAGGACAGGAACGTCGCGTAAATTAAATAGGAATAGGCAAGAACGAGCAGAATTTTTCATCTATGACATTGTCTTTGTTAATTTAGGTACAAAGACAGCGATTTAAAGAATAGAATCCGTTCAATAGAAATTTTTGAAAAATTAAGAGCCGAAGTCGAACTCTCCGCCTTACGCGGATTTTAATATATTTGTAAAAATACTGAGAATGTTAGTGATAGGGATTTTAGCAAATTTTTTCGCGGATCCTAATAGAGAAGAAGCTTCAATGGTAGATTTAAAGTTGACGATAGTGTGCCGCGTTACTTTACTCACTTGTCGTCGCCGACCGCCATCGGCGGCGGCGGCAGCGGCGCCTCTTCGTCGCCGTCGCAGCAACACCCCGGCCGGCACACTGCGCCGTCCCCTATAGTCTGTCTCAGTTCGCGCATCAGCAGGTCGACGTCCGACGCCCCTCCGCCCAAATCGAACCTGACGACGACGACGCTCAGGTTCTCGTCGGCGCCGTAGCTCTGCGCGAGATCCTGGAGGCGCTTCGCCGCCAAGACGACGTTCCGTTGCCGAGCCACTTCGGCGACGGCCGTCTCGGCCGTCATCACGTCCCACAGCTTCTTGTTCGCCATCACCGCGAACTCGTGCCGCTCGTCGAGCTCGATTTCCGCCAAATCCGGGTCCGGAATCGTCCGGTTCAACGTCGGCACCGACGACCTCTTCTTCGGCAGCGTTGCGACGCGGCCGCCTCGCTCGGCCAGCACCAGCCGGGCGTCGCCGACGCTCGCCACCTTCATGACGTGGCCGCGTCCGAAATCGCGCTGTTTCGACGACTTGAGGACGTGGACGAGGACCGCGTTCAGGCAGGTCGCGTTCAGTTGCCTGCACACGGCCAGCATCGCGTACTTCATGTACTCGTGCGCGGTCTCCTTCACAGTGCGCTCCTCCAGCAGCACACGGGGTACCAGCTTGTCGACGTTCGGAGGTACCGCGACGCCGTTCTCGCCGTCGAACAGCCCCAACAGCGCCTCCGTATTGCAGAACGCGGGAAGGCGTACCTGGGCGACGCGTAGCGTCGCTGCGCGCCCCGGCGTCTCGGAAAAGCCAACCGACCAGTCGCGACGTGTCGCACGCGCGTCCTCGCAAAACGGCGAGCATTCGGGCGGAAACGCCGCTACGCGGAAAACATTTGGGGTATACTTGGACCAGAAATATGGTGCTTTCACAACCGATCCCCTGATTAACTTGGCCTACTGTTTATTACTCCCATACCGTGTTACCCCACCCTGCCGAGCAGACCCTTACCCGTGTAACCAATCTTTTTTGCCGTACACACAAAAATTAGTACAAACTAACAATTTATTACGTTCTATTTCATTACATTTCGACATAGTGTCATTATTGATACATAAAATATTAAATATAATAATAATAATAAAGTATCAGTCACTTTACAAGACAAAAAGTAAAAACTGCAAAACGACAGATGTGGGACAAGAAATAACAAGAGATAAATACTCACTTGGGAGGCACAAAATGTACTGAATCGTGGAAATTCTTAAGAAAAATAAAAACCACAGAAAAACAGACCAACAAATTGCAATTAATACCTATTAACAAGTGGAAAGAGTACTATGAAGAACTTCTGACTGAAAAAAGGATGAATATGCCACAAGATCCCCTAACGAAATAAGTATTGAGGGAGAACCTGTTGCCATAAACATGTGTTCGAAGTGTTTTCGGAGCGCGAGCATTGAAGATGCCAAGTGAGATTTTGGCGAAACGTCTGCAGGATTCCAGTCGGATGCAGGATTTGCAGGATTCCAGTCGGAGTTCAACGAGCGAACGGATGATATCCCGGAATATAGTGTCATCACATTTTTCCATCCGTGAATCAATACGTGAGAATATATATATATATATATATATATATATATATATATATATATATATATATATATATATATATATATATATATATATATATATATACTACTCTAATTTTCTTAAACGTCAGTTTGAAAATAATCATTTTTGTCTTGTGTGCCTGTCGATTAACAACAACATTCTTCTTGTTGTATTTCTGCGTCTTCTACATAGTTCTTCAATTTGTAAACAACAGTCTTTTTTATATAAATAATTATATATATTAATTAAACAGTTTTTGAACGTTGTTCTTGTTTTTTGACATTTGAAAATGTGGAGACCGTGGAATAAAGCAGACGTTCCCCTGTTAGAAGAAGATATGGAAAACAACGAAGAATTTGAAGACCAAGTGGAGATGGTAGTCGAAATTAATGATAGTTTAGAAGACGGACTACCTCAGCAAATAAAAAAAACGGATCCATTTATCTTCGGATGCTAAACAAATTGTTTTGAAATTTTACAATTTTATTAGAAATTCAGAAGAGGAATTAGGAGCAGCCATAAAAACAAGTGACATAACCAAAGGAAAGTGGGAGAAGATGTTGGTACTTCGCGAGTTTTTAAAGAGCAATACACAGATCGAATTAGGGGTATAATCTACGACGCTTATAAAGTGTAAACTAACCGTAGAAGACGTGCATAAAAAAGTACTGACAGACCAAAGCGTCGTGGCGTACTTTTTTGAAGAAAATGGATTTTCATTTATATTTTGTAGAAATGTAATGAAATAGAACAAAATAAATTGTTACATTGTACCAATTTTTTTATGTGCATGTTTCAAGAATTGTTCGGCGAAAAAGACTGAAAACATACTTAGTTAGTCGTTAGTCTAGGTAGATAAATTCCTAGAGCGGTCATGGAATGATTACGGTTACTGCGGTTTTGGGGTAATAAAAAAACCACTATATTGCTGGTTCAAGTAGTAGATAGTTTCGCCCGTTACCTTGGCTCCTCGGGGTCAGCGGCAGACTGGTCCTGTTCATGCCACTGACGTCGACCAGACTCATCGGCCTCTGGGTCCTGTAGGCGTTGAACTGGCGACCGTCCACGTGGAGATTCGCGTTGCACGACAGGTCGAGGAACTTGAGATTGGGCGGGATCAGGGACGGGAGGTCGACGCGGTCGAGGTGGTTGTGCGCGAGGTCGAGCACGCGCAGCTCCGTGAGCTGGGAGAGGGCGGGGACGTCGCGCAGCGCGTTCGAGTGCACCCGCAGCACCGCCAGGCGTTGGAGTCGGACCACGTCCTCCGGAAGACGACCGATTTTGTTGCCCGACAGCACCAGCTCGTCAAGCTCTCGCCACCACGCGGCGCAGCCGTCCGGCACGCTCGACAGGTTGTTGTAAGCCGCGTGGAGCACTTTGATGTTGCGCAGACGGGGGGCGACGCGGTCCAGAGACCGGAGACAGTTCGCGGTGACAAAGAGCTTCTCCAGAGGCAACTCGGCGTCCGCCGGCGGCAGCTCGACGAGCCGGTTGTTGGACAGATTGAGGACGCGCAGCTCCGTCAGCAGGCGGAAGAAATCGTCGGGCAGCGAGGAGAGGCTGTTGTTTTGCAGGAACATCTCCCGAACCGGGAGTTCGCGCCTGACCTGGGGCAACCGTTGGAGGCGGTTGTAAGCGAGCTGGACCGTCTCGAGGAAAGGCGACTCGTCGGAGAAGAGCCGGTCGGGGAGGGAAGCGAGGGCGTTGTTGGCCGCGAAGAGGACGCGCAGTTTGCGACATTCGGGCAGCCACTCGGGCAACGACTCCAGCTCGTTGTAGGAGAGGTCGAGGTGGGTGAGGTTCGTCGGAGGACGCGAAGTTTCGAAAGTTTTCAGTCCTGGAAAATGGGGCGATTGCGGAGGTTACGGTGGAACCGACGACTCACTGTTATTTCCCGCGATGACCGAGACCAAATTTTGGCCGTAAAGGGTGAGCTTGACGAGACAGTTGCGCGAGCAGCGCAACACCCGCAGGCCCTCGACGGAGCCGAGGTCCAGATTGTCGATGCGGTTCTCGCTCACGTCCAGTTCGGTCAGGCACTGGAAATCGAACACGTGAGAGATTCGCCGAGGCCGTTTCGCAGAAACTTACGCTGTAGTTTCCGAGGATGATGTGGCCTTTGAGACGGTTCGCGCGCAGATTTAAGGACGCGAGCTCGCCGCACGTTTTCCCGCCGATTTTCCTGCCGCCGTCCCGATCGCAATCCTTAAATAAAACCCAAAAACCGCTTAGCCCGACCTCCTCAAAAAATATTGAGGTATAGCGGGTCTATGAATTTTTGACGCACAATTAATCAGCCACCACAACATTATTTTTAAAAATTTCGCTCAGTTGAAACCGCTTATGTAAAAAATATATTTTTGCCTTTTAAAAGCAGTTGCAATCCGGTCGGTATCAATTTTGAAGGCGTTTCCCGACATGAAATTCTATGTTTTTACATTAGAACATAACCTAACCAAAATGTCAAAAAAAACATTTAAATTCCCAAGCAACGACTGTTTCAATTAAGCTCCGAAGAAGCCAACAAAATGGTTGACGAAAGGTCTATTCATCAACAACCGACGCAGAACGTATTCCAAAATCACTACAATTTCTTGACAAAATCCATTTTTTTTTATTTATAAATAAAATTCATTTTTAGAGGTTATTAGAGTTCTATTTATAGACACCTCAAAATCCCTTCGACCCCCCTTTCCTAAGCTGCAATTAATTTTATTTTTTGATCCCCACATAAAAATCGTTCTTAATGACGACAGAAGTATATACATATAATAATATATGTGATAATGTGATTCTTCTAAATATTTATTAACGTTTCGATCTTTATCAAAATATTCTTATTTTGTATAGGTGACATATATAACAATTGATGACATTTGACGTTGTGTTAATATATTAAAAATAAACATAATTTGTCAGTCTTCCACCATTTTAAATAACAAAAAAAAATTAAAGTTGCGGTACATTAATTTTTTTGAACGATTAGTTGCCTTTCACATATTTTTGTGTTATTTGATTCGCGCTTTACTCAATTTAATTAAGTAAAAACAAAAACGTCTTTTGTTTTTACTTGCATTGCCGTCGTTGCTCAAATAAACATTCGGTTTGTCCGATACGCAACGTTTTGGAAAACAAACGCCACCAATTGGAGCGAAAACGTTAACTAATAGGAGATTGCCACGAAAAGCCTAATTATTCGCCAATTAGTGACTTTAGAGCCCCGTCCACACTGTGTCCCAGTCGCCGCGTTCAACTCGGAATGTATGCGGACGTGTACTTGTGTAAATTTGTGCAAATGTTAAAATTTAATATTAATTGAAAAAAAACTATTATTTCGTTCTTCACTCTAGTTGAGCACTTACTTCACAGACTAAACTGACGCTTAGATATAAATAAAAAACAATGACGTAATGTATATACCAACAACTCTTTAGTTCGGTAGCGTAGACGCAGTTTTGGTAAAATTCGGTTTCAACATGCTTTTATTTGAATCAAGGTAAGAATAATTAGGTTTTGATAAAAGAGATATATCTTCCTTCTCATCATGTCCAGGCCACATACTGAATAGATACCGCTAATAGTATCTTATGCAACAAGTGCCGTAAGCGGCATTTGACTCACGAGTTTATTTGACACAGGCTTTAATAAACGAGTGAGTTAAAAAGTTTACCGAACGTGTTGCATACTATACTTTTCAGCACGAATACATTCACTGGCATGACCGTCAGAATTGACAAAGCTCAAAATTCAAAGTGTGGGAAATATCTCCGAAAACATCCGATTGCTCCCAAACCCGTGCGGTAAAATCCCGGAAATGTCCGAAGTGGCTCGAATCCGTGGGAAACGAAACTGACTCGGCAAAATGACGCTTCCCGCATGCCGGATCGGTGTGTAATTAGGTATTTTACAGACGGGAGTAGCAAAAAATACGTTTTGGTATATAGGTCTTAGAAAAGCAATTGAATTTTCGGTATTTTCGTTTCCTTTCTAGAAACTCGTCTTTTCTTGGCCAAAAACTCCATCGCGACATCCTAGAAAACGCTGTTTGTTTGAGCTATGTCAAACGTCGAAACGACATACTTTGAGACACACCATACCTACCGGCGACTTTACGGTCCGCATGTCGGGCGGCCCCGCCAGCCGATTAACTGCCGCCCTCAGAGTTTTCAGGAATTGCAGGTCCCATATGGTGGCGGGCAAAACGCTCAGCAGGTTTTGATCGGCGATCAGTTCGCGCAAGCTTAAAAAAAAAATTTGGATACTTCGCGTCGGATCGCCGTACTTTACCGACTGAAAGGAAAAAATGAAAGTGAAAATGTTCGGAAATGAAGGTGCGAGCACGCAGGATGCACAAGCGGGTTATCGGCGATGCTAAACAAAGGAGCATCGCGCGATGACGTAGATAAGGCTCCAGCGGATATTCGCACAAAGCATTACGCAAAAAATACCAGTGGGCATCAATTTTGACGATTTCTACGAGTGCATTTGAAGATTTTTTTAAATCGATTGTTTAAGATAAATTAAAAAAAAAAACAATTCTTTGAAGTATTCGGTCTAGTTCATTTTAGTAGTTCAATTCCTATTTCTGTAAGTATCATGAAAAGTTATTTGTTTTTTTTTTTAACATTGGCATACTTGTAGAGACCCGAAGAAAAAACCAACTGCCGTCATTAACCCTTCTAGATATTTTCAAAAACAACGTAATTTTTTCTCAATTTTTTAAAATGCGCAAAAAAAACGTGTTTTTGATTTTTAATTTAGCACATTGGTGGAAAACTAAAAAAAAAACAACCCTTGTCATTAACAGTTCTTGATATTTTCATAAATATAATATTTTCTTAAATTACGTTGCACCAAAACAAAAATGTGAAGAAAAAATAACCTCGTGAATAAAACTTGTTGATGTTTTTTAATTTGTTAGTATTTTTTTATAAAATAAATGACGATTTTGATAAAATTTTCAAAAACCTTCATAAATCTACTCATTAAGGCAGGACAAAAACCGGAATTCCGTTAAACGGGAAGCCACATTAAAAACCCGTCAAAAATAACGAAACATTTAGAGATAAGAGTTGTTATACTTTTTAAATCTTGTATTATTATATGCACGAAATATTTGTATTTTCATGGACAAGTAACTTTCTTATTTAAAATAGAACACCATGTGGGCACTTGAATCCCTAGGAACTGTCTAGACATATTTCCCGTAATCTCGTAAACTTAAATCTTACCATTTCTGATATATTTTGGTTAGTTTCCTGCTAAATATTGTCATTTTTTAATAAAATTATTAAAAAATTACGTTATTTTCGAAATGACAACCCAATTTTTGTACATCATCAGATGGAGTGATTTTCTTAAAATTTATTTAAATTTATCTTGAAACGCATCTGTAGAAATATCCAAAGTTTTATGTTTTTATGTCAATGGTGACGTTTAGCAGGATCAATCTACGACTTTTTCGAATGAGCAACCTGATTCAAAATTACAATTTTTTAAACTGCCAAAGACGATAAAATTATAAAGATTTGGGATTTTGTCATTTAAATTTTTATCGTTAATTTTTTGACCAACCCCTCATCAACTCACGCTACCAAAGTAAACTCAATTATTAGTTAAAATTCAAAATTTGTCTGACTTGGTTGCAAGATATTTATTATTTAAAAAAAAATGTGTTACTTGTAGACTTAAACGCGAATTGCCCTGTATACATCGCATATATTAAAAACATAAACAAAACGAAATAATGTTTATCTAATTTTTTTTAACGATTTTATTGAACATATGTGGCGAAAGTGGGTTTTCGACCAATAACTTGCCTTTTATTTATACAGGGCGTTTTAAAAAACTCTAAGCTAATTTCTTAAATAGAACATTAGTAAATGACGGTAACATAAAAGGAGCCACAAAAAAGCGTTTTTTTTAAATTTATTATTTCTAAATAAATCATATTTAGACCTAAATAAAAGTCAATAATATATTGCACAGGAGCGTCCAACAATATTCAATAAAAATATTCTTGCTTAGAGAAAAAAGGAACGTTTTTACTGTGGAAAACTCCGACTCGTTCGAAAATCACCCTTCATACGGCAAAATTATAAAAATCGGTCTTCCTTCTAAAAAACTTTTTTTTTTGTAAAATCATATCTTTTAATGTCCAATTCGTGCCCTAACGTGTATGGTTTGCGTTATTTCTGCCCAGTAACGTATCCTACGGCTAGGTAGAACCGTCGAAGTGGCAATCTTCTTCAAATTATTATCCTCACTCACTCGAATATAACTGCCACCCACTTATTCACGTCACATAACTAAACTGTCTCGTATAAATTTGAACGCAATCAAAGTGAAAAAAGGTACCACGGGAGCTTGAAAAATATCACGGACTCAACACAAAACGACGTCCGTCTTTCTCTATGGCCGCAGCGCTTTTAATTACACGCCGTCGCGCTTAATCGGGGATGCGTGGAAGGAACAACGGAGGTTTCTACACACGAAAAACGCTTGTCCGGTTCTTTGGATGGACTGCGAGTTCGACAATTAAATATTTAACTGGTACTTTACATACGAAGTTGCGAAAGCTCTGAATGACCAATTTTCCTGTCATACGAAACAGGCGTATCAAAAAGCAATGATCTATGACCACCGGACAAGTTAAAAAATTTCGGAAAAGAAACGAACACGCCAGAAACATTGCTTTGATATTGGCCAAACAAACATTAAAGGAAAAGTGGCGGACAAGTCGGAATCAGTAAGGAATAACTCGAATATGGTGGACAAGATCCGTCTTAAACATTGGCAATGCGATGGCAAATGAATGGAGAAAGAAGATGCCTTCAATATAATAGAATAGAATAGAGCCACATTGAAAGTAATACCAGAAATTATAACGGTGTGACAACTTAAACGGGCAGTACGAAGGATAAACAGGCGATTCGCCTAAAATAAAAGAAGATTGTGGATTTTTTCAAAAATCACTTCAAATACTCTAATAAGCACTGCTATTCTTATCCTACTATTGATCGTTCGAGCTTAAATTCAATAATAATGTACATCTGCACATCTGATGTCTCGATTTGCAATATCCCTTACGAGCGACTTACGTCAAAGACTTTTACTTGTTTCACAAAAATTCTCACTTGATTCTTAGAAATTTTGACTGGTGTTTTGGATATTCCAACTTATGTCAGAGATTCTTGTTTGTTTTCTAGAAATTCTAACTTATTTCTCAGAAAGTCTCACTTTTGTAAAAATGCTGGACTATTTCCTCAGAAATTATGACGGTTGTTTCAGATATTCTGACTTATGTCAGAAATTCTGAGTAGTTTTTTGGAAATTATGAATTATTTTTTAGAAATTCTGATTGGATTATTTGGATTGGACTTCTTTCAGATATTCTACGTATTTCTCAGAAAGCTTGACTCGTCTTTCAATATTCTTGACATATTTCTCAAAAAGTCTGACTTGTTTTTCAGATATTCTGACTGATTATTCAAAAATTCCAAGTTAGTAAAAAAAATCTGTCTTAATAAATTTGTCTTGTTTTCTGACTCGTTTTTTAGAAATCCTGAATTGTTTCTCGGAAATGCTGATTTAAGTCAGAAAGTCTGCTTTGTTTTTGAGAAATTCTGAGTAAGTCTTTCAGCGCTTTCGTGAAACTTATTCGTAACTAAGGGACATTCATGTTGGCAGGTTGGCAGCTCCCAAGCGTAATTCAACTCAATTTAAATGCTGCTTCAGCTATAATGTCGTCACGGCGTACAACAAACTCCCCCCTCCAATCGATTTCGAACGAAAACTTGGGCGACACATTTTTGACAGTTGATTTAGAATTTTCCTTTTGTTAATTTATTTTTTTTCACATATTTTTCCTTTATGTTGTTTGCAAGCTTAATATTATTTTGCTCCAGTAGTGGTCCGTTTTTTCACTTTGCACTTGTTTTTTTTTTCGGAATATGTTTAATCTTAATTATATTTAGGGTGTTTCAAAACGAATGGACCATAGATATTTATATTTTTAACTCGCTGTTAATTTACTATTACATTTTTTTTATTAATACAGTGAATACCGAAAAAGAAAGAATAATTTTAAGAACAAAAAAAAGCAAGGTATTGCGGTTTCCATTACTAGAAGCGGCCATGAAAAACCAAGATAAGGAAAAATTTGTTAGACATAATTTTAAACCAATCCAAATTTGGTTTAGTTAACTATCGTAAGAATCAAAAACTTCGAGTAGATGTTCTACGTGACCACCACATTTTGTAATTGGTTTAATGAAGGATTCGCGTTATTTTAAAAAATGCATTAATAGCATTCCGGATTTTATGCCAGAGATTTTCGCCATTGTATCCCCGAATACAAAAATCCATTGGATTAAAATCCGGACGGCATGCCGGGCATTCAAGAAGCGGACTTTTGCTGCCGATCCACTTACGTGGAAATTTTAAATTTAAAATAATTTCTCCCGTTTATGATTATTATTATGATATACCTGCGCAACTGGCTGATTTCGGGCGGCAAGGTAACCAAGCAATTATCCGAAATGTCGAGCGTGACGAGCGAGGTGAGCTGCAGGACGCTCGTAGGAAAATTCTGGATGCCGTTTCCCCTCAGACTCAATATTTGCAACTCGGAGAGAGATCTGAGCGAATCGCCCGGCAATACGATCTCTTCTACGTGGAGTTGGTTGATTTCGCCCCGCTTTTTGCACAAATTGTTCAGATTTAAGTGCTTCACGCTCGGGCCCCCATTTTTGCCGGTTGCGACATCCCTTTCCGCTTCCTGAAATAGCGATCGCGAAAAGTGAAAGTCGAAGCGGATTGCGAATTTGTCTCTTTCCGAAGTCGCATTTAATGAGAACGTATGGGCCGAGACTGCATTTACGACCAAAAAAATTCGCACGTATAGTACGACTAGCGATCTATCGAACTCGTTTCGCTCATCGAAAAGAGTACGTGTTATTAATAAAAAAGGGCATCGACTCTATGAACGACAACATTAATTTTGAGCAAATGACAGGTGTCATTAACAAAATAAACGTTGGTTTTCTTGATCGTTAGGTTGTACATAAATTGCACAAAACAACGATCACTCATTAGTAGTGTTACAAACAACAGACATTAAACGATATGTCGAGCCATGTTAACTGTACTTTAAACCAATAAAAAATAAGCAGGGAGCTACGTTCAACGAGTACTAATTACACCTTCTCTCTTGGTTTTAGGAGCGACTATGCTATAAAAAGTTCCAAAACATTTTGCTTGCCGCATGACAACTCTAAATTAAATATGTGCATTATTTTAAAACATTTATCGACGGCCTTAAGTGTGTGAAAAAATTTGAAACGAATGTCGTCACTTTAGACATTTTAGCAATGCCATCACCAAGGCATAGTAGAAAAGAAATACCACGGATGTATCACTACCCAAGTACAGAATCTGCAGTCTGCGGAGTGTGTTTTTGTATATTATTCATTGCTATAACAAGACAGGGACGGACTCGTTACTATTCTTTGCGTTGATGCAAAAAAAAAATAAAAATTAGTTTTACGCTGCGTGACTTTCACTGTTACTCTCACTGTTGCCTTGCAGTGGGACTTTTTTTATCGCTGGAATTCGGAAGTTTATTCATTCTACGACTATGACAGCTCGCATTGTTCACGACTATAGCGCCTTTTGTCTTCACACAGTCTCGATCGATCAGTCAGATTATTTCGAATATTTGATTAATTATTTAGTACTACCTGTAAGATATTTGCATTTTTAATGGGTTCGATAGATCGGCAGTTATACTATACCATACTCGAGAGTTCACTACATGCATATATAATATAAATACTATAGCATGAAACCCGTTTCTAGAGTTCAACACTTTAACAAACCCCATTAATAAAATTTCCGAGTCAAATACATAAGATCGTTTAATTTCTGCAAGTTCCCTAACGAACATTTAAAATAAATATCAGGCAGTTTTTTTGGCGAAACTTTCCATTGTTTAAAACATTAAAAGTCCGAGTTAAAAATTAAAATTTGTTTGAATTTGAGCGATTTGGCAAAAAAAATAAACATTGATATTATTATTATTATTGGGCGCTTTTAACTTTTAATTCTTACCACGTCATTTAGGGCTTGTTTAGCAAAATTATAACATCTAAACATTTATTTTACTTTAGCATAACGTTTTACAACCCTAACGTCACAAAACGTAATTCCACAGAGCACACACATGGGCACAGACCAGTGATTTTATACTATGAAAGATTCGTCATTTTTATAATTGCGATCAACGATAACTGAATTCTCGTGGAGCAATTAATAAAAAACGCAATTAAACAATCACACTGTCTAATTATAATATGATAATTGTTTCCGGGATGAAATCACTCACGTCTTCATTCCCGGCCGGAATCCCGTCTTCGAGCGAGTCGGCGTCGCAGTCCCGAACTCCCGCGAAACTCCCGATAAACTTCGCCGATTTCTTCGACGCACCCCACGCCGCTATCATCGTCGTTGCATTACGCGCGCGACAAACTCCCGACGACTCCGCGGAGCCAACAACCTTAAAAGGCGGATTTCAAACACTCGGCTTGGCTTTTCGACGAACAATCGCGATTCCGTGTGCGTCCCGCGGCGTGACATCACGGTTGGCTACTTTTCATTCTGCATCCGTCACATCTGGCCGTGCATAATTTCCGTCTCGGTCCCGCTTGGCCCGCGCGCGAAGCGAAAGAGCCAAATTCGCCTCAGCAATTTAAAGAAAAATCGGTCGCAACAGATTTCCGCACAGGTAACCGGAACAGACACCGTACGGCGTCCATTTTTGGCTTCTTCACCGCACCAGTGCATCACGCAAGTTAAATCGAAGCGCAATTTAGCTTAGGTATACATATATTTGCCACCGCGATTTAAAAACTGGCTCCGTCTGTTGGATGGTCTTGCTTATGTATTTCCGCTTTTGATCGATAGATGTCGCCAAATATCGCGATCGTACAGCACACGCGACAGTAATTGTAAACAATTGCTCGGCCGTTATTCTTGAAATTGCGGACAATGACAGCAGTTTACGTTTTTAGTTAAATTATCAGTCCTTTATAATATTTTTCGTCGCTTGTTGTGGTGGGTAATGTCGTGGACTGTATTTCGTGATTGAATTGTACGTAGAAAAATACTCAAACTCCTTTAGCACTGGCTGCTTGCGAGTTGTACCCGGGCTTATTCGGCGTGCGAGGTTGTCACATTTATCCACATTCTCCATAAACATAAAGTCCGGCAGACACGACGCATGTCTTTTTGTAGCTACTAAAAACTGTATTTCAATATGTTACAATTTATTTTTCATTATAATTATAGACGTGTTGAACTGTGGCAATCGTGTGGGAAATTAGTTTTTTCTACTCCCGTCTGTAAAATACTTAATTACACACCGATTAGACTTCGTCAGTTTCGTTTCCCACGGATCTGAACCACTTCGGACATCTCCGGGATTTTACCACACGGGTTTGGTAGCAATCGGATGTTTTCGGATATTTCCTACGCTTTGAATTTTGACTTTTGTCAATTCTGACGATCAGTTAATGTATTCATTCATGATGTTTTGCGAAAATTTACCCAAAAACTAACGGTGGTAGAAAAAGTATAGTATGCAACACATTCGGTAAACTTTTTAAGTCACTCGTTTATTAAACACTCGCCCTGCTGCGCTCCGCTCGTGTCAAATAAACTCGTGAGTCAAATACCGTTTACCGCACTTGTATAATATTCTATTAGGGAACACACACACACACATATATATATATATATATATATATATATATATATATATATATATATATATATATATATATATATATATATATATATATATATATATTGCATCTTATTCAGCACTTCAATCATCCTGGTTTTTATCGTTTCTACTATTGAGTTCATTGATTTTCCTTATACACTCACAGTTACATTATATGCGCGGTAAATACAATTTTGCAAACATTTTAGCCACTTAACACTACCACTAAACATTAAAAAGTATCGATTGTTTTATCAAAATTGGAAAAACAACTTTTAAAAATAAAATTCCACCAATGTAATCCATCCCATTTTGCTGTCTACCAGATAACGGTAACTTTTATCTATTAAAAATACATGCAAAAAACGGCGAGTCCGTCCGTCGACCACGGACCAACGATCACACACCTATAAAACATTGGACAAAAGAAGAAGACGGGGAAATGGAAGGATCAAAATACGACTTCTACATTTTGCTATTCTGTGGCTCGCTGTAGCGTGGCCGTTCGAATCTTCTTCGGTAAATTCTTCAATGTGCGGATAGATGGCGGTGACTGTATTACAACAAATACTTTCTAGGACAAAGAACTGCAGCATCGTGCTGTTGTGCACTTTGTCATAATAAGTCTATTTAAAATATTGTAGGTTAATGTAACAGTCCGAACGCAGCTAGGAGAGACAAAATCGAACTTCTATAATAGTTTTGTTATGTAGGATGAGACCTACATCTAGCTTAAGAAGTATCCAGTAAGATGTAAGTAGTTAATATTACCTTATATGGCCGAGTCTTGGACATTTTAAGCATTACAATTTGATGTAAATATAAATAAAAATATCAACCGATGGAAAAAGTTTTAATTATCTATCATATTTTGTTCGCAAAGTCCAAAGTTTTCAAGTATAACTACAAAATTTCCCCCATCAGAAATTAACGGCGTCCAGCTCCCTCCTCATGACCAGATTCACCTTTAACTTTTGGCTTTCCGCATCGAACTCTGCATTCCCCATTTTGGGATCCACGGGATGCGGCAACGCGACGTCCAGGAAAAATTTAGGCGACGACAACCGCAGGCGATCTTTGAAGATTTTCAAGTCGATGTTGGGACCACGCTGCCCCGGCAGATCGACCGTCACCACCATAGCCTCACAGCTCGAAGTCGACGGTGTCTTGAAACCCATCTGCAGGAAACGTTCGAGATAGTCCAAGGATAAGAAATTCGGTGCCCGAGCTCACCCCCAGAAACACGTCATTGGTCGTCACGCTCTGCTTGTATGATACATCCCAGGAGGGCGTCACTTTCCATTTGGATTCTTCGAAGGATACTTCCGCTTCCTCGTCTTCCATCGCAGTGGTCTTTTGCGGTTCCAACTTGGTGTACGGATTTTTGACGTGGTTGAGGTCAATATGCTTATCGCCACCTGTGATTGAGGACCGACCATCCTCGACGTCTCGCCCTTCGGTTTCGTCGTGTTCGCCAGAGCCGGCGTTAAATAATTCCACCAGTTTTTGGATCTCGCACACGCTCGATTCCATTTCCGAACGATAGATAGATTTTCGACAAAACTATTCATGCTTATAAACAGGTCGCTTAGCAACGCCATCGACTGCAGACCAAAGGAAACCAAGGTTAACGCGATAAAACTCGTTATGAAAACAGCGCCACCATGCTACGGCCCAGAAAACTATTTCCTGATCGGCGTTGTTTTTCAATGGTCTTTAATAAATTGGAAAATAAGTATTGTAGAACCAGGAAGATTGAGATAGCTTCAAAATTTAAGCAAAACAATTTACAAAACTTTAACATTCATTAAAGGCAAAGAGAGAAAAACAGCAGTCAAACAACTAGAACCCAGAACAAAATGTAACAATAACAATAAATAGAAATAAGTGGCAGCACTCAAACGGAACACATCAGAATCTTAAACAGTTGCACGCTTTCAGCATTCTAGTAAGGGGTGAATAAACTCCATAATTTGCGCGATGGTAAGGTATGCGGAACATTGAGTTATCACAGCTTCTGTAATATGCGTTAAATTGTATGCTATGTAAAAGAGCTGGACAATAATACCAACCATTCAGAATCTTAAAGAGAAAACCTAAATCACTATGAGATCTTCTGGTTTGAAGAGTATCAATATTGAAAGCCTTAGCTATAATATTGTAGTTCATCTGAAACTAGCGTCGCTACTCTTAATATTACCTTTATTTAGCGCATGTAAATATAGAACATTACGACTAGCGAAATCTATACAAGATCATACCAACTGTTTTACGGAAATGGAAATGAAAATCATTGTTTCCATGGTTGAGCGAGTGTCTAGAGTAAATATGCCTAGAGAAAGAAAACAGAAAAGAAGAAGAAATGGTTCCCTGGTAATTTCTAACTCAGCGTCATCATACCAGGGCAACTATATTCCTGGTTTGCGTAGACGCAGCCACAGTAACCGACGTTTGTCGATATTTACGTTGCGGTTTGCTTGAGTTTATTTCGGCATTTGGTTAGAAATGTTCGATTTTTAATTTATTTTTGAAATTTTATAATTATGAATAAGGTAAGAAAGATCGACTGAAAAACTTAAGATAGATGGCGCGCGGTTCTGTCTAGTTAGGCGGTGAACTTGACTACCTGTCTTTAATGCTTGCGAAGCAAGCATTTTTAAAAATTCGTGGAGCCGAGTTCTTTTAAAAAGCGTCGACGATTTGGAAAACAAAGAAAGGTTCGTGCGGTATTAAAAATGTATTTGGTGACGGCACGTACAGGTCGCTTTACAAAAACTCGATCGTTCGCGTCCTTTCGGCGTCTGACTGTTGCACAACCAATGCGGGTGCGCCTTGTACAGGTAATCGCAGTTGGCCCAGACGTTTGCGGTCGGACACGCGTTTAGGCACAGCTTACGGCTGCAATTCTTCTTACACGCGCTACACGGGTTCCCTTTCTCGTAAGGTCGGGCCACGCGGCCCGGCCAATTTCCCCTAATTCGAAAACGAGTGACGCAAACGTTTGCCTTCGCAGGTTATATAGCGACTCACGTGGGACAATAATTACACACGTAATTGTAAAACTTCTTCCACGGCACACTAGACGCGGAACATTCGGCCAATCCGCAGCCGACTTCATGCGTCGCCGCCCAGACCAGCTGAGTGTAATGGCCGACGACCGTCAGATTGTTTTTCTTACCGAACGCGAAGCGGTCCTTTTCCAACCACCACGTTTCTACGGCGAAAAACCTAAAAATGCGACGTGCCACGACGGCCCGATAAACGTGTCGTAGATCACCAGGGCACCCTCTTCGTCGCGACGAAGATGTTTTGGCCGCACGCGCCGTATTCGGTCACGTGTCTACCCGCGGGCGAGTCGTGAACCAGAAATCGACATTTCCGGGCCCAGATTTGCGCGGCCCTCGCAGCCCTGTCGTGCCATTTCTGAAATCGTATAGGCTTTCACAAAAATTTGAAAACAATTTCGCCTGCTTGTGGTAGTTTCCTATTTTTATATTTCTGTAGTTGCGCCATCTAACGGAACCCCGTCGAAACCCCAGTTACGTTTTGTTAATGTTACGGTGTACGTCGACATTCTGTGGCGGCTGCGAACTGGCCTAATGACCACAGGGAGTAGTCGGGTGACCCGACGGTTAAATAAGGTAACAAAAGAACCAGAAGAAGCGGACTTCATCTCTTCCGCTTCATTGGCTTAATTAAAGAGAAATATAAATGTATGTGTAAATATAAAATTACCTGCTATTTTTCATGAATATGTGAGTGTAAATCGTTTGTTTTCATAAACCAGTAATTTCAACCTCCATGAAACACGTGAACAATGATTTGAATGTGGTTTTACGGCTCCCCGTTTAGAAAAAGTCAACGAGTCAATCAAAAAAGTTCTGTGATTTGCCCGACAGCTCTTAGGACTCGACAATCCCCATGTGTCCGCTTGTGGTGATAGCGCATGAAAGTTTCACCTCCCAAATTTCGTAAATATGCCCGTGGCCGATTTGTTTAATAAAAACCTAGGTATTAGAATTTAACTAGAAAAATTAAAAACTACACATTATAAAAAAGTCAATAAATAATTTGTTTAAAAAATTGCATTTCAATGTCACCTAAATGAACCCTAAATGTGCGGAGAATTGCCTAGAAATTAGTTTCAGCAAATACAAAAATTGATGTAAATAACATATTAGAGTATTTTTTACAAAACTTCTGGATTCCTCCCGCGTTTGTTTTTTCTGAGTCGAAATTGCTGAAATTGTTGACCAAAATATTCCAGTTAAAAATACTGAAACAAACTGAAAAATAGTTACTACCGTTTTGCTTGCCCGCACGAATTAAAATATCAAATAAAAACTACACTGTGTATTGGACTAGTTTTGGTTCGTTGGTGTCTTTGGACATTGAAGGTGGAAAGGTTTAACGCAAACCGACGAGAAAATGTATGGCGTTCACCGAAGTGGCTGTTTCCAGTAATCGAAATTAATTTATCTTTGTTGCACAAAGAACGAGAAGAATTATTTATTATTGTGTTTTAAATGATTTCATTTACTCTACCCAATTTATTTATTTTTTAAACACTTTGGAAAATGTCACCGTTTTCCTATCAGTATTATGTTTTTGCATATTTCGTTTTGTATAGAATTTTTCTGATAGTTACTGCGTGTTTTATTATTTTTCATGTCTCGTTAAATAAGAGCAGAATAAAAAAATCGGCAATTTTTTTGGCATATTTTCCGAAGTGACAGCAATTTTTCAGTTTTCTCAACAGCATTTAAAAACTAACCGACTTAGTAAAAGAGTTCCCCACATGTATTAACCCGGCATTACAGGAATCGCTTTTCTCGATATAACCCCATCTGGAAATAAGTTTTCCGCTGTTTTTGCGTTTCCAAGTTTGTATACCGAGTCTGCACTTCTTAATAGTTGTATTCTGTGATCTTAACGTTAGTATTCTGTTTTCCGTTATTAAAAACAGTAATACGCTGAGTTTGTGTGGTAGTTTAAAATTACGCGGATTTGAGCGACGAGAAAATCGAATCGAATTACTCACCTACCATTTTCAGCATGTTGCTCGCCAGCGGCTTCACTTTCGATCGGAAAAAATTGTGGTACGCGACTATTTTGTTTCGCACCCTCTCCCTCGCGGGGCTGATGGCCGCGAACGGCAACGCTGGGCCCATCAATTTCGGACCTGCAATTTTATGATAGGAGAATGACTTCCAAATTTTTTTTTAACACACACACGCCGATTCGGGTTGAAGCGGGACTCCTCGCTTAAGCCTAATATACACATTAGGAACAAGGACGTCAACAAGAGTTTGCTTTCACCCATTTGCGCCGAAAATTTCGACTTTTTCTTTTTTAAATGCGACTTTAAACTCGAACGATGCTGAAGTGTCTTTATAGGCGACGAGCGCATCGTTAATTTCGTCCCATTTAAAACTTCCGAGGTTTTAATTTAATTTGTCGCCAAGTGTGATGCGGTGACCTGAATGTCAAGATTTTTATCTAGAGATGCCACCGTTTAAAGCTCAAACTAACGCACACAAAAAGGCTTGTTATTTGTTATTGTTGCTGTATAATACTTTGATTTTGTATTGTTTTCAAGGAACGCGAACGCATATAATGACATTATACCGTACATGCTTATAATAGAAATTGATTCGTCAGGAAATCTGGTTTAATTGCCTGAGACGAAGGGAATAGCGGTATTGGTTTAGGCGGTTCACCTTTAATAGGCATGATCAACGTCAGCCACTCTCGCACACTAGTTATACACAAAGGGCACTGGGCCAAACAAAAAATTTCATTGTTTTCCAACAATCCGCATAGAGGACCTGTTAGACGTATGACAAAAAGCACTTAATATTCTAAAGTTTAATGCGAGTATATATATCTCCGTGCATTTTGGGATTTTAAATAAATTCTGAACGACTTTTATTTAACGCAGGCCACATTTGATTGTTTCTTCTTCCCCCGTCTGGTGTTACACCGTGAAACTAAGAAAATGTAACAGAAGCTTCAATAGATGTACGTTAGGTGGCGCATTCGATTCAACAACAAGCGTTACGGCACTGACCGCTGTTTCGTGAACGCCTTACGAACCGTGGTAATTTATTGGCTGCCAGTGATTTTAGCTGGAGCACAGGTTGCTACGTGAATGCTGTGGTTCGAACGCGATGAATCAGCTGTATGAAAACAACAGCAAACAAAGATACCATTAAGATAGAATTAAGCCGTTAATAAAATATAAGCAGGTCCCAATACGTTGTTTATTGAGTTATTTTGCAGTTTAATTATTTAAGTGTGTCTAAAAAGCGTAATTAAATAAAAAAAAATCTCATAAGAGTTGAAGTATTTAAAATTGTATTTTAAATATAATTTAAAATTAAAGAGTTTGAAGATGATCCCCCCTCATGACCTCATCATTGAAAAAGGTCTTGTCCAAAAGTCATTATATTTCTATTGAAATTTAAAGACCAATATGGACAAATTGAATATGAATAATTGAATTGAATATGTGTGCTCACTAGCTACTAATTATGTAAACTGCTGGATTACCATTTACCTGTATTTTATGGAAGAGATAGAGGATAATTGTCCTCGCTCTTTTAAATTTTCGAACTTTACAGTGATTTTCGGGTATTTAGTTAATGGATATTATTTGAAAAAAAAAAGTGTTATCATTGAAATAACAGTTTTAAGTGTTATTTGACATGACAATTATGAATTTCAAACTTATTTTGACGTTGCTCATAGCGGACTTTCAAATTGTTTCTGTTGAGTTCTGGTGAAACAATATAAAAATTCGGAATAATTTGCAATTTTTCATAGAAAGACCCTGAAGGTATGCATTGCATTTAACAAGAGTAACTTATTTTTCTGATTTTTTTTAACATTCAAAAGACGATAACGTGTGCAATATTAAATAATAACTATTTTAATGTTTAGTACTTCCACTAGTTCAGAGATTGCCCATTATTTATGACTCATAATGTTCCTTATGAAAGACTTATGTCAGAAATTCTCATTTGTTTCTTACAAATTCTGACATGTTTCTAAGAAATTTTAACTTATTAACTTGTTTGTTAAAAATTGTGATGTTTCTCAAAAATCCTGATTTGTTTTTTAACAATTATGACATGTTTCGCAGAAATGTTGACTTATATTAGAAAATTTTACTTGTTCCTCAGAAATTATGAGATGTTTCCTAGATATTCTTACCAGTTTCTCAGAAATTTTGACATGTTTCTTAGAAATTCTAATTTACGTCAAAAATTTTGTTGACTTGTTTTTCAGAAATTTTAATGTTTTTCAGAAGTTCTAAATTGTACTTCAGAAATTCAGACAGGTTTTTCGAAAATTGTTTTCTTGAAAATTTTGGCTTGTTTGTTAGAAATATTGACTTATGTTTTGACTTGTTTCCTAGACATTCTTACTTGATTTTTAGAAATTTCGATATTTCTAAGAAATTCTGAATTATGTGAAAAATCCTGACTTGTTTTTCATAAATGTTGGTATTTTTTAGAAATTCTAAAGTGTATCTGAAAAATTGTGACAAGATTCTTAGAACTTCAGATTTATTTTTTAAGAATTCTGGCTTTTTTTTCATAATTCCGACTTCGTCCTCAAAAATTTATCTTAATTAATCCATTTTGTCCCAGTGGTGCCTTAAAGCACCACCTATTCTATGATTTTTTGTGACATCCAGGAAATATTTTCGCACATCCATTTAGAAATTTTATTATTATCACTACTAAAACTACTAAACTACTACTAACATAAAACCGTAGAAATCGCTAATTTATATGTAAAGGAAAGATCTTATATATGGATTCAAAAGTGAACAAAAGGGGTACATAAATTTCTATCACATTTTCAGGTAAATCCAAAATAGTAAAAAAAAATATTTTGGATTTGTATTGCCATTTTTGTTAAGGCTATAGCATGTAGATTATATCGCGGAAAACGTACATTGGAAATACTATATTGATTATGCTTTATTTTTTGAAAATGTTTACTGTGAAACAAAACTTTGTTGTTGTTGTGTAGACAAGTCAGCGCATGTAGAATAAACATTCAACAATTAGCGTGTTCTTTAGTATTATTTTGTGCCCTGTGCAGTGAACGTTACAATTCATAAAATATGGCATATCCGAAGTATTTGACTCAAACGGAATTAGAGGCGGCCATGAAGAAGAAGAAGAATGAAAGTCGTAAGTATTATCTGGATTTACGTATTTTTATGTATTGTAGCATTTCATTCCTTGTAAATTTATGCTAAAAATAACGTGAAAAAATAAATTTACAAGACTTTGGTGCACCAACTGTTAGAACTTTCGAGTGACATACACCGAATGATGCAGCTGTGCTTCAACAGTCCTGTAATTCATCAACTACTGAACTTGAATGGGACTCATCAGATGACGAAACCCTAAAGAAAACGTATGCTTTCTGCAAATGACAGGCTTGCTTCTACTGTCAAATGGAAGAAAGGTCAGATTGAGTACACTCACATATCTATAACCGATGAATTTAGATCATGTGAGGAACTAAAAAATAGGCTTTCCGGAAAAACTCCACTTGAAATATTTTTTATGTTTTTTGATGATGAAGTTATTGATTTGATTTAAACATTTTCGGTAAAATATGCTCAAGACAATAACTGGCATGAATTCTCGTTGGCAAAAAATGAACTTTTAAATTTTGAAGGCATTTTATTGTTCTCAGGTTATCATTCATTGCTACATATTTAGCATTGTTGGTCTTATGATATCACACAGCCACACAATTTACACACTTTTTTTTTGTATCAAATCAGGTTCTATTTGGAAAACAACTTTTAGTTGTTTTCTGTAGAATTTGAACTTTCCTTTATGTATAAATTATATGTTAAATCTTACGTGCGCCAAAACATCTTTTAATGTTTTTTTTCCAGTGATTCGTTTACGCACCAGTATTTTTTCGTATTTTTCGAGTTCGACACATGTAATGTATTCTTAAGTGCAACAAAATAAATAATTTCAGAGCAAAAAAGTATTTTTTTATTTTTTTTATGCTTGAGATAAGATGGGTTAAGAAAAAAAGCGAGAAATAGTCGGACTTATATAGTATATATATATATATATATATATATATATATATATATATATATATATATATATATATATATATATATATATATATATATATATATATATATATATATATATATATATATATATATATATATATAATATTATGATATATATAAATACTATATACTCTATTTTTGACCCAACGTTTTTGACAATTTTCCTATTTTCCCGCCACACCGTACTAACCGTACACCGTACGACCCCACTCGACAACAGGAATTTATTTCGCATCGTCGATAACGATTACGTGCTACGTGGAACGCGAAACGACCGCATTCGGTGCTCTATTTGCGAAGCGATCCGATAAGATACGGCCGGGATAAGATACGGCGAAATGCGACAAGCTCGAAATTGCGCGGGGCGCCAGTCCAAACGAGAAATACGACGCGACTCGCTCGTTCGAAACCGTAAGATTGGGGGACGGACAATCAGTGGTCCGGCCATGTCCGACCGCCAAGACATCGCGAGGACGACCAAGGTCCACCGTTTGGCAGCGCTGTTCGAGATCCCGCGTCCCGACAAAAGTCACCGCGTTCTCAAAAGGTCCGCCTCCTTGCCGATCTCGACCAAATCGGTGAGTTTCGAGCGCGTCAAAACGCAGTTAGAGTGCGACGACGACGACTTAGTCCTCGGGGAACTGCCCGCGGGCGTGGACGAGGCGACGGTGGCGCCGCGCAGGTTGTACATGAAGAGGAGCGACCCGGCGAGACGGTCCAACCGATCGTCGCACCAAAAGACGTCCCGCGAAATCATCGACAAGAAGACGGCGAATCGGACGAGTACCGTCAAACAGAGGATATGCCAGTTCGAAAATTTCATCGAGGCCGAGCGAAACGGCGAGACGGAAAATTATCGGCGAAGCCTCGTCTCCGAAATGGACGAGGAAATTGAGAAAATGAAACTGGACGGTTTCGAAGACGATTTTTACGTATCGCCGGACGAAGACGACGGCGACGACGACGACGTATCGGCGGCGTTGCAAATCGACGATCAGCTGGGCACGTCGTTCGGTGACGATTTAGAACGCGGCCTCTATTTCGTCGAAACGTACAACGCGGACGGCAAGGAACTGGTCATAGTCAGCGTGCAGATCGACAGGAAAGTGGTGGACCTGGACAATTTCCAAGACTTGCAGTTGACGTCGCAGATGCTGGTGCGGCGCGACGGCGACGGCGTCGTCCTCATCGATCTGGAGGAGGCGTCCAGTCGATTGTCGTTGGACGATTCGAACGGTTCCAAGAGGACGACGATTTATTCGACGGCCTCCGGAGATAGTTTCGACGATCGCAACGGTTACGACGAGTGCTTCGACTCGTCCGATGGCTACGTGAGCGCGAGAAGAGAGACGGTCTGCGACAAGGAGGGGATCGTGAGGATCGAGAGGATCGCGCGTGCCGAACGAATCGACCCCGAGGACGACGAAAACGGGACTGTAGAATACGAATACATCGCGTACGACGGGTACCCGGACGTGCCGGAACCAAAAAAGGAGACGTAAGTCCAGATACTTGTCCCAGTTGATGATCGTTAGTTTTTCTTTTTTCTTTAGTAATTCTTCCGCAAATTTGGCTTAAAAATGCCTGGCAACGAAGGAAAAAATATTACTTACAGATTGCGAGGAACGGCGCATGTTTGACTATGTATGAGCGTGCTTTCTGATTCGACAGTGACAATGTTTTTTTTCACAGACAAAACCCGTGCATGCTGCTATAAAAATTTACTAAATGTTAGCCGGTCAGAGTACTTTGCTAGTTACGAGGGCAGCGCCAAAATTTCCCGGTCTAAATATGAAAGAAACAAAGTAGAGTAACAATTTTTTATTATTTTTCAATATAATCCCCCTTCACTTCAATACACTTATTACATCTCTCTATTAACAACTCGATCCCTTTAAAAAACAAATATTCTTTTAGTTTGTCAGAATCCCGACAGATCATGGCCATCACCTTTTTTGTTGACTGGCAGACTCTGAATTTTCTTGGAGGTGCTTCACCCTTACGACGCCACTCCATTGATTCTTTTTTCCATAGAGGGTCATAATAGAATCATCTCCCGTCACAATAGTTTCTATCACAGGTTTCGGTTCCGACCCACAGAGTTCCAAAAAAGACCGCGCACACTCGACACGCCGTTGTTTTTGAATAGCCGAAAGGTTTTTAGGAACCCATCTTGCACTAACCTTATGCATACCTAAATAATGATGCAGGATTCGAGCAACACTTGTATCAAAAAGCTTAGTAATTTCTGAGATTTCCTTGACCTTTAAATGTTGATCACTCAATACCACCTCTTCTGAAATCGCAATAATATCTTCCGGTATGACCTCCACTGGTCGACCAGTTCTTGAATCATTTTCAAAGGACTCCTGCCCCATTCGAAAACGTTTTGCCCATTCTTTCACTACAGAATTCGAAGGAGAACTTTGGCCGTACACACCATCCAGCCTTTCTTTAATAATTTTAGGTGCTTCTTTTGTCAAAAACTTTATAACTGCTCTATACTCAACTTGTGTTATTTGCGACATTTTTGTCAATAAAAAACTATTAGATGCAGCCTACTAAGATATATTTAAAAGAAGACAAAGTTTTATCGTGATAATGGAGCTGCATCTATGTCAGGCCGGGAAATTTTGGCGCTAACCTCGTATGTTTTTATCTACCTAAGTACTTAATCTAAAAATATATTTATAATTTCGGGGGTTCCCAAGAAACAAAACAAAAATAAACCGTTTTTATTTTGTTAATAATTTTTCGAAATTATGTACTTATACTTATATCATAACCTTGTGCTTACCTTTACAATTTTATTCAACGCATTTAAAAAGTCTTTATTTTGATTAAAATTTTAAGGATCGGGCTTTATAAATCCAATTTCAAGTGAAAATATTACCAAACCACGAATGCTTCGATGCTTCTTCTTCGTCTTTGAACTTAAACATACCGATAGCTAAAAGTTCGCAATTTTCATATGATTTAACGAAAAAATGGTGTCGAATTAAATTAAAAAAAAAACAAAAGCCCATTACCGAAATTTCTACTCTTTGTTACCAATTAAACTTAGATATTAAATTGGAGGATGGACAGCATATATCTCTTTCTCTTTTTGATATATCAAGGGTCTTCGATTGAGTCAATTATAGTTTGTTGCCGTCAAAGAGTGAGAGTATTACCTCTTCTTTTTTACCCCAGCGTCACGGTATCGGTTTTAATAATAGATATAGATAATTTTGCTCATTTTATTAAGCCCATCAGACGACACCACAATTATCTGCGTCGCTAAACGAACTGAACAGAAGTAATGTTGCCGATAAAGTTTGCTTTTCAATCGATTTCGCTTCTTTTCACTCTAAAATGCAATATGCAGTCAGAGTGTTTCGTCTTCAAAAATAAAAACTCTCCGACTTCTTTCCGGTTCTGACTATAGAGAATGCTGTAAAACACATTTTGACCAGTATTCATATTATCACTTCTTTGATATGCAATAGCGTATCCGAGATTCATTCTAATGAATCAAGCTTTCCTGTTTAATCTGATGCTTATTCCTACGCAACGCGTGATCACACCAGTTAATGATTTCCTCATACCGTTTTATCTAAATTATAAATTAAAAATTTTAAACCTGTGTAACGTGGCTTAATTTGTTTAGTCCTTTTATTCACATATTGTTTTATTATCCTTTTTTTATTTTTTTGTTGTTGCGGACTTCGTAGGCTGTTCTACATCATCGACGAAATCAAAGTGACGGAACGAAAGTACGTCGAAGATTTGCGGAAAGTCGTCGAGGTGGGTTTACCGTATATATATGCGGGGACGGTTTTTTTTCCTATTCGAAATTTCAGGATTACAAGCCTTACATAGAAGAACGGGCGCAGATGTCGGAGGACAAAAGCCGGATGTTGTTCGGAAACATCGACGACCTTTACGCGCGGCAAACGGATTTTCTGGAAGCGGTCGAAAATTCGGAAGGCGACGACGTCCGGCACGTAGTTCAGTGTTTCATAGATTTCGTAATGATTTCGCGTTTTCCGCCGCAGTACCTCGAATTGCATAGTCTGTTGCAGGAAGACTTGTTCGAACTGTATCCGAAATATTTCCGAAGCAAACTAAAATCCAACGTTATCGCGCGGGAATTGGCGGTCGTGATTAAGGTAAGGAAGGGGGATGCGCATTTGGAGGTGCCCCGACAACCGCCCGTTTGCTGCAGGAAAGGCAGGACGAGCTAAACGACAAGTTGGACTTGTCCGCCTACCTTCTGACGCCACTTCAGAGACTGGGCAAGTACAAGCTCTTTCTGGAAAACATCGTCAAGCAACTGGAAAAGGAGGCCAGGTCTACGGGATTCGCGTGCATTGCGCTGGACGTCATCAAAAAGGCGATGAGCAGGGGCAACGACGCGGTCGCCGCTTCTTCCATCTTAAACAGCCCCTTGCACTGGACCGAATACGGATCGTTCATGATGCGGGAAAAGTTCGTATGCTTGAAACCCAAACGGGTTGATACGGTCGTGTTCCTGTTTGAGGAGGCCATCGTTTTCACTTTCCAAGATCCAGTGAGTTGTTTTAATTTTATAATAAATTTCCGTAGTAAAAGTTGTGACAGTATTGCGCAAATCGGTGATTTCCACACGATTTCGCACAATATTAATTTTGGTTTAACATGATTGCACGAGATTTCACACGATCTCCCATGATTTCTTCAGATTATGCATGATTGAACGAGATTTCACATGATTTTAAATCATTTCGTCGGATTTCGCCTAATTTCAAATATTTGCACGGGATTGTACATAAATTTCGCCACATTTCACATGATTGAACGGGTTTTCACATTTTTTTGTCATAATTTTGCGAAAATTCGCCAGACTTCATATGATTTCGCCACATTTTACATGACTCAACGGAACTTCACATGATTTCACGCGATTTCCCATGATTTCTTCAGATTATGCGTGATTGAATTTCGTCGGATTTCGCCTAATTTCACATATTTGCACGGCATTGCACATAAATTTCGCCACATTTCCCACGATTGAACCGGTTTTCACATTATTTTGTCATAATTTTGCGAAAATTCGCCAGACTTCATATGATTTCGCCACATTTTACTTGATTGAACGGAATTTCAAATGATGCCGCATGATTGCACAGGATTTCATATAATTTCGTCTGATCTCACATGATTGCACGCGATTTCTAATGATTTGTACAGATTTCGCATTTCACATCGTTTCGCCTGATTTCACATATTTGCAAGGAATTTCGCCTAATTTCGCCAGATTTTACATGACCGACTGGGATTTCACATGATCATTGCACGGCATTTCATATGATTTATCGAGATTTTAAATGCTTTCGCCTGATTTCACGTGATTGATCAGCTAATTTAATTAGCTATCAATATTTCACTGCTAAAGACCCACAAATTAAACTTGTGTCTCTATTATTACGCCCAATAATTAATAATTAAACGATTTCGAATATTATACAGCAAAAATTAGTATCACTATGTATTAAATTATAGGACCAGGTAAGGTGGAAAAGTTAATTTCATTTTAACTAATAAAACAAAAAATCGGATTTTTCTTTTTCGTCACAAGATTGTTCTGTGAATTATCGTTTCAATATAACAAAATAGCATTACAACAAAGTGACTAGTGCTATACTTTTTTTCCATTGGCCAATAGGTGCAAAAATGTTAATTAGGTTGGAAATTTGAGCTCAAAATACTTCGTCATCTAATATCAATATTTTTAAGAAATTGCGACTTTTTTCCTTCGAAATTCCTATTCTTAAGAAATTATAACTTGTTTTTCAGAAATTCTGTTCAATTTTTTAGACGTTTTTATTTTTCATAAATTTGTTTGTTTGTTGTTTTTCAGAAACTCGAACCTATTTTACCGAAAATTCATTTTTATTTTTAAAAATTTGTAAAATATTCCCTCAAAATTTTCTCTAGGTAAACTAAAAAAAATATTTATTTTTGATTGCGTTTCGGCGCGTTCGTAATATCATCAAAGGAACACCTGCTTCAATATAGTACTTGCATAGAAGACATTCTCCTAAACAACGCTTCCGATACAGTTAATTCGGAATCCGGGCATATTTTGGCAAAATTCCGGGACTTTCTTATGTCTGGAGTCTCTCGTTTTAGCGTAACTCCGACGAGTTTATCTTCTGGCAGAGCATAAAAACGAACGACCTGAGGATAGCCACCTTCGAGGACACCACTTTGCACCTGACCGACTATACGAAAACGAAACGGAGGAACTCCTCCAAGTACACGTACGTGCTGGACGCGAAAACGCCAAAAGCAAAGGAAACTTGGCGGGAAAAGATCGAGGATATTTTGTGGCGGCAACTGATGAAAGCCAAAGGTCAGTGCTAAGTTTTTTTTTTCTATACCCGGCATAAAATATTAACATTCACTCCAACAAATTAATTTTATAAAAAATCACATACCTGGTAAATCTCTTCGATCAGTACTTTCTTACTAATTACATCGCGAATACAAAGTGCTGCGAAATAATTTTGATAAACCCGATCTAAACATTTTAACCGGCTTATTCTCACTTTAACGACCCCAAACACGACACCAACACACGTTTCCCCAACCATAGTCAATAAAAACACCAATATAAAAAAAGAAAATCCCAAAATCATTGACACATTCAAATGAAACAACTTTGTTTTCTCTTATCCGTGGACAAAAAACTGACCGACCAATCCTTCCAGAGAACACGTTGCGGCTCTACCAAAGCGAGAACCGCAGGAAAAGCAAGACGAGACCTAAAATCAATCGGGAACGGATCAAATCCGCAGGTAAAGTCGTAAGCGGGCTATTCGGGACGAGCGCTTTACTATACAAATAATTTTTAGGCGCCTCCGTCTTCTATGTCGATTAGCTTACGTTTAATTTGTTTTAATTCGTACGATGTCGACCTTGCCCGACCGCTATAGTTAACTTATTTTGTATATTATTTACCGTTTTGTATTGTTTTTTAATCTTTAAATAAACGCGTTTCGTAAAACGATATTTATTTATTTTTTTGCACGTTCTACATTGGGAGAATTCGAGAAAAACGTTTTTTTTTATTATGCGCTTAATTGGCTTCATCACAAATTAGGATATTCAGCCATTTTCCTGCATCCACGAGTGGGAGTTGGCAACCAACCGAGCCATCCTCGGTCCCAATCAATTCAATTCAATGATGCGTTTCACAGATAGCTGTTGGGCACGACTACCAGGATCATTCGCCCATTGCCGACTTCCGTCGAGGATTCTCGGATCTTCTCCAGGAAGGAGACAGAATTTTGAAGTTCTAAATGTCGAGGATTTTCGTATCTTCTTTGGCGAAGAAGGCTGATTTTTGAAATTCCAAATGTCGAGGATTGTCAGATCTTCTCCAGCGAAGGAGACTAAACTTTAAAGTTCCAAATGTCGAGGATTTTCGGATCTTCTCCAGCGAAGGAGACTAATCTCAGAAGTTCTAAATGTCGAGAGTTTTCGGATCTTCTCCAGCGAAGGAGTTCTTCTTTTGAAATTCTAACTAATATACATGATGATTAAAACCAACCCATAGACCATGAGCTAGCAAATCCAAAAGCGGTTATAAGCAGATACCACATGCATCAAGGAATCTAACCACAAGTCGTGCAACAGAATCCATACATCCAAGGTGAAAAAGTGCAGAAAAGGCACTAATAGGAGCAGGTAAGCTGGCATCAATGAGGGACTCATACAAAATTTGGGAGTTATTCCGATGCAGAGCACAATCAAACAAAATATGTTCAATATCTCCCACCCCTCCACAAGCACACAGGTTAGATATTTTGACGTTTATCTTGTAAAGATGTGCTGGGGAACTACAATGATTACTCCTCATTCTGCACACTGTTGTAATCTCCTTTCTAGACAGCTGCAGTTTGTGGAACCATGGAACTGTTGGAGGTGTCTTATAAACTGCACTATAAAGTCTGCCCTTTGAACGGCCCCATTCTCTCCACTTGATGGCCCAGATGTGCCACATCTTTGCTCTAATTATCGGGATAAATTCACTAAAAGGGGGCCTTAAATTCAGCGGGTCTAAAAGTCTAGCTTCTGAGGCTATTCTATCCACCGTTTCATTATGTCTTATCCCCGAATGGCTTGGAATCCAGCATAACGATATTTTCCGCCCAAGTCTGCGCTTCAAAATATCAATCTTTGCTTTAATATCTAGTAGAATGTAGCTGTTGGAAGCTTCAACCGCACTGCATCCGAAGCTCTGCAGGGCACTTTTGGAATCGGAGACAATTACTGCCCGTTTAATATTATAATCTAATATAAGATCTAGGGCGTAACTAATAGCTACCATTTCTGCAGAGCAAATACAAAACGCGCTATTCAACCCATGCCCGACCCTAACATTGAGAGACGGAATAAATACTCCAAAGCCAACTCTATCATCTGGTCCCTTAGAGGCATCGGTAAATATAAATGACTCTTCCCCGGTCCACATTTTAGAACAAAATTCCCGAAACTCAGTTTCATTTAGACCCACCCCTTTCTCAATTTTGGAATCAACAAAATTAATAGGCGTAAGCTGAGGGGCCAGCTCCTTATTAAAACACGCTAGAACGTCTCCACTATCGATAATATTATGATATGTGGCGGTGTAGTCAAATGCCTCAACTAAGGGTAAATTCGCCTTCCTTCTAAAAAAGTTATGATTTTCTTGATAGGCAATATATAATCGTTGGGTAGCTAAGAAACTAGGATTATTTCTGATTCTAAGGGACTTGACCAAAAACTTAGAAGCCAACATAATCCTCCTCACCTCCAAACTTGTTTCACAAGCCTCTCCCAATAAAATATTAATTGGAGTTGATTTCATCATACCCAATGTCACTCTTAAAGCCTGATATTGAATCCTATCCAGACCAGACAGGGTTTTTTTCCCACATCACCCCAGTACCATAGAACCATAGTCAAGATGGGAACGCACAAAAGCTTTATAAAATATCAGAAGAGTAGACGGGTGGGCTCCCCACCATGTCCTGGATAGAAATCTCATAATATTAATTCCACTAGCTGCCTTGTGAATCATTCTGCCAACCTGTGGAACCCACGTAAGCTTAGCATCAAATGTAACTCCCAGGTACCTAATTTCATTTTTCCAGGGAATATATACACTATTAATTACCAAGTCGGGAAGTCCAACCAAAGCAGATCTAGAGAATAAAATAGCAGACGACTTTTGCGGACTAAGCTGCAAGTTAAACCTATGCATCCAATCAGCCACTGCCACCAAGGCTTTATTCATCAAGTCTATAGCAAAGAGGACATTGACATCGCTACATAGAAGAACAATATCATCCGCATACTGGAAAATAGAAACCCTATGAGGAATTACTAACTTAATTGAATTTACGTATATATTGAATAAAAGAGGCGCTAAGGGAGATCCCTGAGGGACCCCCTTACTGGTTGATCTAGGTCCGACCAAAAGGTGCCCAACAGCATCCTTAACAAATAGGTTCCTATTGAGGAGAAGTCGATTGATTATCCCTATAGCATCCCTAGGTATACCCTGCTTATCCATCTCTTTTATTAGCGTGGGGATGTTAACATTATCATACGCACCCACAATATCCAATGCAACCATAACAGTAGGAACACTTTTGCTCTGAGCACACAAAATATGACTTGTTATGATGGAAACATTATCCATAACGGACTTACCGCGCCTAAAGCCGGTTTGAGATTCTGATAGCAATCTGTGATGTTCAAGAAACCACTCTACTCGGCACTTTAATATTGACTCCAGCACTTTACCGAATGTAGATGACAAATTAATCGGCCTATAAGAACTAAGGATCCCTAAACGGCTTTAATATTGGAACAACCAGCTGCGTCTTCCAACTATCAGGTATACTGCACTCATTTCTCAATAATTTGTTGTAAAAATTCACTAAGAACACGGCTCCCTCTATTGGTAGATGCTTTATTAACTCAAAAGAAACTCTATCCAAGCCGGGGCATGTGTTTTTACGACTTCTAACTACAGCGATAAACTCATCAAGAGTGAACAAGGGAGAAACTGCAGTGTGGTTGTCCCCCTCTAAACTTGTCTCCTCAACGACACCATCGGCATGACCCACTAAGGAGTCCAACAATTCCGCCGGTACTGAAAAGTTAAGTGGGAGGTGACAATTAGCCCGGTTAATAGCCTTTGAAAATTTTTTCACACATTTCCATACATACCTAGCACTCTCATTGGGAGATAAACTCTGGCAAAATTTTTTAAATCCCGCCCTTTTCTTTTCCCTAAGAAATTTTCTACAACTGGCCCGAGTTCTTTTTACATTAACATAATTCTCTAGAGTAGGGGAAATTTTATAATTTCTAAAAGCCTCTCTCTTTTTAGCGATCATTAACGAGCACTCGTGATCCCACCAAGGAAGTCCACATTTACGCCCGCTCTTATGAAGGGGTATGGAAGCATCAGCCGCGTCCATGACTACCTTATAGAACTGGTCGTATGACGTAATAAGGGGGTTGCTTAAACCAATACTAATCAATTCAGAGAATTTGTCCCACTCTGCCTTAGAAACATTGTACTTCAGGAGATACGCTTGAGCAGGATGATGTGAACTGTCCGGTTTACACCGAATATGACACAATATCGGAAAATGATCGCTAAACCCTCTGTCGAATAACACCCGGAAATCAACAACATGAGCCAATTTGTGTGAACCAAATACCAAATCGGGGACAGAACGGGATTCATTCCCTGTAAATCGGGTGGCAGACCCGTCATTAAAAATAAAGAAGTTGTTATCGTTAATAAAGTCTGATAGTAAAGAGCCGTTAGCCAGACCGACATAGCTTTTAATTGTAGAGCCCCACTCTTCATTATGAGAATTTACATCACCAGCAAAAAAAACGGGTTTTGACCTAAGTCTATCAACCAAAGTATCTAAGAACAAACGAGACATAGGAAGGTCAGGAGGATTATACATCGAAACTAGAAAAAGGCTGTCCATCTCCAACACTATAACCTGACATCTATCTGACCTGGGGATATCTGACACATCTAAAACATTATACCCGATGTTAGAGCGTAAAAAAACAATAATCCCTCCATACCCATCCATACGATCGTCCCTGACAAAGGAGAAACCAGACAAGGAAAACTTGATATGTGGGAGTAAAAAAGATTCATTAATCATGACTATATCCGGACCAAAGTCACGAATAAGTCTAATAATACTATCACGATTACTTCTAATACCGCAAGTGTTCCAGTGAATAATTGAGAAATTACTAATTTTAACAGAAAGATTTGACTGTCGATCTGGGAACATTAATAAATTAAAACCTGCATCCTCCGGGAGGAGGCAGGGAGTCAAAAAGACTCTCAATTTCATGGTAAGCACTTTTACTGGGTATATTGGACAAGACTTTTTTCTTTAAATTTTCAAACCGATACCAAAATTCACCAGAGGAGGAAACCCCTGGAGAAGCAGTGTCCATCTCGGACTCTGACGATAAATCATTTAAATATGAGGGAGAAGATTGACTTTTGCTAGTGTGATTCAACTTCTGCCTAGTCAACGGCGGCACGAGACAATCCCTGTGGGCGTCCCTATCATACCCTGATTCTATTTGGGGGGACTTACGCTTTTTTGCTATGACAGAATAAGTTTTAGAAGCAGATCTAGGGGAAGGCTGAGAGACGGGGGCAACCGTGTTATGAATAGGAGGGAAATTTTCATTAGAGCGATTAAACTCACTTGATTTGGGGCCTCTTGGAAAGAGTTTGGCCGCTTCAAAAAAGGATAAGTTGTACCATGCCATAGCCTCATTGATTTTCTTCTGTCTGTCCATTTCCGGACATGATCTATCAGTGGCCTGATGAGAGCCTTTACAATGGATGCAAGTTGGCTTTGGAGATATTTCGCAATTACCCAGGCTGCATTTACCTTCATAATTTAAGTGGTCTGTCGGGCATGGTTTCTTCTTATAAAACTGTTCTTTCAGTTCACAATGAAATACTGGATGATCTCCAGCGCAGAAACTACATCTACCCTTGCTTTTACATTGGTTTTTCCAATGACCAAACCTGCAACAATTCATACATAAGACAACAGGACTAACATATTTTTCGATTGAACACTCATTTTTATAGATACTGATTGATTCTGGGAGAGTTTTACCGTCAAATGTTATTATATAATCATTAGATGGAACTGTCTTGAAACCAAAAGTGCCAGGCAGAACACCTGGGCATTTGACCCTTTTAGTTAGTCTGCGAACATTAACAATCTTAACGCGCTTTAGCGATCTTCCGATGTTAACCTTGGCTTCTGCCTCAGAGTAAAAATCATCCTCATCAATTAAGTCACCAATGTCCCTCACCAACCCTCGGCAAGTGACTAGTCTTTGAGGTATATACTTATTATACCCACCAGCTGTCGAATATGTTTCATTAGATAAAAATTTATTTGCAGACTCAGAGGTGTTAAACTCCAAACCGATTTTATTGGCTCCTTTTCTAGAAATTTTCAATATACCTTGAACTTTCTGCGCTTGAAGTAACTTCCCAAAGTTCATACGATGAAGAGTCCCCACCTTACTTGTAATCCCCTCCAGAATCACCATAAAAGGCCCCTGGTCGGTGATTTCATATTTTGTTTTCCGATTTACTGTCCTTCTTATGTTTGCGGAGATTTTGGCAACTTCCCGCAGGATTTCAGCGTCTTGCTCGAACTGATTCTTGATAATCTGGATCTCTGCCGATAACTTTGACAACTCTTCACCTGAGGGCACATCAAAATACTGGAGCCTGGAAATATCTTCAGCAGTTTTTTTGCAATCCGGTGGCAAAATGTTACAAATAATGGCGTTCAACGGACGATTTTGAGAATCATTGGATAAACTGTCATTTTCTTGTGCTGCACTAACCGTCGGGGGGCCCTCGCCCCCCGAAGAGTCCCCCATGGTTGAGGTTAGAGGGCCAAGAGGAGGAAACTACCAGCCACAAAAACTGATATATAACTGGATGCGTTAAATGGACTCACCAAATAACAGAAAACAATAAAAATTAGGGCCGATGCCTAAAGATTTGCACAACAATACTCAGGTAGTGTTCACTCCTTCGCTGTTGTACCGAAAAAAAAAAAAGATAAAATAAACCAAATAACGGGCACCAAATATTTCTACGTTTCTACGTTACTTGCACTCAAAAAACGTGTCATCCTCGGTCCCAGAAAAACGAATTTGTCAACCTTCTTCTTTTTTTTCTAATTTGGCCAAGCAAAAGCAATTCGCATAGCTTAGAACCACGCTTAAACTTTGATACAAAGAAGGTCATCAACGCATTCACTGTCACATGCCGCTTCATAATTTTCTATGTTGTCGGTATCTGGCGGGGGCTCTCTGCATATAAAGTTCAAATTTTATTTTAGTTTGTAAAACTCGTAAAACGGGTCTCATTTCGGGACATAACCTAAACGATTTCAATTAGTTTAACCTCTGTTTAATTTCAAACGAAGATTCTTTTTGAAATCAATGAAAATATTTGTTTGGCTCAGTGTCCCTTATGTATTTTACCTTTTAAGACGTGTTACCGATTTGTAGACCGTGCAGAGCGGCTGAATAAACTGAATAGAAATCTTTGTTAATACAGGTTAAAGTAAAATTGCCATTGTACCAGATTTTATCGGGTTCCGTTACACAGAAAAAAAATAATCGAAGAGGTGGGAGGCAAATAAACATCCGTAAATGCGAAAAATACGTACAAGTTTATTTAACGGAACTGGGACGAGAGATAACAAAAAATTTTACAATAATTTTATAGATCACTAAACGAGGGCGAGAGGATTTAATTTCACCCCAAGCGGACCAGACGACTCAAATTAACGAAACATTTTCAAAAATCATATAATAGAGACATAGAACATTCAATATAAAAAGAAAACTAAATATAATAATATGAAAAAAAGGGCGGTTGAATTTGACCTGATCCTTAATTCGTAGCTACTAGTCTATTCAGTCTCTAGGAGGACGTTTATTTTATCGTAAGCGTAACGCATTTTTTCGAACAGACTCGCGGGGCAGCCCAATTGTTCGATCGAGCCAAACCTGAAGGTGCGGAAGTTTCGCTCCTCGTCGATGAAGGTCACCGCCTGCATCAGGGGGCACATGATGATCTTCGTGTGATCGCCAAAGTTTATCTAACGAAAAAAATTGAAAAAACGGTTTTTTTTTTCTCGAGAAAATAGAAAACAGATGTGGCACTTAAAAAATCTAAAATTAATGGTTTGCCGAAACAAAGTCCTGTTCAAAATTTTACCAAATTTTTTTATTTATTTATTTTCTTTCATCGTCTAAAAAGGTGATATATAATTAGTAATTAAAATAGAAAGAAATAGTTATAAAATATATGGCGTGGACTTTAAGAAAATCGAGATTTTTCAATTTAAAATGATGCAAATATATTGGTTAATTTTACCCTAATATGAAATATCAAAATAATAATACTATGCTATTTTTGTTTTCAATTGTGAAAATTACTATATTTTTAGAAAAATTAAAATACTGGAAAAACTATTATGTATTACTATTAATAAAAAAGTTGAAGAATTTTAAGAGGAATTGAAAACATTTAAAAATAGGGTGCATTAAAAAAAAGTATGTTTTTTAAGCCATCCAGTATACTACCAAAATTTTTTATTTATTTATTTTCTTTCATTGTCTAAAAAGGTGATATATAATTAGTAATTAAAATAGAAAGAAATAGTTATAAAATATATGGTGTGGAATTTAAGAAAATCGAGATTTTTCAATTTAAAATGATGCAAATATATTGGTTTATTTTACCCTAATATGAAATATCAAAATAATAACACTATGCTATTTTGGTTTTCAATTGTGAAAATTAGTATATTTTTAGAAAAATTAAAATACTGGAAAAACTATTATGTATTACTATTAATAAAAAAGTTGAAGAATTTTAAGAGGAATTGAAAACATTTAAAAATAGGGTGCATTAAAAAAAAGTATGTTTTTTAAGCCATCCAGTATACTACCAAAATTTTTTATTTATTTATTTTCTTTCATTGTCTAAAAAGGTGATATATAATTAGTTATTAAAATAGAAAGAAATAGTTATAAAATATATGGCGTGGAATTTAAGAAAATCGAGATTTTTCAATTTAAAATGATGCAAATATATTGGTTTATTTTACCCTAATATGAAATATCAAAATAATAACACTATGCTATTTTTGTTTTCAATTGTGAAAATTAGTATATTTTTAGAAAAATTAAAATACTGGAAAAACTATTATGTATTACTATTAATAAAAAAGTTGAAGAATTTTAAGAGGAATTGAAAACATTTAAAAATAGGGTGCATTAAAAAAAAGTATGTTTTTTAAGCCATCCAGTATACTACCAAAATTTTTTATTTATTTATTTTCTTTCATTGTCTAAAAATGTGATATATAATTAGTTATTAAAATAGAAAGAAATAGTTATAATATATATGGCGGGGAATTTAAGAAAATCGAGATTTTTCAATTTAAAATGATGCAAATATATCGGTTTATTTTACCCTAATATGAAATATCAAAATAATAACACTATCCTATTTTTGTTTTGAAGTGTGAAAATTAGTATATTTTTAGAAAAATTAAAATACTGCAAAAACTATAATGTATTACTGTTAATAAAAAAGTTGAAGAACTTTAAGAGGAATTGAAAACATTTAAAAATAGGGTGTTGCATTAAAAAAAGTATGTTTTTTAAACCATCCAGTATACTACCAAAATTTTTTATTTATTTTTTTTTTCATTCAAAAGTGATATATAATTAGTTATTAAAATAGAAAGAAGTAGTTATAATATATATGGCGTGGAATTTAAGAAAATCGAGATTTTTCAATTTAAAATGATGCAAATATATCGGTTTATTTTACCCTAATATGAAATATCAAAATAATAACACTATCCTATTTTTGTTTTCAATTGTAAAAATTAGTATATTTGTAGAAAAATTAAAATACTGGAAAAACTATTATGTATTACTATTAATAAAAAAGTTGAAGAATTTTAAGAGGAACTGAAAACATTTAAGAATAGGGTGTTGCATTAAAAAAAAAGTATGTTTTTTAAGCCATCCAGTATACTTTAAAATAATCTTTACCACCCCTAAATTTTAATAACTTGCAACTTTATAGAGTTCTCCAGAGTTATGTCGAAAATCCTTTAATTAATTTATTGTATTCTAATAAAAAATCCTATATTAAAGTTTCTTCCCCCACTCCCACCGCGCAATCGTGTCGCTCTCACCTGCACGGTGCCACTGTTGAGCTGCATGAGGACGCCCGACGTCGAGCGACACCACTGGTGGAGGTGGGGCGTCCGCGACATCGAGTCCGCCTGCTTCACGACGCCCGCCCCCGTCTTCATTAGGTGCTCGCGCATGTACCGGTTGAAGTACGACAACAGTTTCATCTTTTTCTCGTACTGTTTCGGATAGTCGGCGACCGTCATATACGACTCGTACCCGTTCTTGTCGACGTACTGCACGTTGCTAGAACGAGAAATTCAATGACCGCGGGCGCCGCCCCGCCCCCACAACCCGACTTACATCCCGTTGGAGAGCAGTATGAGTCTGGAGGTGTCGTTAAACATGACGCCGACGCTTTCGTCGGAAAGCTGATACCCGAAACCGTATTTGTCCGAATAGTCGACCCATTTCGACACCCAAACGGTCGGCTGGGCCGCCGGGTCCGACATCTCGTCGTTGACCTTCTTGTGGAGTGTCGGTTTCGACTTGATCGCCTGGGAGAGTGGAGTATTTTTTATTTATTTAATCAAATATAAGAGCCCCTCCAAGGAGTATATATTACTCGTTTTTAGATTTAAATAACTGCACCTCATAGTACTGCGAAATTCGCAAGTTATTATGCGATCCAGATATTATAAAGTTCTTTTCCTTACGCAATTGGCACAATGCAAAACATATAATGAAACCATATTAAGTATCTTTAGCTCCCTGACATTTACAAAATTTCTCATTTTTCACAGCGTAAAACAGTACTTGTCCATTTCGTTAATCACTGATTTGATATGACTCTCCCAATATCTAAGTTTATGTCGCAGACGAACAGACTTCGACAATTCGTGTCGCGAACTTTAAAAAAGTTGTAAAAAACCAGCTCATTTACATGAAACGGTAGTTCAACATGCCAATTCGTAAAATGCGTCCAAGGTGTAACATTTTTTTCGCCAACTTTGGAAAATCTAAATTTTCCAATATTAAGCAAATTTTATTATTTCGCTCGGAATTCTGATTGGAATGGAATGTTGTTTCAAGTATATAATAATATATTTTCGCTGGTTTTGTTTTAATTGTAATTAATTATGCTGATTGCATTTTTCTATGAAGAAAATCATAAATTTAATAAAATTCCACATTTATTAATTTCACACTGAGATCGACAATGTTTTATGCTACTTTTTGGAGAGAGGTTTTAGGTGTATATTTTTTTTACGTTAACAATTTTTTATGTAAGAAAAACTTTACAAAACATTTAGCACCCGCTAAAATGCACGGTTATATAATTTGGTCGTTTCACAGCATGAGAAGCACTTATTTAATGTTTTAGACACTATTAGACACTTGAAAACTCATTGATTTTTTATATTTTGTTTTATTATGCATTATTTCTGTCTATCACTTCTTTGTAGATCTTTTTTTGACCCATTATTACGTTTTATTATTATTATTACTATTATTAAGCCAAAAACACTTTTCTCGAGCTCTCCAGCAGCGCTTGCGAAGTGTGCAGGTTGCCATGTCTATTAGGCACTTGTAGAATTGATTCGGTTATATGGGCTGAAGAAGAAGCATATGATTTGGCCGAATTTAGCTCTATGAATGCAGAAGATGCAACGAAGTGAGGAAGTTCAGATGATGAGTCATAAGGAGGATCGGCTCCCCAGTCGAGCAAAGTATGATGTGTCCAACAAAATTGGCAGGCTATTTTGCTGGGACATTTTTTAGCACTGCATCGTAAATTCAGGCATAATCTGCATAAGCGATGTTGCTTCACAATAGTGTGTGTACGTATCGCGAGGTGTTTCGATACTCTGGCTCCCTAATATACATTTGAAACTATCCTGCGTTAAGAAACCTGCGTTCGCTTTGATTTCCGACGGATTTTGTTCAAATAGTGTTATCTGGGCTCTCAAAATTTAGCCGAATGCACATCGATTTCTGATAAAAGCAAGTTTATAAAAGCCTATCGAACACAACGCAGACTCAGAGGGAAAATCAATGTTATTCAAAAAATAATAATTATAATAAGAAAAAGTCGAAATCCAAACTGTCCCGACTTTTAACTAAACCGGAACAAATTCAACAAAAAAAGTAGATACAAAAAGAATATTTTAAAACCAATTCCGGTAGATTGAGCAACTATGTATAAAAAAAACACCTACTGATGTTTTTTGTGTTGACGCTAATGACTTGCATACACAAGCAAAGGAAAATCAGATTTTATAGGATAAAGGTCAGTTCTTTTTTAATGGTTCTGGGTACAGCTGGCCGGTTAAGCTCAAGAATTTAATACCGCGAAGAAAAAGTACAAGAATATCTTCTTTTGATTATAGATTTATTTTGGAAAATTGGAAAAAACCCAAAGAAATAACAAAATGAAAACTATAAACATTCATATTTTGGAAAACGTGTTAAGCGGCCTATACACATGCAGGCAAGTGTTAAGACTTGCCTGTACAGGTCGTGAGATGCGAGTAAGTGCGAATGTGTAAAAATGGGTAAAAACTTAAGGCGCGTTCGGTTCCAAGCGCGGCTCGAAGCGAATCAAATTATGTCTGATTTTGAAAGCAAGCGCGAAAGCCAACTTCATTTTGACTAAAGGTTTATGAGGAAGGGTTTTCAAGGAATAATCATTTTCACCGTTTTTCACGCAACTCGAAAATTATTACAAGTGCTTTTGGAATAAAGATTAAAGAAACTGGAAAAATAAAAATGTTCCTCACCTGGATCAGCAGTTGCCTGAGGGACTTGAAATTTTGGTTGGCGTCGAAATGATGGGCGGGGACCATTACGCCGGCCAGCCCGGCCGCGATCGAGTTGTGCTTCTGCGGCGACACCATATTCGGGTTGTCTGGAAATCGAAAACTAACAATGGACGACGGTTAATTGATTAACCAATCCTTACCGTTGATCTCGAGCAGGGGGCCCCTCCTCGGGCTGTGCTGCACCTGATCGATATGATTGAACCTGGGCGACATCGTCAGGCAGCTGACCGGCAACCCCTGCGGGCAGAAACCGTTGTAGAGGAATTCGTGTTTGCCCAACTGCTCGATCTTGGGCCGCCTGCCCGGGTCCGACTGCAGCATGATCATGATCATATGTTTCGCGCTTCTCGAAATATTGCAGTTGATCCTAAAAGGAAAAACGCTCGTCGACGGGAGGGGTGGGGGGACGCGAAAGTAACCTCAGCTCACTTGTAATCGCACTTCTTGATCTTCGAGTAAGTCTCTCTCAGGCTGGAAGTTTCAAAGGGCGGCCTACCCACCATCAAGGTGTACATTATGCACCCGATCGACCAGATGTCCACCTCGAACGAGTGGCCCTTCTTGCTGAGAATCTCGGGCGCGATGTAATTTGGGGTACCACATAGCGTTTTCTTTCTCTCTCCATCGTACTCGATTTTCGCGGCCAGGCCGAAATCACCGATTTTCACGTGCAATTCGTCATCCAGGAACAAGTTGCCCAGCTTCAGGTCCCTGTGGATAATCTGCTGATGGTGCAGATACTGCACCCCTTCTATTATCTGCCGCATGTAAAACCGCGTCTCGGGCTCGGTCAGCGCTTTGCGTCTCTTGTGCAGCTCCATCATGGACCTCTTTTTGCACAGCTCCAGAACAATGTAAATGTTGGCTTTGTCCTCGAAAAAACTGTAAAACTGCACCACATTCTTGTGCTGCAGTGACGCGTGGATGTGGATCTCCTGCGTCATTTTCTCTTTCTGGTTCTGTTTCTCCATCAACGTTTTCGAGACTATTTTGCCGGCGAACGCCTTTTTATCTTTCATGTTGATTATCTCGTAGCATTTAGCGAATCCGCCCTACAAGTATTATGCCGGTAATGCGCGACTTAAATGTACAATATTTTCAAAGCCCGAGACATTATTACACCCTTTAAAAGTCTTACTCACAAGTACCTCACTCCCGATGCGTTTTTACAACAAATCAGTTTTTTCCGACGCGTTTCGTCGAAAAAAAAAACAGAGCCACTAACCTTGCCGAAATATCGTCCCCTTTGGTAGTGAATTTTCGTCGACGGATCGTAAACCATTGCCGGCATGCAGTGAATTTCTTCATCTTTGGACATTGTTACAATGGACGAACTGCACTGCGAACGCAAACTGGTACAAAACTTTTCCGACGACGGCCACAAAATGGTGAAAATCAAACGAACGGTTGTTGACAGTTACGAAAACTTTTAAACGGAGCGTCGCGATTGGTCAACGGCGCATTGTACTCTCCGTGACGTTCGCCGGCGACAGATGACACGGGCGCCACGTTTCGCCGCAGAATCATAGATGGCGCGCCAATGCACAAATTTAAGATAAGAGGCAAACGAGAAGTTAATGCAAATATTATTCCAATTAACAATATAAGTACAATTAAATGAAAAATAAAATTCTATCTTACACTTTTTGCTAAAGACGTAAACTGCAAGGTTACCATTTTAACCGAGTTAAACTGTCAAATTTGGTTGTTCAATTCACAGTTTGACTGAAATGTGGGCTATATTCCACCCACTGTATAAATAGAGCCTTCCTGTTAAAAATAAAGAAAAACAATTTATTTCTTTTGGAATTTGATTTTAAGCGGTGCAAATTCGGTATAAATAATTTTGGATTTAATATTGAGTTTTTCAACGAAATGATGCAATGGCCCATAGTTGGACATTGCTCTTTATGATCTAATGCCAGGCGAACAAGGACCAAAAGAAGGATATATCCAGCGATACTCTGCACAAGCTTCCATCTATGGTCCAGCACTTCTCGCATCATGCATTGAATATACTGTGCTTTTAACGCTTGTTCCATGGTTACTAAAGAAATTTAATATGTGTGGTTTATTTGCTCTATAAATAAGTTTCGGGAGTATGATGTTAACGCGATGAGGCTTTTATCCGATTAAATTGTAAATCACGGGGCGTGGGAGACCATTTCTTTTCGAAAATGATAATCGCGTTGATATTTTTATGTGTCTTCACTCGTAATTTAGGCACTTGTTTGCAACACACCACCAAAGTCACGGACGAGGACGACGATCCGCTGCCCCATCACGAAAAGTGCCAGCCGATCACCATACCGTTTTGTAGCGGCATCCGCTATAATACGACGATAATGCCGAACCTTTTGGGGCACACGACGCAGGAGGACGCGGGATTAGAAGTCCACCAGTATTTTCCGCTGGTGAAAGTTAATTGCAGCGCCGATTTGCAAATATTCCTGTGTTCCGTGTTCGTGCCTGTCTGCACCATCCTGGACCATCCTTTGCCGCCTTGCCGGTCGCTGTGTCTATCGGCGAAGCAATGCGAGAATGTAATGAAAAAGTTCGGGTTCGATTGGCCCGAGAATTTAAATTGCGACAATTACCCCGATAATACAGAGTCGGACGCGTTGTGCGTGGGGGAGAACAAGACGACGCTGTCGCCCGGGACGCAGAGTTCTACAGTGTCTTCGAACCAAAATGTCCTGACCCGTTATAATTCCCCAAATCACGCCAAAAATTTCGGATTCGTATGTCCGGAGCAGTTTAAGGTGCCCGCGGATTTGGAGTACAGTTTTAAGGTGGCCGATAAAGTAGAGAAAAATTGCGGGGCCCCGTGTCACATGATGTTCTTCAGCGAGAGCGAACGACAATTTTCGAAAGTGTGGATCGGCATATGGGGTATCCTGTGCTCCGCCAGTTGCCTGTTTACAGTGTTCACTTTTTTGATTGACATTGACCGGTTTCGGTATCCGGAACGACCCATCATTTTCCTCTCTGTGTGTTACCTGATGGTGGCCAGTGCTTACGTGGCCGGGTTTTTGACCGGCGACGTGATCTCGTGTCGGCAGCCTTTTCCGTCAAAACACGGCAATGTCAGGGTGAGCACGGTGACGCAGGGCACGAAATATGAGCTCTGCACCATCCTCTTCATGGTATTATACTTCTTCAGCATGGCCTCCAGCATATGGTGGGTCATTTTGACTTTGACCTGGTTCCTGGCGGCCGGCTTAAAGTGGGGCCACGAGGCGATCGAGGCGAACTCTCAGTATTTTCATTTGGCCGCATGGGCCATCCCGGGGGTTAAAACAATAACCATTTTAGCGACGGCAAAAATCGATGGTAAGTTTTTTCATTATTCAGGGCGTTCAGATTATTTTGAAAAAATAAAAATTTGTTGTGCCATACTTAAAAGAAAATGCACGGGGAAAAATGTGGGGTTAACTTTTGCAAAAAAAAAGTGCGCCGCTGACTTTTTACCAATTTAATTTTTATTCAAGCTTTCTAAAAATGCAACTCGTTCGTCTCTCGAATTTTAATCGCATGTCGAAATTGATTGCGGTATATTGGCAATAAATTACAGGTTCTTTAAAATGTAGCAATTTTAGATGTACTGATAAGAGGCCAACTTATCGCTAAAGATACATTCAAATAGCCATGCAATTAAATGGTTTGTATTTATTTTTTTCCGAAACAAAGTAAGATATTAAAAAAAAAATGTCACCCTGTATCTTGAAAATAAGTCATTTGCAAACCCACAAAATATAGGTATATATTTAGGCAAATTTTTGAGGAATGTCCGAATTTCTCAAAAATAAGTCTGAATTTTCTAAAAAATTATCAGAAAATATACTTTGAACTTTTTGAATGCAAATAAGTCAAAAACGGATAGGTTTTCGGATTTACGAGTGTTAAGTTCAACCATTTTAAACTTTGTAAAATGAAATTATTTAAATTTGACACGTCGAACTCTTTTTGTATTTGGAAGCGATAAAGCTATTTATTATCTCTATTATAATCTTACATATGTTAGAAATTTTGACTTGTTTTTCAGAAATTCTGACTTGTTATTCAGAAATTTCGCTTGTTTTAATTTCTAAACCGTTCTAAACTTTGTAAAATAAAATCATTTCACTTTTATGCGTTGATTCCGCGTTTTTCTTACCTCACTTCGTAACTGTTTTGTTTTTATTAAAATGCAGACTTGTTTTTCAGAAAATTCGCTCGTTTTTATTTGTAAACCCTTCTGAAGTATGTAAACTTTGCAAAATGAATATGTTTGGCAGTGTTTCATGAAGATTGTGCTTTTTGCCAGGCGATATTTTGAGCGGCGTCTGCTACGTGGGAATTTGGAACGTCGAGACGATGCGGGTGTTCGTTCTGATCCCTCTCGTCGTCTATTTAATTTTCGGCACGATTTTCCTCACTAGCGGTTTCGTGTCCCTGTTCCGTATCAGGACCGTAATGAAACACGAAGGAACCAAAACGGAAAAACTGGAGAAACTGATGATCCGGATCGGCATTTTCTCGGTGCTGTACACGCTGCCCGCTCTCATCGGTAAGTCGGAGGGGCGCAAAAAAAAAAAAAAAAAAAAAAACACGTTTTTTTTTTGTAGTCATCGCGTGTTTGTTCTACGAGCACACTTATTTCGACGAGTGGATGAGAACCTGGTGGTCCGATATCTGCCACAATCCCAAGTACTCGGTTCCGTGTCCCGTATCAAGTAAAAGATTCGGCCCCAAAGCTTTAAGCGTTTGATTGAGACCCGTTAAATTTCAGGCGGAGTCCAGAAAAAAAGGTATCCCCGTTTCGAAATATTCATGGTCAAGTATCTGATGACCATGATCGTGGGCATCACGTCGAGCGTTTGGCTGTGGTCGGGATTCGGAAAGACCCTTCACAGTTGGAAGGTGTTTTTGAACGGTCTGAAACGGAGACGCGTCGAAGCATACGTGTAGTTATCACAAACTCAGACTCTATTATCGGAAGCGAAATTTTTTGCAGGTTTCCATCTGCCAGTGTGTTTCGCCCTGTCCGGTAACTGTGATTGAACTGCGATATAAAAACGCCAGAAAAACTAAGAATTATAGGGTTGTGCAAGTATCGATGACGTATGTCGTCCTTCCTGTCGTGAGTGTCGTCAATTATTGCCATTTCGCTAGATACCTGGTTCCCTAATCGATATTTTAACTAGGGAATGGGCTAGATATATTAGTAACGAACGTTTAAAGCGATTCCCGCGTCTTAAACCTACAGACGCGGCAATATTTTTCGGGGCAATTGCTCCGATCATTTTGTATTAAAAAAATTTATTGATAGACCGAAACCACTACTTCTTCGTCCATTGAATTTTTCTCACAGCTTAACGCGATAAAAAATAAAAACTCTTATTGCGATTATCATAAAACTATTTTTCCACATTCCAATAATATTTGCGAAAAATACTATACGTATGTATTTTACAGTGTTCCTCGAAAATGTTTAGTTATTTTTTTTTAGTTGTGTCTGTATGCTTTTTTTAGTTTTATTGTGCCTTAAACGCATTTTTTAAGAAGTCGTGGATGGGGATGTTTCTACAATAAATAGCAACTTTCTGTCCGTTAATGTTGGCAGCTCCATAAGAAAAAATTGACATTTCATACTTCAACGCCGGACCGAAACTAACAAATCGTCGATACGAATAAATCCCGTCTCACGTTTCGTATTTGTCAAATTGTAAATATTTTGTAAATAGTACGAATTTAATTTTGACTGATAAACCATAGTTTTCGTATTTTGCTACTAAACAAATTAATTTTTTACTTTTTTAAGATCTGTAATACGTATAAGTACTAATGAATAAAAATATATATTAGATGCTCTTATTATTATTATTATTGCGAAATGTAAGACTAATTTTAAAAAACAATAAATTTAATTTACCTTCAAATTTGTTTTTTAAAAAATTTCCTGCCGGTCTAAGCAGCAACTTATACGGGAATTTACGAAACACGCTTGAAAAAGTGTACGTCTATTGAAAGTGCGTATGCGCGAAATTTAAAAATCTCGCTTATAACCAATGACCTTGCGGCATTCCACAACCAATATGACCCTCGTTAAGTACGGATGTGGCATTTTTACGGCAGTATTTCCTCAAAATATGCCCGAATCTGACTAAATAGAAGTTAAATGTGATCGTCATTTTCTACGCAGGCCTCTACGTATCGCCCAATAGCTTGCACTTTGCGCCACATTTATTGACGATCTCTCAGCGGCCATATTGGTTGTTGAATGGCGCAATATAATTAGTTACAAACGAGATTTTACATCTTGCACATGTGCAAGTCTAATGTATAAAGTTTTTTTTTTGTTATCAATCGGTATGTGTTAAAAAAAGAAAATTACGAAACACGTCTACGTTTATTTCCAATCTTGTTTCCTCTACCTCTTGCTGTCGACTGTCAGTTAGATTCGACCAACAAATGCTTCAAAATGGATTCTTTCAATTTTTTGTACGGTTGCATCATAATTTCGTGTATTGTCGGCATTAGGCAGGGCCTCTATTTCTCTAGTAACTATACGTTCCCATCTCTATGAAATTGTCATAGCCACTTGAGGGGCATAAAGTTTTTCCGGAGCATTAACTGACCGCGACCTATAAAGGGCGCTGGCAAAGTTATTCAGCGAGAATAATTCCCGGCGAAAGTTGCGCGGAATCACCTGATACTTAAAAAAAATACATGGATAAAAAATATTGCTTGCCTTCCTGACCCATTGTTTAGGTCTGACGAAATAACGTTCCGTCCGAAACTAACCTTACTATTCTGCGGTTGTGTCAGTCGTATGCGATAATTGGTTGTTTCGTCGTCAGTTTTGCTTTTAATGAACAATATGGGAAAAAGTAACTGGCTACATGGATTTTAAAAAATGGGTCTGAATTTTGTAATCCCGCGGCCATGTTTTTCCCGTCATGAGCAATGATCCAGGAAATGGTAAAATAGGGCTCCTGAAATGTTCGCTTCATTAAAAAACAAAATTCGGGAGGAGACCGGCAGCGATCTCGGCAAGTTCACGACCAAACTGACGGCGTCGACCGTGCAGAAAATCGAAAGTCTGAGGGGCCGTTCGCATCACGGCTCCAGCTCCAGCTTAAACTCGATCGTGTCGTCGGACGGAGCACGGGACGACGCGCTCGTCGAGCCGGACGAGCTCAGGAAGAGAATTTCTAAAATCGAAACGGATTTTGCCAAGAGACTGGATGAGAAGGAACGCGAGTGGCGCGATATCTTAAAGGAGAAAGACAGGCGCTTGAATGCCGTGGAGAAAGAGAGAGACGAGGCCTATAAAACGATATCGAACCTTAAAGAGGCCCTCAGAAACGCGGAAGGTAAAGATTATATCGCGAACGGTTCGACTCGGGTAACTATACATTTTAGATCTAAAGCAAAAAATTCTCGAACACCGAGAGAATACGGAACAGATGGAAAATTTGCAAACGCAAGAGTTGGTCAAGATTAAGCATCTAGTGCTCTCGAAGGAACAAGAACTGACGGAAAAATCAAATTCCCTGAGGGAAGCCAACGCCCAGTTGGAGAAATTGAGGAGCGAGCTGTCGAGGCTGCGCAGACAAGAGGAACACATGAGCGACCTGCAGGTATTTGATGTGATAGTTCCACCTGTACAGTGATTGTTCGAAGTCTATATTATGCTTTAATTCTGGTTTTTCCAAATAATTTAGGGCATAAATAGCAATCACAAAAAAATGTCAATTTACCCATGTTCAAATATTAATGAGTATTTGCATATGACAATTTTAAAACCCTGATTTTAGACTAGTTAGTAATTTGTGATTTTCACAATATAGCTTGTGTTGTTTGCATAAAATCCTTTTTCTTTTACTACATTTTTATGGTATTGCACAATAAGATTGGCCAAACGAAAAGCTGTTGAGTCCAATTCAAAAACAAATTCGTATATTTAGTATTGGTATATTTAGTTAATGTCTCAATAAAATGAAATAGGTCACAACAAGTGTTCTTAAACATGAATTGGTTGTATGTTCATTTTACATAAAGCATTAAAATTATTTAAAAGCCTGGTAAAAAATAAATTTTGTCATTGGTCAGTTTCTTCATACAAAAATATGGCGAAATATTTGGGCAATATGAAGAAATATGGTGAAATATTTCCCAAAATTTTACATAAAGCATCAAAATTATTTTAAAAAACTTTTGTCTTTAAACTTTAAAAATGAGATTCAAATAAAATATGGAAAATAGGGGAAAATATTTGCGTAATACTAGAAACACAAGGAAATATTTAGATAATGTCAGGAAATATGGGGAAATGTTTGGGTACTATGATCAAATATAGAAGAATTAGTTTCCCATATTTTAATTAAAGCATTAAAATTATTTTAAGAAACTAAGGAGAACAACATTATTTCATGTTAGTTTCTTAAAAGAAAAAAAAAAACGGGTCATTTGGGTAAATAAGAGAAATATGGGAAAATATTTGGGTAATGCATGGGAAATATAGAGAAATATCTTGGAAATATTTCCCGATACTGTACGTAAGGCATTAAAGTTATTAAAAACAACTTGGTAAAGAACATTTTGTCAGTTTCTTCATACATAAAAAACGTGACAAATAAGTATGGCGAAATATAAGCAAATAGGGGGAAATATTCGAATAATACTGGGAAAAATGGAAAAATATGTAGATAATATGTAGAAATGTGACGAAATATCTAGGAAATGTTTCTGCATGTTTTATATAAATCATTAAAGCTATTTAAAAAAAAAACGTGTTAAAAACATTTTGTCAATAACTTCATATAAAAAAAATGAGACAAGTAAAATATGGGAAAATATGCATAAAGCATTAAAGTTATTTAAAAAATATTACTAGGAAATACGCGGAAATGTTTTCGTATATTTTACATTAGTCATTGGGCAAATACATGGAAGTATTTGGGTAATACCGCCTCAGTTAATGGTGTCAGAAAGTATTGCCGTGGAGGTTGGCAGATAAATTTTGCAGGTCATCTGCATATGTTCATATGTTAGTTACGTGACGGACGAGATCAGTTCATATCAGACGTAGGAAAGGTACAGTGTGTTTAGACTTTTGAAAATTTGTTTGTGCGCTTGAAGTGGCCGTCAGGTATGTGCTTTCTGGCTTCTCGGGCAATGTCGCTTCGAGTGAGTCGCGTGATTTTAGGACGACCTGGAGGCGTTGAGGCATTCCTCGGCCCGAGACCTGGCCCAGCTCGCCGCGCAGCTGGCCAAAAGCGAGCAAGAGAGAAAATACCTCTCCGATTTGGTCGTGATTTTGAGGCGGGGCTCGAGCGACGGCCCGGTCGACCAGCGCGTCGAAAAGGAGAAGAAACTGCTCGAGCAGAGACTCGAGGAAGCTCACCTGCATCTGGCCGACATAAAAACTTCATGGAGCGATAGAATCGCGTCGCTCGAGACGCAGGTCGGTACCGACCTGAGCCGTTCGTGTGGGAGCGCCTTAAGCTTCGGTTTTAGGTGGGGCGGTTGAGTCGGCAGGCGGCGGAAGAGGGGGCGGAGCGGCGACGGGCGGTCGACGAGCGCGAAAGGTTGACGGAAAAGGTGAAACAGTTGGAAGCGGAATTGGAGTGCGGCAAAATGGAGCTGACCAATAAGGAGACGAAAATAAGGCGACTCGCTGACGATTTGGGCGACCTGTCGCGGGAACTTAAGGTTTTGCGCGCGGAGCGCGAGGAAGAGGTTGCTTTTTTGCGGACAAAACTCGTGAGTGGAAAACAAACGGGGGCTTAGTTTTGGTTACTTTATTTTTTAGCACTCGGGGCCGCTTTTATGTGATTAATTTTTACGCCTCATTTTAGTTTTTAACTTTGGGTACTATTTAATTGTTATTTCCCGTTTGGTTTGTTTAATAAAGTTTATTTTACAGTTATTTTACTTTGTTTTACTTTCCCGCCCGCGCTCTTAGCTTGCGGTTCGTTTTTTTTGTTGTTTTCTTCCTCGTTCGAAAATCGCGAGTCTCCAATCGCCCGCGCTCTGTGAAAATCGTAGATGGTTTTTGGTTAGTTTCAGGTGGAGTACGGGGCCGTTGTACATAATTTGTATATAATATACCGGGCTTCAATGAAACTGCTAGCCAAGTCGGAAAAAATCGAATAAATTTTACGTTTCTAGATGTGATATAAATGAAGTACATTGAATAGCGCTTCTGGTTTTGCCGGAATTTTCTTATGTTAATCGAAACACCCTGTATATTCTTCCTTAGGTTTATCTTTTTGCGATAGTTCTGATAGTTTTAATTAACAAAAATTAAATGAGGAAAAAACACGTTTTAATCAAAAAAATTAACAGTACTTTTTATATATAAATATTTCAAAAAGTATTGGAAATATGTGAAAATGCTTTATTAATGTGAAAATTGAAAATTCCTTTGGAATACTACAACTTTCATTGTGCTTTCGGTAAAAGCGAAATATTTACATACGAACTGTTTAAGAAAATATAGGTAAATTTGGGGATTTAGGGGGAAATATTTGGATAATATGAGAAAATATAGCGAAATATTTCGATAATACTGGAAAATATTTGATTAATGCGAGAAATATTTGTTTAACCTATCGGTTCGGTTGAAGTGTGTGTTTTTCTTCTTATTTAAATTGTAAGGCAAAAACGACAATGCTATTCAATTGTTTCATATGTCAAAATGTCAATTTTTTTTTTGACACAGTTATTACTTAAACTTAAACCGTTGCAGGACATGGCCGACACCGAAGCGAAGGTGTTTAAAAAAAATCTGGAAAACGTCGAGACGGAACTGGAAAAGGTGGAAGAGGAAAACGGCAGGCTGAAAATTTCGGTCGATTCGGAGCATATGACGAGCGGCTCGCTGCGTCAGATGATCGTCAAGCTGGAGAAGGAGTTAAGCGAGGAGAGGGCCAACTCCTTGAACGTGCAGAAAACCTTGTCAAGGTAAGTAATAAAATAATCCATAATTTTTGACATGAATGACTAACCAACCATAATATGAGAAAATATGGAGAACTATTTAGGTAAAATGAAGAAATTTAGGGAAATATATGGGAAAAAGTTGGTAAGAAACATTTTGTCATAGGGCAGTTTTTTAATACAAATAAACGAGACATTCATAAAATGTGAGGAAATATGGGCAAATACTTAATATTCTTTTTTTAACCAGAATTTTGGGTATAATTTCACTGCCGTAAGTCTCATAATTCGTGAGATATATGCCAAATGACTACACTGTATAGTAAATTTTATGCAGCACTTTGTTCATCAGAATTTCTTTAGTTTTATTATGTCCGGACATTTAAAATTAAGTGTTAAACTTGAAAAAAAAGCATCGTATCGGTAGAGGACGGTAATTGTCTGCACGTGACAAAATTTAAGGGTCACTTCGGAGAAAAATACGGCCCTGTTGCGTAACGCCGAAGTCTCCCAGCAGATGGAACTCGTGAGGCAAAACATGAGACGGCAGGAGGGCGAGACGGGCGTCCTGCTCGCGAAACTCGCCGCGTTGGAGGAGGACAACGCGAAACTGAACGAGACCAGACTGATTGAGGAGAAACTCAACAACAGCGTTGCCGATCTCAGGGAGCAGCTGCAGGAAAAGAACCAGACAATCAAAACGCTGCAGCTGCGGTTGGCCGATCTCAAGAAGACGCTGCAGCAGGAGCTGCGGGTGCCGCAGAAGAATTCCGCGGCGGTCCTCGCGCCGAGCTTGACGAAAAGCTTTCCCGCCGGCGACGACGTCAATTTTAGATACCTGAAGCACGTCGTCCTAAAGTTCCTAACGAGCAGAGAGTATGAGGCGCAGCATCTGATTAAGGCGATCTCGACCCTGCTCCAGTTCACCCCGGAGGAGGAGAAACTGATCCAGGACACGATCGAGTGGAAGAGGTCGTGGTTCGGCGCGAAACCCAAGCTCCAGAAGGTGCACAAGTCGGTCCACTTCGCCAGCTGATAGGTGTTTTTTTTTTTCTTAAACTGCCAACAGGGTAAGCAATATTCCTTTCGAACTTGAACATTGTTCAGCTTGGATGCCGGTCGGGGTCGTATTTTTTCCGTTTAACGTTCCATCGTCGATATTTTGATACCTGTATTTATATATATTATGGGCTTGTGAACGCGAGTTGTTAATAAAACAGAAACGATTTAGGCTTTAATTGGTTAGTCCTGCTGGGGGAAGGGGTAAACGGCACTAACATAAAATGCAAAATGTTAATTGCGGTGTATTAAGTCGTACGCCTTTCGTTACAATAAGTAAAAAACGATATCACAATTTAAAAACGTCGCCTCGTTCGATTTGTCAAAATTACCGGTCGAATACCGCGCCTTCCGCCTTCCAAATTTTGACGATCCGGTCGGCGCTACCGGTCGCGATGACGTCACCGTCTCTCGATATTTCCACCGTGTTGACGCTACCTGTGAACAGGCGGCAATTCTAGGGGCCGTCACAGACAGGCGCGCATATAAGTCATTCAGTGACGCCACTCGCCCTTGTATGTGCATCGTACAAGTTTTTGGTTAGTGACGTGACTGAAAGTGGTACGACCGATATGTCGGTGCGTGCACAAAACTACATCTTTTTTTTTTAATCTTTAATCTTAACCTTTATATCAAACCTAAAAACGGTAAAGATATAGAAAAACAGTAATTAAAAAAAAATACAAAAGATATACTGTCAACAAAAATAAATAAAATTATAATATAAAGTATATGGAAAAGTTTTCTGTTTCATTTTTCACCAAATTTCCACCAATTTTTCAAAAATGCCAAAATTTTAATTTTCTGTTGGCAAGAATATAATTTTAATCTTACAAGAAGACAAGATACACTTAAATCAAAAGGTTGTCAACAAATAGATTTGGCCACGTTTTTCATAGTAGTGCTATCAATTGAACGCGTTATAGATGACATGACTAAAGTTTATTTGGAAGCAGCCGTATGTCGGTGTGTGGACAAAACTCGTCATCGTGTAGTCTTTATCTCAAATTTTACAATTATGCCGGTCTGTGGCCGTTTCAAAATGGGAACTCACCCGAATGCGCGGCCGCGTCCAACAGCAACCTAACCTCAAACATGTCCCACACGTGCAACGTGCCGTCCTCGCAGCCCAACGCGAGCAGATTCTCCCTCCAGCACAGAGCGGTGACCGGCGAAGCCAGCGATTTGGACAGTACGGACATCCCGGTGTTCACTTCGAGTATTTTGAACGTCCCGTCTCGGGCGCCGACCGCCAACTTTTGCCCGTCGGGACCGTAAACGAGAGCGTTGATTTTCGACGCGGACACGTCGTGACGCTCGAACGTGTCGAACCTGTCCGTCTCCCACACGTAGATTTCGCCGTCCTGGGTGCCCACCGCCAGATGTTTGTCCTCCCTACACGATATCGCAATGTACGACAAAAGAATATCAATAATGCTACTATAAAACAACAATGTCACTAAAAATACAATACGTACTTTTGGGGAATAAGTCAGAATTTCCGAAAAACTGGTTTACATCAATTTTTTTTTTTGGTGATGATTACTATTTTTAGAAACTCGAAAATAATTTAATTTTAATTAATTTTTAAATATTTTAAACCTCCGATTTCCCTTACGTTCTACCTGGCTGCTCTTAATGGGCTGTTTTTTATCGGATAAATGTTATAATACGATTTTTTTTCTAAATAAATATAATTTTTTTTGTGCGTGGAGACTCTACGATAACGCGAAAATCGGTGAAATATATGCATTTTTAAATATATTTGTCGGGGTTGAGAGAAATTGAACTGGTGCACTTACGCGTCAAAACAGAAGCAAGTCACTTGGGAATTGTGGTCCAAGGTGCGGAACGATTTGAGGAACCCCCTGCCGTTCGAGCCGCGCCATATTTTTACCGTACAGTCGCTACTGCCGGAGGCCAAGAGACGCGCACTCGCCCCGAAAGTCATGCACGTGATGGCGTCCTCGTGGGCCAATATGTTGTCGGTCACTTTTCCGTAGTCCAGGTCGTAAAACAGTCTGCAAAATGGGAATGATAGAAAATTATATCCAAGTATTAGAAACTTACTTGAAATAAGATCGATAAATTTCATTTTTCTTTTCAAATTCGAATAAAACTGAAATTTCTGGTGTTAGCAATAAGAAATATGAAAATTTCAATAATTAAAATATAATTCATAGATTCACCCACATCTGATTGTCCCAGGTGCCGATCGCGAGGACCCCGACGTCGAGCATCGGGACGCAGCTGCTGAGGGGCGCGGTGCCGACGCTGGCGCTCCGCGTCTGCTTCTTTTGCGCGATCGAAAAGATTTTCAGTTTCGCGTCGTGGCCGACGGAGGTGACTCGCTCGCCGTCCTCGCTCACGAACAAAAAATTGACCGCCCCCTTGTGGCTGTTGAAGCTGGCGTACAGTTCGAGGCCGCGGGCCCGCCTCCATCGGCCCGCCGCTCCCGCCGTCGGATCCCCGATCTCGTAGGGCTCCGTCAGTATCGGAGGTCCGATTTTTCGTTTGGGGTGCGGCACTTTAAACACTTGCTTCGGTATCTGGCCGAACTCCATTATTTGCACCTCGAGGGCATGTCTCCGGTTCAAGTCGCGCACCCCCTCAAGGTCTACGTTGCCCTCGTAGCAGAGGTGGTAGAACACTGAAAATTGACGGTTTCGGAAGTGGCGTATGAGAAAAAAACCAACTCCTATAGTACATTCAGGCAGACCATTACATCATAGGGTTATATTCGAAGACCTGTCTTCTCTTTGACAAACCTCACGGTTCAAGACAATGACAATTAATCTATTTTCATATAATTTTTACTGTTATATATGTTATTATTAATTTGATCTTGAAAAATTCATTAATAAACTTCCTGTCACATAACTTAAAGCAATTTTCCGAATCAGTCATATTACAAATGAGTAGACTTACTATTCTTTTTATATAAAAAAAAATATAAACCTAAACGATCAATTGAAGTTTAAGCAGCCACTATTGTATGTAAAACTGCAAAACAACTTTTTTGTACATTTAATTACATTTACAATTCTACACCCCAAATGACCAAAACATTTGTTCTCTCATATTTCTAGTTCCAATTTTTAAAGAAAATCAGTATCTTTAGAAGTATAGATTGTAGCAAATTTTCGAGGAATAAGTCTTAAAGAAAAGTCAGAATTTCTGGCATTTCTGAGTTAAGCTGAAATGTCCGAAAAATTAGTCAGATATTTTTTATGCGTCAGGAATTCCAAGTCTGTATTTCATAAATTTTTTAAAAAATTTACCTTAATTCAGAAATGCTGACTTAACCCAGAAAGCTCTATTTATTTTCCAGAAATTCTGAGATGTTTTTCATAAAGTCTGGCTCATTTTTCAGAAAATAACTTGTACATTATGACATGTTTCTTAAAAAGTTGCCTCGTTCAACTTGCTTTGATTATCATAAAACCCAGAGTGTTTTGGTATCTACTGGACGTTTAAAAAAAAACTTGTAAAATAAAAACCATATGTGTAAAACACAAATATCCTTCTGCTGTTAAAAATACCAACGCGTTCACTTTACCGTTGTTGGAGTTGACCGCCTCTTCCCCTTGCTGCCTGTACCCGAAGATCAAATCGATCCACCGGTGGAGTCCGTCGGACACGACGTCACTTTCGAGGGCGTCTCGCAGCGTCTCGACGAAGTGGGCGGGGCCGTCGGCCCACGGGGGCAACTCGACGTCGCCGACTTTCACGTCGTTGTGCCTCCGACCGAAATCTATCCCCAAACTGTTGGTCAGGAATGTCCCGCCGGTCGAGACGTCGTAAAACTCCGGGATCAGCTCCTTGAAATCGGACATGTTGCTGACGCAGTTCTTGTACGCGTCCGCGACCGAGTTGAACATGCGGTCGGGATGGTCGAACCGGCCGCTCTGCAGACACAATACGTAGTGCGGATAGAGACGGGCGAGGTAATAGAGCACGAAGCCGGGGGTAGAATAATGGGAACCGTAGATGAACTTCGGGTGCGGCATTTCGTGGTAGCGCTCCATCAGACGGCGCAACCTGTCCGGGTTCAAAGCGCCCACGGGTTTCGACAAGTCGCGGTAGTTTAGCGGATCGGACAAGTCGAGCTTGTCCGAGAGGTAGTTGGACAGGACCCACGGGAAAACCGGATACTGAGTCAGATCGTTGACCGTTCTGTCGCCCAAACTAATCAAAAGAAACTCGAAACACTGAAAACACAAACCCAAGTACTTGATGTACAGGATGACAAGTTTATTGTCTCCTTTCAAAAGTAATGAGAAAATAATAAATTTTAAAGTATACAGAGTACTTCAAAAAAGCGTGACGAACTAAACGTACAGTTTTTTGAAGTTCAACTTTCTTGCTAATAATTTCCAATATTTTAATTTTTCTAAAAAAAATACTCCTTTTTGCGCTTGCAAGAAAATTACGACACGCCATTATTTTTGATGTAAGCATTATTCGAAGAAGACATATAAAATATACCCAACGGAATTTGAATTAGGTACTAAATATTTTTAACTAACTTTAACAATAAAACCAGTCAGTGCATTCGTGCTTATGGCTTAGAGCAAATATTAAATTAAACTACTCGAATTACTTTATGGACCCATTCTTCACAAATCATCTTGAAAAATGTAGTAAAATTGGAACATTGAATGGAGATCACATATTTGTCTTGTATTTGGTGGAATATCTTTCTAAGGTTCTAAACCTAACCCTCGTATAGTTACTTAAGGGGGCTCAAAAAAAAAAAAAAAAAAAAAAATATATATATATATATATATATATATATATATATATATATATATATATATATATATATATATATATATATATATATATATATATATATTAGTGGTAATCCGGGTGTTCATCCGTTCGTTGTTTGACCCTGGAGTAGGATCATTCGCCTGACGTTTCGCCAAAATATCACTTGGCATCTTCAGAGGCCGCGCGTCCATGTCACTCGTACGTGTCCGCACTTAAACTGTTAAACAGAGTTTAAGGGCGGACACGTACGAGTGACACGGATGAACACCCGGATTACCACCAATACACATAGTTCCATCCGTGAAGGACTAAAACAAAACATATATTCTCTATAGCACTGATATAAATGATAAGGTAGACTTTGTAACCAAAATATTGCCGAACTTTTTTAATAAGCACGCCCCTCTTCGCGAGGCTCATATAACAAAGCCAATTCCCCATGGTTAACTTTAAACCCAAAAATGATTATGAGGCATAAATATAAAGCTCTATCAAGTTACAACAAACATAAAACACCAAATACCAGAAGCATGAGAAAATTACAGACAGCAGTGTTATATAATTGTAGTTAGAACAATGAAATATAAAGTAAGGTTCAGTTTAAAACAATGTCAAATTTCTGAACTTGGCTGCTCACCACATTTTTAAAAAAATTATTTACGTCGATATCTTTAAAAGTAATAAAATGACAGTTAATTGTACATACCTGTTGATGTACAATAAATAATCAAAATTTGAGATGATGCCATTTTGCCATTGCAACGTTATGACGTCCTGCTCCAGCCGATTGAGTCTCAGCTCGGGCTGATCCATTATAGTGGCGAAAAAATTATCCCTATCCGTTTGGTTTCGAAACGAGAGATAGATGTGTGAGTTCGAGCTGTTCTCGTTACAGTACACTTCCAAACCCTCAAAACGGCGTTGTCACGCTACGCCCGCATGTTTTCAGAAAAGCTACTTACAATATGTCTGAGCAGAAATCGCCTTTTAACTATTTGCCGAACAGCATTAAGATCGATCTTCACCACTGGGCACTGGAAACTCAAATGTTCCAAATAAACCATAAACGCACAACAAACTCGTCCCTTTTACCATTTCGACGTTGTTGTAAGGCTGAAAATATAACCTCATTGTAGACAACACGATCCTCCCGGGGTTGATAACGAGCGGGCAAATTTTGTTAGCCTGGAGTTCAATCACGACTTTTTCATACAGGTCCAGCCACAGCGGGTCGAAACTGACCCTCGACTGTCTCGAATGCACGATCGCGGCGATCTACATAACAAAGCGACACTAACAAATTCGAGCATGGGATAAATCACACCTACCATATCGGCTTGTTCGCCCGGCGGCAGGGTGCATGCCCTGCAAAGTTGCGAAATCTGATGCAAACAATCGGAAATGCTCGCGTAATTCAACAAAAACAGAAAATTCGCCGACCCTTTAAACTTGTAGGGCGCGATAATGTTGCCCTCGAGCATCTCCAGATACTCTTTGCAGTTGACGTTGAGTACGTTTTTGCTCGTGATAAACTTCGCGAGACCCTTAAATTGTTCGATCACGACGCACTCCTTCAGCGGTATCTTTATTATGGCCTTGGTAATATCCCTGGGGTCAAAAACCAAAGATTTCGAACACATTTTCAATCGGCCTTCCTGTTTTTTACAATCGTAATTTTTGCAAGTCGTGTCGGACGGTATCAAAATCACGCTAAAATCTTCGAAATATATTTCTCCCGGTTCCAACAGTAGCAACGAAAAGCTGGACGCAATAATTGGAGTATCAGTAAAACACCAACGGGATTATTTAATACGCACCGGCCCTTCTCCATATTTGTGTCGAATAATAATACTTTCAAATTAAAAATACTGTAAAAAATTCGCATAAAATCGCGAGCATAACTGCAAAACCGTTTTGCATTATCCAAACATTTTTTTCACGGTAAACAAATAAAGTGATGTTTCTTTTTTCTTTCCTTCTGTGGCCAAGACAACCAGAATGAACCGGCCAAACGATTTTGATATACTTTTTGACATTTGATGTTTTTTCTTTTTCTTCTGTCTCTGACCGATCGAGCATTTATATTCATATTCTATGAACAGAGTTTTTATGCAAAATTGAATTCAGTAATTTTTGCATAGTGGAATATCAATATAATGTCCAAAGTAGAGAGACTTTGTATTGTTTGTTACAATTGTCCTAATGGCAAATTGTTGTAGGATATTCGATCTTTCTTCACTGTCCTTTCTCATAAGCCCGATAATTCCACTAAACTTGGACCAAAGCGGTCCCAAACCTCAGCAATAATCGATTCGGATGAGGATGTAGTTAAAACAACCCCGGAGAGACATGCATCAAAAAAGCGTCCAACAAAACGCAGACCTCAAGTTTTGAGCTCAGATTCAGATGATGAGCAAGTTTCAAAACAAAAACAAACAAAATCCCCATCCAAGAAAATAAAGGAAGCAAAAAATAAAGATTTACTTAAGCCAGTTAACATAGAAGATGTGTTTAAAAATACGCCTGTAAAGCAGGCAAAAGTCGAGCATGGCAGTGAAACTCCGAAGTCAGAATCAACAAAAAAGCAAAAAAAATTAAGTGCAAAAAAATTTAAGAAAGATACAGAATTAGGAATACATAATGATAAAGATTTTGAACAGACTTTAATAGAATTAGATGGAGATGATGATGTGTTGTTAAGTAATTTGGATGTATTAAATAAAACCATTGAGGAGGCAGAAAAATCAAGAATTAATAAAGAATCTCCAAGAAAAAGACAAAGACGAAATTCTAGTTCTGAGTGTAAATTGAACCATTTGAATTTTCCTTTAGTTATTTAATATGTAAAGTATTTTCAGCCAAACAAACGCCCCATAAGAAGCAAAAATTGCAACATGTAGATTCGGGTATCGATCCAGATCAAGAGAGATGGGAAAAGAGAAGACATTCTGCAGCTTTATACCAGAAATATTTAAATAGGGGTGGTCCAAAACATCATGGGTCAAAAGAGTTGCCAAAGGTAATTTGTACTGGGTGACCTGTTTGTTATCTATAAAAAATATCAAAGAAATCTTAAGACAAAAGTTGTTTGGATTTACTTATATTTGCAAATTATTATATTGCTGTTTACGCAAAGTTGTATTTGTATAAACAACTTTTTTATTTTAAATAGAACACATTGTACATTAAGACATTTTTGAATTCCCTGGAACTTTCTAGACATATTTTGTATATAATAATCTTTACTTATGCCTTACCTGACATTTGCAGGTCTAAATTTATCTCTACCGAATTCTCTTATGTTCTTTGTTGTATATATTAGGGGTTGATTTTCTTATATCAAGCAAGATGTGTTGATATTTTTGAAATAAATAAATACAGTATGGTCAAAAAATATAATTAACAGTTGGAATAAGAAAATTGGTAAAATCATGTTTTTACTATTTCTAAAAATTCTAAATTTCAAAATTATGGCAATAAAACGCTTTAAAGAAATGACACCTACCATTTATTCTCATTTGACAATCTTTTATAAATTTTATAATAAAAACTTCATTATAAAAATTTTTAAAAAATGTGAATAAAATCAAAAATGTCATCATTTTATAAGTAACTTCGCCCCATATATGCAACAAAAGCTTTTGTCAGCGAAATCGATAGATATACTTGCACACGCTACAAAAAAAATCAAAATATCTTAGAAATGATGCGTCTAAGGTATTAAATATTGTGTATGAAATATGTCTACAATTTCCGAAGAATTCAAAATTATTTAATACACACGGTGTTTTGTTTAAATTTAAAACATAAGAAAGTTGTTCCCTGTATAATATAAAAATTTAATATTTTAAAATTATGAATAAATTCAAACAAGGTTGTTTGTTAATTTGAACACATTCTGCGAAAAGCCATCATCTCATAATAAACGGGACACCCCCGTGCAATGTTTCATAAAAATGGATATAAATATATTTTCGTGTTCAGGGAAAGAAAGAATGTTTAAAAAATTTGACATTCTTAAGAACAGGAGTTTTGGACTCATTAGAATCCCAAGAGTTTGATAATCTGGTGGTAGAGCATGGTGGTAAAACAGTCCATTCTGTATCAAGTAATATTTTCCATTTTTTTTTTGACATTCTTATTTTACAAATTATTTTAGAAAAAGTTAATTTTATTGTTGTGGGTGAAGAACCTGGGCCTGCAAAGTTGGAAAAGGCTAGGAATTATAATATTATAGAGATATCTGAAGACGAATTTTTGGACATGATATTGATAAAATCCGGATTGCAACCTAGGTATTGCCATAAAACTGTGGTTTCGGAAGACATGGGTATTGCTTCCGAAGACGACAGCCCTTCAGCATCCGAACTTAAAGATGCAATTCAATTAGAAGATGTTATGAACGCATCTCCAAAGAAAAACGTGTGTACACCTGAGCTAAAAAACAAGAAAAATGGTGAAGCACTACATTTGAAAAATATTGTTAGAGATTCAAAAAGTGAGGACAGGCGAGAGCCCCATGAGATGCCAATTGATGAAGGAAAGAAAATAAAAAAAAATGACCCTGAAAGAAATGAAATTATTTCATCTTTGAAAGAACATCAACATTCCACAGTTCCAAGTGCTTCTATGTCATGGACGGAAAAGTATAAACCTGTGAATTTAAAAGGCATAATTGGCCAACAAGATGCCAACAGTAATATGTATAAGCTGAAGAAGTGGCTGGAAAAATGGTATCATAATCAGAAACCTGAAATAAGGAAAAAATTACCAAAACCCACACCTTGGAACCAGTTTGATGGAAGTTATTACAAATGCGTTTTGCTGAGTGGTCCTCCCGGTGTGGGTAAGTTATGTAACTGTAATGTAATGTAACTTTTCGATGGTGTAGTCAAGCTAATATGTACCGGGTGGCTAATTAAGAAGAACGTTCGGGTCCATTTCTAACGGGGGCTATACACATGCAGGCAAGTCCGCGCGCATCATACGCGGGTCATACTAGAAATTTAAAAATATTTTCCGGAATTGTCTCTTGGTCGCTTTAGTCATAAGGTTTTCACCCCAAGATTTGTGCATATGGTATTAGAGGTAAATTGATAAGGGTCTTTTCTTGGAGGTCGTACATAGTTGGTCAAATTGCGAGATACCTTACGATTTGAATACGTCTCTGACTCCAGGTCAGTGAATTGCGGATCTTTTATTGTTCATGGTGTTTATAAATTATGTGTTTTCCTCTTTCCCCCATACTTATTTTTCCCGTTTTGCAGCATCGTCTGAGCAACTTGGCATTGCAACCAAGACAATTGTTGAGTAAATGAAACATTATGCAGAAATTAACAAATTCGTATTAAATGTAATTGAAACTAAGATGAAAGCACAATCCAACAGAAAGGTGCTTTAAAATTTCTCGGAGTTTACGTAGAGTCGAGACTCTCCTGGTTCAAACAGATGGATCATCATTCTCAAAAAACTCTGTTTATTGCTTTTTCATATAGAGGCTTCGCCATCATGTTTCTTTTTCCTTGTTTCTTTCGAAACTCGATGAAATCGAATTTTTCGAAAGTATCTTCGCTCGTATATAAATTTTATATCTCGGTAACGGAAAAAAAAATGTTTTTTTGTCTGCCCGTTGTTCGTTCTCGTGTTTTGGTTTTTCCTGAATAACTTTCGAACCGTTGAAACTACAAAATTGAAATTTGCCTCCTCTTTAACCCTCCACGAGGCAACTAAGTTTATAAGAAATGGCCCTAATCCGACGCCGGTATCCATCTTTTTTTCGCGATTTTCGACTGTTTTTTGGATCTTGCTATGAAGCGCGATAAGTGTCCGAAATTTGAAGCAATCGACTTCATATTTGGCACATATATGCAGCTTTGCCCCGTAACGGAGCATATTGAAAATGGGGGAGCTGGGGGGTCATTAAGTAGTCTAAAAAAAATAAAAAATCGCGCGTGCGTCTACAAAAAACATCAGAAGAAGCAAAAGATACGGCTCTATAAACTTTTGTTCTTGACAATTTTTCAAAAATATGCAGGGTGCGCCGCAAATTAAAAAAAGAACTGGAAAATGGGTCCCCCTATTATTGAAAATTGATTATAACTGAAAGACTATGATTCAAATCTCACTTTCTCTTATATTGCGATATAGCCCGCATAGACAACAAAAACTTTTGTATTTAAGGTTTTCACTTATTATACAGGGTGTTCCCGATATTCTGTGCTAAATGAGAAATGTGTTAAGTGTCCTAAATTTGTAGATATCAGCATGAAATTTAGCAGAGAAGTAAAAAAGTTTTACCAAGTATTTTTCTAAAATGTTTGAATTTTTTTTTTTTTTTGGTAATTTTAGCTTCCAGAAAAATATGTTTTCCTCCATAATCGTTCATCCGATTTGCAAAATTCTTTAACCGGCAGGCGCAGAAGATCCAGCGCAGTAACATTTGTTTCGGGCATTTTTTCGATTATTTTAAAATTATAGGCAAAAATCTAAAAGACCTCGAAAATTGTAAATTATTATCCGCAAATCAAAAATCATAAAAAATATGGCTATAGCAAGAGTTTTTGTATTTCCGGTTTTCGACTATCACATACGTTGCTCGGGATATTTGAAAAAAATCCATATTGAAATCGCTGTTTCGGGCACTATCAAGACTCGATGACGTCATTGACTATTACGGCGCAATGCATGGTTTCAGAAAAAAAATATTTTCTAGAAAATCATTTACTATTTTCAAAAAATTCTTTAACCAGGAAGGGTGGAAAAGCCAGGACTATACCGTCTACTTCGAACAATGATTGTATCATATACAGGGTATGTCGTTTATGGGCAAAAAAACTAAAATATCCTAAAAATTTCAGTGTTTGTGGGTAAATTATTGGCGATAAATGAAAAACCGTTAAAGATGGGATAATTTTATTTCGACCATATCGTAAAGCGTGTCGTGAGAGAGTTTCAGGTTTCGTCAATTATTATTTGTGCAAATTTTAATATTTACCGTTGTTTGCTGTAACTTTCAAGTTCGACGAGATGTGAAGGACATTTTATACAGGGTTCTAAGTTCCATACTGATCCGCAGGAGCACGATAGAAACCGCGAAGCTCTTTTAATAATAAAAAGCTGCTTCCAGCTACGCGCTACGAACCTGCGCCGCCCAGTGACTAGTTTTCGAAATCAATCTTGTTAAAAATGTACTATTTTTCCTATTTCTATTATTGTTTCAACTATGCCTTGGTTTGTTGGGGAGATTCCCCACGTGCGGAGCAAGTCTGTAGGATGCAGAAATGCATTTTACGGACTATGACATACTAAATTGTGCCACTTATATAAAAAGCAACTCTAAGTTTTATATGCTCTCAAGAGACTCGGATATTCGGTCCAGTTTAATATTTCCATTATACTGACAATATCCAACACTAGTAACTCAAGTCTTATGCAAATAAAGCTATCTTTATCTTTGCATATAATTTTCGAGGTAGAGCCGTATGCTCTTCTTCATTGATCACCCAGTACTGTAAAGGTCAAGGGACCTTATTAAATGTTTTTCCCGATTCCAGGGAAAACAACCACCGCCACTATAGTGTGTAAGGAATTGGGTTTTGACATAGTAGAATTTAATGCTTCGGACACGAGGAATAAAAAGCTGTTGCATGAGGAAATTTCGCAGATGATGGGCGCCGGATCGGTGGCCGGATTTGCTGGAGGTATTTGCGTTTCGCACTTTCGCTGATCGTTTTTGATTGTGTGTACCTTAGGTGACAAAAACGTGCACAAACGTCGAGTTTTATTAATGGATGAGGTAGATGGCATGGCGGGTAACGAAGACAGAGGCGGCATTGCGGAACTAATAAATTTTATAAAAATTTGCAATTTCCCGATCATTTGCATGTGTAACGATAGAAATCATCAGAAAATGAGAACTTTGGTCAACCATTGCTACGGTTTGAAATTTGCTAAACCTACTGTGGCTCAAATCAAGGTCAGATTGCGTTAGACTTTATTCTGCTGCTTTTACTCATATAAAATTATATATTTTAGGGTGCCATGTCAACGATTTGTTTCAAGGAAGGTCTGAAGATAAAACCCGATGCTCTGTCGGAACTGATTTCAGGCACTGGGTGTGACATTCGTCAAACGTTGAACAACCTTTTTATGTGGTCGGCCGCAGAAAAGAACCTGTCAGACGAAATGGTGCACAAAGAATCGGAAAAGTCCCACAAAGACGTCGTATTTGGTCCTTGGGACGTTGTCAGGAAGCTGTTCAACGACCGGGAGAACCATGATATGAATTTAAGCGACAAATTTAGGTTGTTTTTTTACGATTACAGTTTGGGTCCGTTGTTTGTTCAAGAAAATTATCTGACTGCAAGACCTACATGTATAAGGTTAGTGTTGAAGCTATTTCAGTTTCTGAAAACTCAGAGAATCATAAAGCAACAGGTTTCTTAGCTGTCTGAAAAACCTGAGGAAAATTGTTAAAAGTTTCTTTTTAAACTTAAAATTGTTTCCACAATGGTTCAAAACACTTAATGTGTTTGTTTGTGTTTAAGGTTAGTGTTGCGGCTACTTCAGAAAAGGCAGAGAATGATAGATCAGGGTCATTAGCAATTCGAAAAACTTAAGACGCCTGGTTAGTTAGGCAGAGTTAAATAATTTTCAGAGCTTATATTAAAATTTTGTTTTTCTGAATTTGAAATTTTTAACATATTTTCTGTGTTTATTGAAAAATTTATATTTGAGCTTCAGGAAACGAAGAAAAAGATAAAAGAATATGTTTCTTAGCAGTCTGAAAAGCCTGAGGAATCTGATTGGCCAGAGTTACAAAATTTCGTACAATTTTACACAATGATTCAAAACATTTGATATTTTTTGGAACTAACTTTTCTTGTTTTCTTCTTCTTGTCCTTCAAATATTTGTAAATTGCCTCCGATGTCTGGGTGCTCAGTAAAGAATTCTACATTGTTAGTGAATTTGTTTAATGTGATATTAGAATAATAAATAATAATAATAATAATAATAAAGAAAACAATATACAATATTAATATTTTTTAATTAAAAGTAAACAGATAGCTCAAAAGCTGCTTTACTGAACCGCTAAAGAACTATTTATATAATTAATAAATAACCCACTATTTAATATTTTATTATATATATTTTTTTATTTATATTTTGAAAGATTTTTTTTAAAAATGTTCACGAAATCTTAGATCACAACCATCATCACCCCCAAATTTATTGCTGCCTTTTAAAAAATGTTAGACATTATAGGTTACATTCCTAATGTATTTACAATTTTAGCAAAAATAAAGACAAAGAACATTTGATAAGGGTGATGAAAACAGCTGACTCCTTGAGCTTGGGAGATTTAGTAGAGTCAAAAATTCGAGGCACAAATAATTGGTCCTTGTTAGAAAGTCAGGCTTTGTTCTCGACGGCCATCCCCAGTCATTACATGTCCGGATCGCTCGAGAGAGTCAATTTTCCCGCCTGGTTCGGAAAAAACTCGAAACGAAGCAAAGTTATGAGGATCCTAAGCGAACTGCACTCGCACACCCGAACCACGTAAGCCTTACATTTTGAATAAATTGCAAATAATTTTCAGTAAGGGAGATATTTATTAGCACTTCAGGTGATAAAATGAGTATTAAACTGGATTATGCTGTGCCTCTCTACCACTCAATTGTGAAACCACTTTTGACAGAGGGAGTTAATGGAATTAGTAAATCGCTTGATGTTATGAAATCCTACAGTTTGTTACGCGAGGACTTAAACAATCTAGTTGATCTATGCCAAGGGTTTGGTAACAAAAATATCTTTAACGATGTCGAGTCCAGGGTTAAGTCGGCATTCACAAGAGCTTACAACAAACAAGTGATGTTGCCTTTTGCCCCACCAGTTGCTTCTAAGAAGAAAAAGAACGCCGAGGACGCCGAATTGATGGGTGAAGACGACGACGAGCTTGAAGAGGATGTAGAAGAGGACGGTGTTGAAGCTGATACAATGATTAAGGTTGGTATAAGTAATTAGTAACGAATTGTCCAGCCTACGTCGTCAAACTTCTAGGTAAAAGTCAAAAAAGAACCAGCAACATCAGCGTCAAGTTCAAAAGAGGCCAAGAACAAGGGCGGAAAGGATAGTGGCGGCAGCAAAAAAAAGGGAAAAAAATAATTTCTTTTTTGATGACTTCTCATTTTTAAAGTGTTTTTTTTTTTAATTTACCTGCTGTGTTAATATACTTTATTTTCTACATTTTGTTCTTTTTCTTTTCCACACCATTCCCTCTCATACTAGCGTGAAACTGAGAACAAAGCGCAGTATATTTTAGTTTAGAGTTGTTTGATCAATAAGTTGGTTAAGTGCGTCCTTAAATAGACGTTTTCTTAAGATTTTGTTTATAAAAAAAATAACATGGGAAATACCGAAAGCAATGTTACTAGTGGGGTTAAAAAACAGGCGGGGGCTTCTATGCAGCCACTGTATAAATTGGTGGATCTAAAAGGTAAGCCACAAAATTGAAAAACGTGTGGTGAAAATGTAATTTAGAATTTTTTAGGTTTACGCGGCTTAAAATAGCGTGATTCATATTTTTTGAATTAATTGCAATCTTTGGCGAGAAAAAATCGGTAAATTTTTAAAAAATACGCCTCGACCTTTACAGATCTCACTGTCGACTTTTAAACGATAAATATTCCTTTCCTTTGATCTTAACAAGCAAAGCGAGGTACAACAAGAAGACTGGCTAAATTACTGAGTTGATTTTCAAATTTTGTGGTCATAATTACTCAAAATGAACGGAAAAATTGGAGCAAAATGTTTCCAAACTTAACCTGCCTTGTACGGTATTAAGAATTTTGAAAAAAAAAATCAGCCATGAGCAAATGCCGGAAATAGTTTTTCTAGTTTCTGAAATGGTCACCAGGGGGCGCAATTGCGGTCTTGATAATTTAAACCCGGTTTCTACCAAATTTTCGAATATTAACCATAGTTAGAGCGAGTACTGTTTTGTTTAGTACTCTGTTTGCTTTAAAGTAAAGTGGTGTTTGGTTATAGAACAGTTTCAGAAATAAATGTCGATAACTCAAAAAAACTTCAAGGAATTTTGATGATAAAAAGCCTTTTCCCCGTTTTTTTTTATGTTTTTGCTATTAGACAATAATGAAATAATCGTCATTCAATTATTTTTTAAAATAATGTACTTACGATATTGCGGTTGCAACTTTTACCCAATTGTTTCAACAATAAATAATTTTGGTAAACAAAACAATTATACCGAAAAATCAACTAACTTATTTCTACAGAATTTTGATTACGCTGTTCCGATTTCTTTATATCTATCGTTTTTTTTCCTTATATAGGCGGAGGGTTGCTGGTGGAGCTTATGAAAAGAGCAACTCAAAATAAACAATATGCCGAAATTGACCATGCAATTAAGACAAAGGTAAGTATTTTGCTTTGGCATAAGCACATCGTTTTTACTGTTTCGTAGCCACTCTTACTATCCTCGACTAATTTCTCGAGAATGATTATCCAAAATAAAGTTTTAAAAAAGCACAAAAACACAAAAAAATTATGTGAAACCAAAGTTTTACTTTTTCGATATAATACCTATTAAAAGACAATTCCGACAAGTTTTAGGTGCCCTAAATATACTTATTATAATTAATTATAATTATACTTAGATTAACTAATTATTATACGTATTACATTATACTAAAAAAGATGATCGTTAAAAAATAGGTGTTCATTTTCTATCACTTAAAATGAGTAAGGTATCTTATGAAATCTGTTGGAGGCTCTGTATAACAGTTATTATAGTATAGCAACTAGTGTAGGGGCTGGTCAATTGAACAGCCAATTGAGCACTTCTTAAATTGGCTAGTCAAATTCGATGAAAGTACCTATTTTAACTAACACCTTGCAATTGTACGAATATAGTGTTATCTATCATTATTGAATAATACTAATGCTAATGCGTTTGTGATGTCAAATTTACCTATAACCCTCTTCGAGGAATACCCGAATACGATCTTTAGCGATTCTGGGTAGGTATTCTTCAAAGTAACCAAAATAAGAAAAACAACAGTTTGTTTCATACCTGATGGTTAGTTTAGTTAGTTATTTATATTTTCCATTATATTCACTTCATGTGAAAACTTTTTTCCCTGTTTACTGGGCTAACAAACACAGCCAACTGATAAAGAATGATTCTGTGCATTTTTTCTCATGTTATTATTATTATATATTATTTTATCAAAATTATTTCGGTCAATTAACTCAAAAAAAATTGACTGGTGAATAACACAACCCTAGTAGTTACTGCTATTGTGTTAATAAGCACCTGGAAATAATTGGTCTTGAATCAATTTAACTAGACTTTTTTTATCTTTGTATATATGTATGTATATATGATATTTAGATAAAAGATATTTTATCTTATTGTTACTTCTCTCAGAGACAATTGTTTTTTAAAATCGTTTGCACCATTCATTTATGCCACTGAAATATGTTGAATTTCGTCCAATAAGGGCTACTATTATTAATATAAACTAAAGTGCTAATGCACATTACTTAGTTTAAACAACCCCATCCCAAATTTTCAGGTAGAAAGCTTCTTATATAATAAAGGTGCTGGAAAGTACATTCCTATATCTCAGCTGGTCCTGTTAAGAAATAAGGAAAGGCCCAAACACAAATTGGTAACGCGAACAGTCGAATCTCATCGTGACTAATATATTATAGTCTAATTTTAGTTACCCCAACTAAAATCGATGGAAAATCCCGAAGATTTCGAAATAGACGAAGACGCTCCCGACATACCCGAAGAAGAATTCCAAAAGAGTATGCGATACCTATCGGCCGAACGTTAAGCCGGGCCCAGACGGATAAATGAACCTCGTAACGTAACATCGTGCCCAAGTTGGAATGTTCCGATACCATTAAAATATCGATACCTACTCATTTCGATAGTACTCAAATCTTTTTTCCATAATACTCATATAACTTTTAGCACTTAACACACAAAATTAAGAAGGAAAAGAAAACTTTTATTATAAACGTTTGCGTCACGTTAAGCACGTACTTTAAACAAAAAACTCCATGATAAGATTGGAATAATATGCCGATGATTACAATAAATAAAATTATTCGTAATCAATCTCTTGTATGTTTGACAATTTATGCTGGTTGACAATGAAAAAACATGAAGGGCAGACGTCTTTCTCGCGTTTGGCTCGGGCTCGGTCGAGTGAAGTCGGACGAGTTCGGCTTGGCTAGCGTGAGACAACGTGTCACCACAGATCAGATAGATATTATGTTTGTCTGATGCGTTCGTTTTTTTTTAATGGTGAGGCTGATTCGATTTGATACCAAGTACTTTTGTTTCGATACCTAGTAAGTATCGCAAGATTGATTCGATGCTATAAATACTTGGTATCGAATCAAAAGTATCGAGTATAACAAAGAGTATAAGATAGAAGTGAAGGTCGCGTATACTGTTACGAATGCCATCTATTATTTGTGTCCAAGGTTCAAGTACTAAAGTACTGTCATGGCGGTTTAAAGTAATGCGTCGCACTGAAAATACTATAGTAGCTTGTAACGGATAACAGCACTTTATTTATATTTTAACAAACAAAAAATTTAAAACTATTTCGACATTTTTTTTCAAATTTTACCTTTTAAACTTTAAATTGTCCCGCGTGTTTTCCGTTTTCATGACTGGACACACTGACTGACTATAAGCGTTTAAACTCTTGTACGTTTTTTAATATTGCCACTAATGGGAGCCTTCCCCTCTATCTTATACTCTTTGATTTACCGTACATTGTGGCGAGCCGTTTTTCATTTCAATTTGTTTAAGTAAACACTACGAGATGAAAGTAGCTGCTGCGGCCCATATTTATATGCTTTTGCTTTAAAAAATAAGAAGAAAAGACAAAGGCGCTTGTGGCAAATGCATTATCTTTTGAAAAGGGATGTCGCCAACAGACTTTCAATTTTTTATGAATATTATTGACCTGAATATAAAGTAAAAGGTATTAAACTTACAATGAAAGCAAGTCATCAATGTTTGCATTTGACTCAGAGTGGCCAGAGAATTCAGAACTATGGTTGGTTTTCTTTGAATTGTTAGGTAATATGGAGTTTCATTAGGTCACTTATGGCTGAGGTGACTGATAGGAATGTTGAAAATAGGATTCATATAGAGACTGGCGACGTGCGGAAAGGTTCTGATGTTGCTGTTGTTGGCTATGACATATTTACTGTTTACATATCGTGCTACCCGAGAAGAACAATAGCCTATGTCAGCGGACATATTTATCGCTTCACCGAGTTCTTTCCATGCATCGTTTCTTCTAATTTTATTGAAATATTGTGGATGTTTCGGGTTCCACAACACCTCTTTTTTCCGATACTTTTCTATAAATTCGAAGGTTCTTTTCTTTCGACCACTCCATTTCTACAAGAGCGGTAACATTACTTCGGAGGCTCCTTTGATGTGTTTCGCCACTTTACCGACAACCGACGGCTCGCTGCGAGCGGTACGCCGTGAAATTTTGACACAGAACTGAACATAAAGTTTTACGCGAGCATGTTACGTTACGAGGTTCAGTTACCGGTGTGGACCAGGCTTTAGAATACAATGAAAGCTATTTATTTCAGACCCGCACAAATATAGACACGTCTGTTGGAAACTGAGTGAAAGAGGCGCCGTCGGCGAAACAGTTCTTCTTCTTTGCCTGTTACACGCTACTTCTCTTCATGCAGATATAGCAAAGAGATTGCTGCGGTTCTATCCGAAATTGATCAACGATATTTACATGTCCGATGAGTATTACGGTGAATAACCACCGCCAGTTCGAGATAAGACCGTATGCCAACTACACCCTTTAGTTTTCGCTCAAACAACCACTAATCATATTAATTTTATTATTACTTAATTACTTGCTAAATAAACCAAAACCATTAAGAACGTGTCAAACGAATATGTAAAAATTGTAACTCTGGGCAGTCGAAGCCTACTTAACTCAAATATACCGAGTACTTAGATTATTAGATATAGAAGCTTGAAAATTTAAAACTTCTGCACAAGGGCTCTTTATTTTTTAAGGTTTTTTTTTTTAAATAATTTTAAGTAAATGTATTTCAGTTACAAACAAATAAAATTCGTTTTATCAATTTGAAATATATAGCAATAACACACACACCCATAACTTATTTTCTCAGAACATTTAACCAGATCTGATTTGCATATTTTTAAAAAATACTGTACCTAATAAACTGACATCTGTCGAATGTTCGAACTGTCAGCGGTCCCGTTGGCTGTTGAACTCCTGTAAGTGTTATTGGTTGATAACATTAGAAATATAGTAGCCCTGTCTACGCTAATAATACAGGAACTTATGAAGCAACGGTGAAAAAAAATTTAAGAAGGTCCATTCAACATGCGAATCCGCGATATTTAAAATCTAGCTTTTAACCAATGACGTTGCGGCCTTCAATAACCAACATGGCGGCTGACAGATCGTCAGTGAGTTTGAATGCAGTAATTTTACGGCAGTATTTTCTTAAAAGATGCATAGACCTCATTAAATGTTCTACGAAATCGAGTTAAATGTGTGGAAATCATTGTTTAGAAAGAAAATGGCACAAAGTGTAGGTTAGTGGGTGAAATGTAGAGGCATGCGCGGAAAACCATTTCCTCGTCTGCGAAAATATCAATGGCGCCTGTGGCGCATTAATTTTTACCCTAATAGCGCCACTATATTATCTAATAGCTATATTAGACAATATAGGGGCACTAGTGCGGAAAAAATTGACACGTCTTGACACGTTAATCCACACTTTGCGCGATTTTCTTTCTAAACAGCCATCTACACACCTTTAACTCATATTCCCAGAACATTTGAGATCTCGTATTTTTCGAAAATGCCGAATGCGAATGTACGAAATGTCGGCTGCCATGTTGGCTGTTGAACGCCATTAAGTGCTATTAAGTGCAACGCGCCGCAGGTGGCTATGATTTCTTCGTCATGCGTCACACCCCAAACTCACTGAGTTGCTACATTGTCGTAATTTTTCTGGAAAATTGATTAATTTTTATAAAAACGCAACATCAATCTCTGAAATCCAAACATAATTGATGGCGCCGGGCTAAGTAATTACTATACATGACAGTCTGTGTCCTGTGCCATTATTGTTTTCATTTTTGGTGTCAATACTCACAAACTTGGTAATATGCTTTAATGTACAAGAATTACAGGAAATATGAGAAAGCAATTAAGCCACAAGTTGAATTTTTACTAAAACACACATAAGAAATATCCCTTGTCAATTACTGTCTATAGTAAGTGCTTCTTGATAATTTTTCACTTGGATGTTTCATGTGCGATATCTATTATTTCAATGGAGGTTAAACCTCTGAGGTTATAAAACGGTTTACGCAGATTTACAAAAAAAAAATAGCTTGCATAAAAAAACATGTAGAAATTTCATCGTCTTCTTCTAGAAGAAGAAAAACGCCAAATTAATTCCAGAATCATAACTTTAACTCCTTCTTTGCCTGAAAATTTAATAGGATTTCGACATTTTCCGAAGATACTGCAGTAAAAAAGCCGCATCCAAAAATCGACGATCTGTCAGCGGCCATGTTGTTTCTTGAAAGCTGCAAGGTCTTATGGGTGCTACGTCAGAATTTATCGTTAGAGTTGCCATTGGTTAAAAACCAGATTTTATATCTCGCGCATGCGTACGTTGAATTGACTTTCTCAAAAACAATTTACATAGTTGCTTCGTGAGTTCCTGTACATCCAGCATAGGCAGGACCTCTACATGTCTAATCGCTATATGGTTAAAAATAATTAAATGTTTCACCTCATTCTTTTTTCATGGGTGCTTCAAAAATTCCTGTATTATCAGCAAGGCCTCTAAATATCTACTTTGCTATACGGTATCCATCTATCTATCGGTAATGTGATTTCCTGTCACCAGGTGAAAACGTTTTACACATTGCCATAGTGAACGAGGATCCCACGATGGTGAAATTCCTTTTGGCGGCCGGAGTGAATTACCAAGAGAGGTGTTTCGGCAACTTTATGTGCCCCGAAGATCAGAAGTCGTCAAGGACTGACTCTCTGGACCACGAATGGGTTAACGTATGTCCCGAGACAAATTACGAAGGGTAATCGATATCGATTTTTGAAAGAACGTCGTCGCAGTTTGCATTGCAGGTACGTTTATTGGGGTGAATATCCGCTGTCCTTTGCGGCATGTTTGGGACAGGAAGAGTCCTTTCGTTTGACTTTAGCGAAGGGCGCAGATCCGAACGCCCAAGATACCAATGGCAATACCGTTCTTCACTTGCTTGTCATTTACCAAAAATTGGTGAGGCTTTTAGACGCTAGCGTGAAGTAGTATTTGATTTGCGCTTTATTTAGGATACATTCGATACAGCTTACGAAGTAGGAGCTAGCCTGTCGGTTCGGAATGTTTTAAACTTAACTCCTCTGACGTTGGCTGCCAAGCTCGCGAGGATAGACATATTTTTTCACATTATGAATCTGGAAAGGGAGATTTATTGGCAGATAGGGAGTATTACGTGCGCGGCCTATCCGCTGAGCCAAATCGACACCATCGACGAGGAGACGGGTCAAATCTGTAAAATTTCCGCGCTGAATTTGGTTGTGTTCGGGGTATGATCCTTTGCAAGAAAAATACAGACTGTTAGGAAATGATGAGAAAAAATTTAAAGGTTGAATCTACCCCCTTTTTTTTAACTCAAAAATAACGGAAGTCTTTAAGTGCGGATGGCCATGGATGGCGCCCTCTCCCTATGCTTCTCGTCCCTGTATTTTTCCTTGAATTATGAGTTGCTAATAAGTAATAATAATAATAATAATAGTCGTTATTGAGAATTGAGATATATAATATACATAATAACCAGTATACAATACTAAAATATCATAGCGCGGAATTTAGCTAATATTTTTTACAAAACTTCTGGATTCCTCGTGCGTCGGTTTTTGCTGACTGAAACTCACTAGCATTTTACTCTGTACCTGCTTATATCTTATTTGAGGGAGGCGGAGCTAAATTGAGGGGTATAGATAGATAGATAGATTCAATTATTGACTACGTTTCGTACAAAGGGAACGTACAATTGTAGCAAGTCGGAAGTTATATTCAAATGAAATAAAATCGCATTAAGAAATAACATAGGAACACACATCTAATACAAACAAAATTATACAGTACTATACAGTTTTATAGCGCATCGATACCAGTCACAGTGTCAATGTATGCTCGCAGGGAGTAAAAACAATGACGTTGCTGGAATTCTTTAATAGTATGTTTAAATTTTCTATTGCTCATCTTTTTCACGGTACCTGGCAAAACATTATACAATTTCAGGTTCAACGAGTTGCTCTCAGACTTCCTCAGGCTAAATCTAGGCCGTCTAAGGAGATCCCCCGAACGAGTTGGATAGGCATGGCAATCAGAATTAGCGCTAAAGTTTCCTTTCGTTCTTTGTATCTCTATTAACTGGTAGTAGATATAGATGCAAGGAAGGGGCATCACTTTAAATTTTTTAAAATAAGGTTGACAATGGTCCTTATATCCTATATTAGCAACTACTCGAATGGCCCTAAAAATCTCCACAGCAGCTGAGGAATCACCCCCTATCAGACCTCTCAGTTGTCGAAGAACGAATATGTTGCTGGACAATCTATTTTTCAGGTCTGAGATATGTTGTTGCCAATTTAGACTATCATTGATCCTAATACCAAGCAACTTGACGGACTGTCTACTATTTACTCATTTACTAATACTCTGGGTCTTGTCTAAATTTAATTTAAGATAATTATTCTCGAACCAGACATTAGCCCTGTCCTCCAACATGCCAACCCTAACGGACAACTCCTCGACACTCTTAGCAGATGTAGTGAAGGATGTATCGTCGGCAAACATCACGCAGTGATTGGGAGCCAAGAAATGATAAACGTCATTTATGTAGATTGTAAATAGTAGCGGGCCCAGGACGGAACCCTGGGGCACCCCGCTTACTACTGATTTAAGTGATGAACGGTCATCCTGGTATTCTACAAATCGCTGTCGGCCCTGCAAGTAGGACGCTATAAGATCTAAGGGCATAAACACCGTCCCGAATGACGGATTCTCGGATTTTTCGTTGGTAGAAGAATTGATTGCACGCAAGAATTTTAGCGAACAAAATTTTATGTCCGGTTTCGTAATTGTGTTCGGCAATTGCTGATGAGTTTATTTGTCTTAGTCTTCAAGCTCTATCATGTTCTTTGAGCCTAGTTGATATTTTTCGTCCGGTCTCTCTAAGGTATTCTTTGCAGCATTTGCATGTAAACTCCTTTTGACATCATATTTCTTCAGAACTTTTGATATGTGGTCTGTGATGTAGGATTGCTTTCGGCCTCCTTGCTATTGGAAGGTTGTGGTGAAGTGTACTTTGTCATTAATATCTTTAATGTGCAAATTATTAGAGAGAAGAGCAGAGGTAAGGTGTTTTAATTCTGGGTATGCCCGGTTTCGTGATTATATTCAGCAACTGCTCTTAAGTTTATTTGTCTTAGTCTTAAGGGTCTTTCATGTTCGCTGAGCCTAGTTGATATTTTTCGTCCTGTCTCACCAGAAGAGCAGAGGTAACGTGTTTTAATTCTGGGTTCAGTGAGATAGTTTTACGGCTCTGTAAGAGAATTGATAACCGATGATTTTTGTTTTGATGTGGTGGTGGTGCATTAAGGTATCGGTCTGTGTGAGGAGTTTTTCTGTACACACAATGACCCAATGTTAGGTCTGATTTTCTATTGATAAGTATCTCTAAGAATAGGAGGTTATTATTAGTTTCCAACTCAATGGTAAAACCCATGTTAGGCTGTATAGTATCATCGACGTAGCATTTCCATAATTTTGGTTTTAGATGAAAGGTGTCGAGAGCTTTCTTCTCAAAGGCTTCCATAAATATATTCGCGATGACTTTTGATAGCGGAGAACCCATAGGTATTCCCAACGTTTGTTCAAAGATTTGACGGTTATAAGAAAAATATGTTCCAGACAAGCATTTTTCAATTAAGGTGAGAAACTTTGGTTAGTTTGTCGAGAGTTTTTACGGGTCCTATGTCGAAACTAACTAGAATATCTTGTGTATCTAATGTAATGCTTTTTAATTGTTTAATGAAGTAAACACAATTAATCTATATATTATACACCTTTTTGACAATACCTCTGATTACCCTGTATTGGAACTGAATTCTGATGTAAAATTATTTAAAACGCTTAATGCGCAAGGGCCTTGGCTGCCCATTATCTAAAGAATATGTCCCGATTTTTTTTTTACAAATTTTAAAAGCTAGCAATTAAAGGTAGTAGATTCTGGCAGTGTTTTGAAAAACCTGGTTACTGAAAATAAGTCAAAACTATTAATTATTTGCTATTAATTGTAATTAACAATATTAATTTTAAAATGGACAAATTAACGTGGTGTAACGAGTGGGTGTGCTTTAAAGTTAAAGTAAAACTTTAAACCACGTTGTCTGAGTGTCTTTTATTGAGGTTAGGTAGTAAGGTTAGTAAAAGTGAAAACAGCCCTTAAATTTTTACCCATCATTTCCGGACACCCCGTATACAAAATTATGTATTTTTCCTCTAGGACAAAGACGAGCACCTGGAATTGATGGACGGTGTACTTATAGACTTGTTGAACGCCAAGTGGAACACATTTGTGAAGTTCAAGTTTTACAGGCAATTTTTCACGTTCGCTTTTTATTTTGCCTTGTCGCTCGTAGCTTTCACGCTGAGACCCGGCCCACCGATGACGTCAGATGCTGCAAAAAATAGTACCAATATTACCATCCACAAATCACAGATCGCTAATAACAGTGTCACATCGGGAAACCTTTCAAACGAGATTGCCCATTTGCTTAATGTTACAGTTTTGAGAAGCGACAAGAAAGGTAAGTCATGTAAAACAATATTTTCAAAAATACTTAAATATGATAAAAGTATTCAAAATTCAAAAAAGAGTTGAATTATTCCGTTCCGCTATTAATGTCTAATTAGCACTAAATTAACCAGCGTTATCAAATATTTAATATTAACACTTAATTTTTCATTAGTAACTAAGTGGGTCGAGTTCAAAAAAATTTATTTTTATCGGCGTTGCTAATTGAAAAAAAGAGAAGCTTTTTGCATTTTTATTTTTTTTTTACCAAAGCCAGAACAAACGATCCAAACTATTTATCGTTGCATACAGTAGAAAATTTTGCAACAAGAACATTTAACAAAAATAATATTTTGAAAATAGTTGCAAAGGCAAGAATTAAAATTGAAACCTTTTTCCAGATTTTTCGTTTTTTTCGGATGTCTACAAAAATTGTATTGACCACAGAAAATAAAATTAAAATATGTAAAAAAGTATATTAGTAGTTGTTATGATTGCAAAACTACGATTTAGATTGAAATCTGTTTTTTAAAAGTCCAGTGGGGTACCTTTTAATATGACTATTTAATGCTACATTCTTACTTATATACACGGTGTGACAAATAAGCGTAATTTATCGAAAACATATTTTTGTAAATAGGAAGCACTCTACATTATTTCGCAAAAAGAAAGATAAAATGGTCACTGGACCACCCCACGCCTTTTGTTTAATTATGACAGTTATAGCGTATTATTATTGTATTATATAGATAATACAAATAAATAAACACTAATTTAGCACTTAGTTTAAGTGCGGACACGTACAAGTGATCTTGACGCGAAGCCTCTGACAAAACGTCCTACTTTAGGATCAAATGAACGGATGAATACCCGATTCAACACCAGTACACTAATTTATAAGTATAAGTTGACGCTCTATTATTAATTTATCTAAAGCTTTAATTATCCAGTCAGGTTGTCAAGCATCAAAAATATTTATTTCACCCCTAATCAGTTTTTTATTTTTATTTATTAAGTAAGATCTAGTATATTTCCAACAATCTCTGTTGGAAATGAAAGTATTTGATTTATTCTAATTGTATGCGTCTATCTTCGCTGTATATTTGAACGTATATTTGAGTCTGCCATATTCATTTTTATATAAAGTTTTATATCCAACGATTTGTTAAATATGATCTTGCGGCATTCAATAACCAACATGGCCGCTGACAGATAGTCAATAAGTTTCTGCTGTGCGTGTTCTCAAAATATACCTAGATCTCGTTGATTTAAGAAAACGCCTTAAGTGTGTAGAAATCGCTATTTAGAAAGAAAATGGTGCTGGTTAATTAGTGAAATGTAGATGCATGCGCGGAAAACGTAACGTCATGAACATGCATGGCCAACTAAGTGACTATTTAATTTTTGGTTAATTGTGGACTTATCGTCAAAATAACTGTAACATATTCCACATTTTTAAAATCAGCGGTAAAAAACGATTCTTTTTATTGAATGGCTCGCGAATTAAAACATATAATATAAATAATAATATAAAAAAAATAGTACTAATATAAAATAATATAAAAAAATAATATAACTTTCCTATTTTACGCTTTTTTAGCACACCCTGTACATAAATAAAGGTGCAATATTAAATCTACACCTCAAACCCCGTAAATTTTGGATCATTCTTGCACAGGGTTTTCATTTATATTTGGACACCCGCCTAAAAAGTTTAGGCGATTGACAAAAACTATTTTCTTAAAAGTTGTATGTTTTTTTTTCGTATCATCTTCTGAGCGCAAAAATAAAAACAAACGAACGCCGTAAATGTAAAATAAAACCAAAAAAATAATTCTTTTTAATAGCATATTTTTACTTAAGATAAAAGTCCCTTTTGACCCGATTTCAAAAATATATAGCTTTTTGGTATTTGGTTTAGCCGTTAATTAAATAACTTTAACTTTTACATAAGCCCTTTTAATAAACTCTGTAGGTGGGTGTCAAAAATAACCCACGACGTACGACACATCCAAAACCGAGTCCAAACTCAAATGGAGTGACCTTTTTTTAAGGTAAAGAAAATCACGACAATGACGAATACGACCTGCAGGAATGGTGGGATAACTTGCAAGAAGAATGCCGGCTGATGAATCTAGATTCTGACGAAGCCAAGGTTAGGTTTTTCGGAGAAGTCTCCATTACGGTCGGCGCTTTTTTGTATTTAGCAGCGGCCGTGAGGGAAGCCCGGTTTTTAGGAGGCAGGATGTTTTTTGAAAACCTGGTAGATACTACAACGTAGCGTAAAATAGAATTTTGAACTTACTCTATGTTGTATTTAAGATGACGGCTCCCTCGAGAGTCATGTTTTTATTTTCTTGCATACTGGTATTGTCGATTCCCTGGCTCAGGCTGTGGTGCCAAGACGAAATTGAAGACGTAGTCGCCATAGTGATCATGTTAACAACCGCTCCTTACTTTTTGTTTTTCTGCAGGTAAACCCACGATAGCTATTTGAGAATCGAGAATATCAAGCGCGTTTATTTTAGAGGTTTCAAAACGGTCGGCCCTTTCGTGGTGATGATTTACCGCATGGTGATGGGTGATCTCTTGAGATTTGCCTCTATTTATTTGGTGTTTGTAATGGGATTTTCGCAAGGTACTCGTTTTAACCATATAGCTATTAGATAATATAGCGACAATATACGGTAAAAATGGCTTTAGTACCTAAGCCTTTGAGTTGCGACATTATCGTAATTTTTTGGATCTATTTTCATAAAATCGAATATCCGGATATTCTTGGCAACAACGATGTTTAGTAGAAAATGTAATTTTAACATTTATTGAGTGACATTCCATAATAGAGCAATTTGTTTGGTGTTTGCATTTGAAACTGGTAAGCTTTTCCTTTAATTTTGGAAAATATTTTTGTAAACAACGCAATCATGAACCTTTTATAAAAATCATTCTCAGTTTTACTTGCAATCTATAATAATATTTTATTCACCAGAAGCCTCGTTAAATTCTAAAATCGCTAATTGCTATTGTCGCAGATTACTAGAGCGCATACGATATAGATTTTTGCGTAGAATTCAGTGGCGTAATTAATTAGTGGTCTGTTTGGAACAAAATTTTATTTTATGTCCATCAGTGACATTCTCTTCGCAAATATTTAAGCATTTAATTATTAGTTAGTTTTAACCACTATTTTAGTCATTTATGATAATTAAGTATTTTAACTTATACAAAAAAATTTGAATAAAAAAACAAACTTTTTTTTTTCAAAAAGACGAAACCATTTAGAAAAAAACTGACTGCGGCCCTAACGTAAAATCTCGTAAATACGCTTTTCACTTTTCCGACATTTCATAGGATACGAGGGGTGCTCGAAAACTTAAAATTTTCAAAATCACCCTATATTTTAAAAACTAACTAAAAATGGAACACAGTGTACAAGGTAATTTAAAAAGATGGTTTATATAATACCGTCACTCACAAACTATAATTTCACTAAATTACAGCAAATGTGCAAAATATGAGGACCTCACAGGATCTTAGAGAAACCCGGGTGATGTCCGTTTATTTTTCATTTAACAAACCGTATTGGGCACATTTTGAGAAAATACTGCCGTAAAAATGCCCTATCCAAACTTATTGACCATCTGTCAGCGGCCATGTTGGTTGTTAAATGCCGCAAAGTCTTATTTAGCCAGAATTTGCAATCACAGGTGTCATCGGTTATAAAATAAACTTTGATTTCTTAAATTTCAATTTTTAAAATAGGCAGGGCCTCTATATCTTTACTACTAATATGGTTTCAAATTATTCTTATTTTATCCTCTAGAACTTTTCAAAACCTTATTGCTCGCTAATACTTACTTACGGGTAAATTATTAAATTTTAATTAACTTATAGTTCTTTTAGTTTAATTTTTGTTTTTAATGTTTCGATGTCCACAACTTAACAACTTAATGAACGATGGAGTTATGGAGTTTTATATCATCGGTCAGCCAGTAAAACTATTCTATGGTGAGGCCGCTTTTTTATTGCCGTTTGTTTCCTTTAGCCTACTACATCATATTTTTGTCATTTGACAATCCGTTAACTCCCGAAGAAGTGGACGATTCAGCCACGAATCCGATGTCGACTCCAAGCGAATCAATCATGGCGATGTTTCTCATGTCGATGACGAATTTCGGAGATTATTACGAGGCGTTTGCGAGGACCGAACACGAGTTTGAGGCGAAAGTAGGCGGAATCGGAAAATACAGAGTAATCCTTAATGGTGTATCAATACTAATACCAAGCTTCTGTTTATGCGTCTTTGTCCGAAATCATTTAGTCTCTTCTACTTTACAAGTCTAATGAGAATTGAGGTAGCCAATACGGCTGTTAAGCAATTTCCAACAACTTTTTGATATAAGTCGTAAAAAATTGGTAAATTTAAGCTATTTTAAGCAATATAACAAAAGATTTTGCCCGAAAATTGAGGCATCTTAAAAGTTAAGTATTTTATTACTTCACCGAGGTTTTCCCTTAAAACGATTTCAGCATTGATGCACCATTAGGGAACACCATCTCTATATCTTAAATTTATTAGGCAATTTCAGATTCTTTTTGTTGTATTCATGGCCATAGTGGCGATCCTTTTGATAAACATGTTGATAGCCATGATGGGAAATACGTATCAAAAAATTGCCGAAACCCGAAACGAATGGCAAAGGCAGTGGGCTAGGATAGTGCTGGTTGTAGAGAGAGGCGTAAGCCCACCGGAAAGATTAAAACAGTTGATGGTTTACTCTCAGCCCATGTCGGATGGTAAAAGAGGTCTGGTTCTCCGACTAAATCAATCGGTAATGATAGTTTGAAGAATCGAACCGGGTGAAAATTGAAATACGATTACTTTCAGGACGAAGATAAGGAAGAGATGAAAGAAATTTTGGAAATAAAACGACGTCACGACCGGAATATAAAAAAAAGGAATGACCCCCATGAAATGGGCCTGACCAATGCAGACGGTACTCGGTTAAATATGTCACCCAAAAAGTGTGCAGTTTAGACGAAAATAGATATATAACAGCGTCAGGGTGTTTTTTTTTGTTGGTTCACAAACCAACCCCAGTTTTAATGAATTTTATGAAAAACTTAAATCTGCAGAAAAAATTATTATGATATTATGATGAGATAAATAAAAACAGATTTTTTAAATTTGTTTTCGAGAGACACCGACGATTCTTAAATTTTCTTATGAGCGCCATATTGAAAGTTTAAACTATTTTATGCTAAAAAATGCTTTTATGCGATATACCACACAAGCATTGATTGTCATTCTTAGTGCCACAAAAGCAACATTTGTTTTTGCATCGGAATAACATGGAATAGTAACTGAAGATGCATTATCAATAAAGGTATTCGTTAATAACATTTATTTTTGCAAGGTCCACTATGTTTATAGCAATAACGGGACTGTCAAAATCTTTCATTTTGAGCGCTCTTGGTCCACCATAAAAAAATTACTTTTGCCCTTGTGTCCCTAAAATATTCAATATGGCAGTGGGGTGCAGTACAAGGTATTGCAGGGTAGGCAACAGGAAAGAAAATAGCGGCGCAGGCGAAAAATTTTTGAGGTGCCACGCCCTAATTATGGTTTCTCATAAAGGACATAAAAAATAGAACGTATAGTAGGCAACAGAACCAAAAAAGCGAAAAACTCAAAAGAAACGCATGTATTACATACAGCACAACACAATACATTATTTTGTATATTGTAAAATTTACTTAATATATTTTAACATATTTTAACTTTAAACCCAAACAAAATAAAAATCAAATAACAGCAAATAAATTTATTATTTATAGATTAATTCAAAACGGTGATTTGTTTTCAAAAACTCTTTGAATACAACCGCAAAGCCACTTATAGTTCTCGTAAAACTTAACATTAAAATACCTGGTTGTTTTTTTTTTGCTGTTGACATAACTTTAAATTCGGATTCGGTCGTCCACTTTTATAAATTTTTGTTTTTCAACAAAACTTTTGCTGCCGAACGATGCCAAAGTCTTCAATTTTTTAATGCAATTCACATCAGCACTGCACTCACAGTCCGACATGTTTACTTTTCATTAGACATCACGCCAAAAACCAACAAAACGAATAATTGGTCTATCATTCAATCATAATTTCTAATTTCTTCGCGATTACGCCGATTAGCGACTTGCGAATGTCAAAACAAAAACAATATCGTACACAATATTGCCAGATTTCCAATTAGCACTCCCTAATATAACTTATGGCAGAATGATTTTGCAGTAAAATAAAATAGTAAAGAAATCATTTGGAAACAATACACAGATGATTTACAACCAAATTTCTAATTTGCTACATAATACACATCTCGATAAAATATCATAAAATTGATCGTTTACCTAAAATAACGTGGGACCGTTTCTTGCATAGTTCTGTGATAACATCGGCATTGGCAATACCGCATGCGGCGGGCCGCGGTATCGCAGTGCATCCGACGGAACGGACGGTCCCGACTGCTTTCTTGTGTTCATTGCTTGCAGTAACGCACTGCTTTTGCTTGGACATTTATATGTAATGTTAAGCTTCGGCCGTGCGTTCGACTTTAAATAATGGGATGCGTTTTTTAGGTAATAATAATACGTCGAACAGGTGGCGTTTGTTTTGTATGATGTTTCCGGCTTTGCAACCGTAATAAAGACTATACTAACTTATTATTTAGAAAAATAAAAATATGTAGGTCATTTTAAATAGGTATGTCGTACGTGATTTTTTTTTTATGTTTTTATTTATTTTGTAATTTATGTTTGTCTTGAATAAACGAAAGGGTAGGCAATGCAATTTTGCCTACGTGTAATGCACGCCACTGCAATATGGCACCTATAAAAAAGTTTCATATTTTGGGCTACAGACAAATAGAAAATTCAACTATTATATTTTCTCAAATTCGATTCACGCTGGGGGTAGATTTGAGTTTCTCATAAAATTCTTTTAAACTTTCCTAATGGAACCGACCGTGTATCTCTTATGATTTTGGACATCCCATTCTATCCCATTTTGATATTGGACACACGGTATACGTAAAATGTTCAAACCGGAGGATGATAGAATAAGTACACGAACGCATTTTAATTGATTTTATTACCAAACTGAACAAAATATTTAAGCGGGTTTGTTTTTAAATTAATAATTAATAATTTTAACTATTATTTGTATGAAAGACCAGCGTTGTTCCTAAATTTCTCCAATTCAACATTTTCCCAGTGACTTTGAAGCGGTAGCTCTTTCATAATCCTGAAAAGTTTCAAGGTTATACAGAGTGGCCATATCATACCATACTGTTTTGGTTAGTTCAATGAATTTTAAAAAAATAAAATTTTCAAAAATCAAGGACAAATTTTTCCAGAAAAGTTAAAAATCCATTTTTTTCTCATTTTGAGAATATTTCATTAGCAGTTAGATTTTATCAAAATTAACAAAAGTTATGATTTGCTCATGGCCGAAATTTATTTTTGATGTAAAATTAAGTTAAGCGAATGGAAATTTCTTTTCCTATCAATTGCGACCAATTAAACTTACAATTTTACTTCTTTATAAACGTCTTCTTCGTGATCTGTAATACCATTTTGTAAGACATTCAAATTCCAATTTAGTAACTGTGGCGTATTCATGCCGACTAATATGGTATCCGGTCCCTTCTTTTTAAGACTGTCGTACACGGCTAATTTACCTAATTCTACGTTGCGACTCTAGAAATAAGCCCTTTCGATTGCCTCAAAGGTTTTATTTTATCTATACAGTATACCTTGCAATATTCGCCAGCTTTGGCGCACAGCCTTTTAATGTTTTCCGATGCAGGGTGCCAGTTTTGTGGTCCGCTGTTCGTTAATAACCCCATCCCATTGACAGCAGCATTTATTAAACCGATTTCTTTGCTCTAAACCAAAAAACGTTGGTCAATATTATACAAGGCGTTGACGAAATAGTCTGTCAAACTTTTCTGATAGATACTATGCTATACCTAAACTAATTAAACATACTTTTTTTTTAATTTGATTGGCGACAGGGGCGTACCAATTGCTTTCTAAATTAGTGAATATGGTTCCAGGTCCGTCCTAGGAATTTATCTACCTACATTAAAAAGCGGGATATAAGTATGTTTTCAATCTTATTTATTACGTTCTATTTCATTACATTTCTACATACTATAATTATTAATATACAAAATATTAAATATAATAATATTAAACTGTCAGTCATTTAAAAAATCGTCACTATGGCTACTGTTGTCACCTAGTTCAGATCAACTCCGCCACTAATAGTTCTCGATAAGTATTTTCTTTTTTTATTACTCATTTTTCACAGTTAGACCAGCTTTGTACGGAAAGTTTAGCTACCTCTAATTTTGGTGCAGTATTATTTCTTAATGATAAGGGGGTAATCTCAGGATTTCATGTCCGTTTTGCTTTATTAAAATGTTTTATTTTTAATAATTCCTGAAGTTTTTTTTTCGTCTAGCTCTCTTCACAATATATATTTCTTCTTTATTTGAAGAAGTATTTAGAATGTTTCTAATTTGGGCTGACTGATACGAGGCATTATCCAACACAATGACAGTATTTGGCGATAGTTTTGGCAACGGTTTACAGTACCAGCATCTTCTCTCACTTTCCTCTTGACTATGCCATTTGCAACAATTTTTCTTACTTTTTTTACTTTACTCATGTCACTTGTTTTTATTGCTGCTCCTACTTCCCCTTACGAATTTCTTATAAAATTGTAAACATTCAAAACAATTTTTTTAGCATCCGAAAACAAAGGGATAACCTTTTTTATTTGCTGGGGTAGTTCGTCTTCTAAATTGTGTTGTTTTCCATGTGAACACCTGCTTTATTCCACGGTCTCCACATTTTAAGTGTTAAAAAACAGAAACCTTCAAAACATGAATAATTATAAAATTTTTATGACGTACCTTTATCTACTGCTGTAAGATAAATAGGTACTTACCCTTACCCTTCGACCTAACCAGTGAAAATAGCCTCGCAGGGTCAAAGTTCGAGAATCAGGTACATAAATATGTACTTACTGGAATGATCACAGTCAAATACCTCCGTAATATATATATATATATATATATATATATATATATATATATATATATATATATATATATATATATATATATATATATATATATATATATATATATATATATATATATATATATATATATATATATATATATGTAAGAACGATACATATAACCTGATGTTAAAAAAACGCTTCTACTTATTGGAAAATACCCCGCAGCATCAATGCTTAGTCAAATTTAAAACGGTCTATTTACTTTTCAAATAAAAATTTCAAGTTTCTAGAAATATTCGTTACGGTTCATTTGAGGCAAGACCTACTTAATGTGGTTAATGTTTTCCACGGTCCTGCGAAGGTCTGCGGTTAGTTGTACTATACCAACTTCTTATCTTAGAAATACTTGAGAACTTTCTTACGCGTTAAACACTGATTAAATAACGCTCTGTAAAGTGAAATTCCTCTCAACTGCAACAAAATGTGTTTGAATCAGTCGTATTGGTACATAGCGCCTTTTTGTGACGTAGAATCTATTAGGAAAGTTTGACATTGCGCCTTGAAGAAAGACCTGGACAATACCTTGAAAAAGGGTACAAAATCGTCCAAAGTATTATCGATCATTGTGCCTCTACAATAGCTTAGCACAGTTTCAATTCTCACTTTGCTTCGTTCGATACAGCTTTTAATTGTCCCTAATGGATAACCTGTAATGCCAAGATGGCGCGCTTTTCCAGAGCCGATAATCTCTTGTACAGTTGGTAACGTTTCATTCAAGACGACATCTAGATTTGGCGCAAACTCCAAGTCGTGTATCTTAAACATTTCGTATTGAAAGTTACGCCGGCAAGTGTCCCAAAAATACCTGCAAAATATCGACATAATTTAGTCGCAGACGTTGTAAAGATTCGTCGATGCTCTTCCGAGTTCTTTCAGCGGAAAAGTCGAACATTAGCGTTGGGTCTTTTTCGTATCTGCAGACTTTCGTTGCGAGATAATAGGCCTCCCTTGGAATACCTTCTAAACACTGAAAATAGGTGTTATAACAGTAGTCCAATAATCTTCAATTTTCGTGTATATTGGGGTATTTTAATTTCAAACGCTACCTTTTACACAAAATATGAACATACGCCACTGAACTTTAAAGTACGTGGGTATATAAGAATTAATTCTAAATACACGGCGTGTTATATTCATAAAATGGAAAATTCTCTTGGTCTCTACTTTGTTTACGGTATTTATACCAATAACAGAGCCATTCACAAATGGTAACCAACAATAAAATCTCTCTATATTGTTGAAATTTTTATCAAAATAAATAAGAACTAAAAGTTCAGATTTTCTCGAAATTATATATATATTCACATGACAATTGTTTCGACAACAACGTGTCTTTATCAAATGTGAAGTTTTTATCCATGTTCTCAACTTTGTTTCCACATGTCACTCCATGTTAAACAAAACGACAAGGTCACTAACTATTTACGCATTAGTATTGACTATACACATTATTGATAATTTATATAACGACTCAATTTATATACGCCGGCGATTATTTATATTTCCGCGCTCCGGTTTCTGTTTTCGACTGACTCACTAGGGGCGCCGCGCTTATCTTTTATAGAAGCTGCGCTTGTGATTTCGCTGCGATTCCTACCTACGCCCGGAGATGATTACCCTAACCACACGAAACTTGAACATGCTTCACATTGTTACACAAAATTAAAAAAAAAATCATACCAATCCCAGAATTTTTTCTGATTCACCATGTCCATACCAAGGAGCGGTATCAATTAAATTGATCCCGCTTTTGATGGCTTCATAGATCGTTTGTTTGCATTGATCCACAGAATAATCTCTTAAATTAAAATAAACAAATATCCCAAATGGGAGTAACATATACAATAGCCTACCCGTAGAAATAGGAAAATCCGCCCGTGCCCAAGGAAAGTTTGCTCACTTTCAAACCAGTACATCCCAGGATGTTGTATGACATATTTTTAACAACATTTTTGTCATGAAATCCGGGGACAAAAGTTTGCGGCAAATTTAGATCCATCTTAAACAATTCTTGGCCAGTTACTGTTAATTTATATATATAATATCACTTTCGAATAAAATAATATTTACATGTTTTATCGTTAAGATAGGCACCGGCATGATAAGTGCATTAACAAGCAAATAATTCGCTAATAATACAAGGCGAACAAATGATAAATACTTTCACAAAAACACCATACCTGCATCAACCGCTTGATAGCAGTAAACAAATATATTTGCAATTACGTACGGACCAAGCAAATTCCAAAATAGCACTAAACACAAAATTAAATAGGTAATCAATATTATTATTATTATTATTATCTTAAACTAAAATCTGTAGGTTGAATTAATTTAAACATGAGGCTTAATTAAAACTCTTAATGCTAAATACTACTAAATAAATTAATACCTGAATTAACTGTTTTCGTTTGCTTCAAGGATATTAACTGTAAATGCGAAACAGTATTCACAGAGATGGAACATAATGTAATGTTGGCTGCATAACTGTTACGGTAGAAATTAGAAGTAGTTCAAAATTCAGCATATAACTTGTGGTGGGTATTTTTGCCGGTAGTTCCTAAGATACACAACTTGCGATACTGACTTAATTAGAATGAGGTTAATGCGTTTGCTTCACAATTATTTGCATGGGAATATGAAATAATATTAAATATTTGAGCCATGCAAAAATTATATTTATTGTTTTTGCAAAGCATATTATAACCTTACAATCCACATTTCAATTTTTAGATATAAATAGCTTTATAATATAGGTATATAATGACCGATTGTGAATGTGTGAAGAGAGTTCTACTCCAACAAACCCAACTTTGCTATTATGTCTTCCTTGAAAGATTTGAATGCTGATAAGCAATTTAAACCATTGAAGACTATGGAAAATCCTATGTTTTCCTCTACTGTCAGTAGTGAGGACATTTCAAATCACCAATCATTGTTTAAATTTGGCAGCAAAAGTGATGATTTATCTGCAATGTCTGTTGCTAGCTTATACAAAAGTGCTGAAAATTTAGATATAGATATGGATACTACAAGGTGAGCACAATTTGCATGTTGGTAGTATGACAACAGGTCTCATCTACCTGTTACAGCTGACTTTTTTATTAATTAACTTAATTTACTAATTAAAAGGACGTTGATATTAAACTACATTTCTTTCCCCACCTTTTTATTGATTTTTGTTTATGGACATCTAACATGCCTTTTTAAAACTACTACTTTTGATTGAATTTTGACTGAAATTCTGTACTGTTGTGTTTCTTCTAAAGGGACATTTTAACAGAGCAACCAAAGAAGGCACCAAGAATTGTAATAATGCAGAATTTGAAACCTGTTACTGTTGTAAAAGAAAGTGAGAACATTAATTCTATCGATAATAAAAACTGTCCCAGGCCAACAATATTCTTCCGTGATGGAATAAGATCGGTAGACTTTATTCTAGTATGGGATTCATCTGATGAAAATGCTATAAGTCCAGATGGTTACATGAAGAGGCAAATTTTTGAAACAAACTTGAATAAGGAAGGCCTAGAGTTGGAATATGAAACTCCTGAAGAAAATGGATTGAATTTTGTTAAGGTATGAGCTAGAAATACATTTGTTGCTTATATTTGAAAAATATATATTTAGGTGCATGCTACTAGAGAAGTACTAAGACGGTATAGCGAGATTCTAAAGTTGAGAATGCCCATGCGGGAGGTAAATTATATTCAAAGTTCTTTAAATTATGTGTTTATAATTTATTTTGTCTCAGTTGCAGCTTATTTTTTTGTTTCTTTTTTAATTTATGTTTTCTATTATTTAGGAATTATGTAAATTGCCCAGAGAGTATCGGCTTAATATGTTTAATAATCCCAGTTCTTATTTGGCACAAAAGGTAGATCATGTTGTGTTTGTTTTTGCTTTTTTTTACGTTAATGTAATATATAGAATGTTTTGAAATTGATGCAAAGCAAAGTGTAATTTTGCAGAAAAAATAAGGGAGGTTTTTCTTATTATTTTTCTTTTTTACTAGCAATTTTATCAGAAAAATGAAAATTTAAGGCAGGATATCCAACACAAAATGATAACTTTACAAAGTTCAAAAAAATGTCACTGCTTTTGTTGAAAAGTTAACCAAAGTTTTTCTTTTACATCAATTTTAAAACACTCTATACATAGTGATTTGACTCCAAATTGAGGGAGTTATAACATTTGGTAGGGGGCCTTTATTTTTGACCAACAATTCATTATTAACATAGGTCGCATTTTTTATGTTGAATCATTTTTAACTTTTCCATATTTTATTTTTAATATTATTTCAAATGAATTTATTCTGCCTAATTACATTAAACAGCTTTCACAAGTTTCATACTTGAAATTCGATAATGATGCTAACCATTCATCCATTGCAAGATATTCGTGGACTAATAAAACGAGGTTTAATTCCCCAATCGATTGATGTCACTGAAGGTTAAGGGTAGATTGTGAATCATACTCAATCATACTGAATAGGAGCTGCAAAACTCCAGGCAATAATATTTGAATCATCTTGTATACCACAATTTTAGATTCCCGCGTTGAGGCAGATGTCAAGGCAAACTAATTTTATAGTAGAAGGCATCCATGATCAATGGAAAAAATTGAAGACCTTCATCTTCATTGATCAAACCAAATTTCCGGAAAAAGAACAAAGATTCACTGCCGTTTATAGTAGAGATAGAGATTACTTGTACTGATAAAGATCCTAACATAATTCTGAAACCGTCTCATAACACAAATTTCAGATTTGATATTAATTCCGAATGTTTTTTTACACCCGCCATACATTCTCGAATAGTTCAGTTTATCCTGGATCGTAAAAGATTTAGTCACAGCATGAGCGAAGATTTCGCTTTTGGAATCGAAAGATTACTCGACGATAAAATATATTCGGCAGCTTACCCGCTGCATGACGTAAGCATACATAGTATACAGGGTGATTTACATTGACTGGCCCATTGAAAGTCCTTAGAAATTAAAAAACAATGGCGAAATCTCAAGCGTTGTTTTAAAAAATGTGTCTTCCGAAATTTAATAATTGAAACTCTTAATATGCACCCTTTACATATTTTGTTGCACTTTGAACTATAATAACTTTTTTGAAATATAAGCAGATTATGGCAATAATTCAAATAAAAAAAATTGGTGAAATGGGGGAAAGGTAAATAATGATTACCATACACTTTCAAAGCATTTTGTGTTAGCAAACCAAAATCTTTTAAAAATAAATTTTGGTTTTCGTAACCCATTTTTTTTTTGAAAAATATTTCAAGCAAAATCGCAAATGTGCGGAAGTAACAACTTTTTCCCTAAAGAAAACGTGACAACCAACTTAAAAAAAATCTAAAACTATGTTAAAATAAAATTGAATTTTTCTACATTGCTGGACGTAACGTTGTTCTATATAGATTTTAAGAATTTACCTACGACCAGGGAGAGGCCCGCCCCATTGGAACTTTCAAGATTTTAATAAGAAAAAATTATTTAAAAATACAGATTTCTAACGTAACTCACAATTAAATAACACCACTTACAAAAAATGTCAACTTTGAACTTATTTCTGAAAAAATTCACAATAAACCTGTAAAACCTGTAAACTAGGTTATAATTGGGAGGTAGTTGTAATTTTAAAATATTGAAGAAAACATATGACTCAATGTGGATCACCCTGCTTAGTAAATCTTCTATTACTTGTGAATTAAACTCGATATTTGAAGGGAGATCTGAAAACCAAAGAGTCTACCAGATATTTATTGTACACTGAATGGGCTTCCTTAAGAAAATGGTACCGATATCAACCTCTGGACTGCATCAAGGAATACTTTGGTGTGAAAATCGCTTTGTATTTCGCGTGGCTTGGGTTTTACACTTACATTTTGATACCCCCCGCATTAGTTGGTCTGGCGTGCTTTATATACTCTTGTGTGACCCTGTACGACAACAAACCAAGGTAAGAGATTCATTTATTTAGACAAAATAGGGTTAATGGTAAATGAGGTTACAGTGAGGATATATGCAAGGACTCTGAAACTAGAATGTGCCCTTTGTGTGACGTGTGGTGCGACTATTGGAATTTAAAAGAAAGCTGCGTTCACGCTAGGATAACATATCTTTTCGACAATCCGACAACTGTATTTTTTGCTATTTTTATGTCTTTTTGGGGTTCGTATCTTAAAGAGAACACATATCCCAGCCAGAATGCACCTAACAAACTTTATAGCGACGCTGTTTTTGGAGATGTGGAAACGGTACTCGTCAGAAATAACCCACAGGTGGGACTTGACGGGATTCGATGTGCAAGAGGAACATCCCAGACCACAATATCTGGCCCGATTGGCTCACGTTAAACGGAAGCAAGTGAACGTTGTTACCAACACCATGGAACCGTTAGTGCCGTTCTGGAGAATCAAAGTTCCCATGACCATATTCAGTTTTTCCATTGTTTTGTTGTTGGCAAGCTTGATATTTTTCCTCCAAGTGTATAATTTTGTTTTACACCTATTCTTCAAGGTCAGCATGTCGCTAGCTACCGTGGTGGCCGTGGTATTATACAGGATGTCGCTGCTGGTGGCACTGAAGGTGCATTCTGATAAAGTAGATAAGAGCTATGTGATTTTGTTTACCACCGCCACTGCCGCTTGTATAAACTTAGTTAGCATCCTCATTTTCAACTACGTAGGTATACAGTTTGTTCAAGATAAGAATACACAGCATCTATAAAAGGGTTCAAATATGTCTTGTTAAAAAACTGACATCCCCATGCTGTCATACTTATTTTGCACCCCATTGTTGTTCTATTATTACCAGCATGGCTCAGAAAATTAGTTTTTTCGTAAAATTGTTTTAGTAAATAACGATCAATCTTGCAGTGTCCCTCCCATTGGAAAATTGTGAGTAGTAAAGTTTCTTTTCAGATTTATACCTATGTGGCAGAATACTTAACAGAATTTGAATGTCTTAGAACCCAAACCGAATTCGATGATTCATTAACTTTGAAGATATATCTTCTGCAATTTGTGAACTATTATGCTTCAATATTCTACATAGCCTTTTTTAAAGGCAAATTTATCGGATTCCCTAAGAAGTATAACAAAATCTTTGGCTATAGGCAAGAAGAGGTACCAACTCTTTGGTGTCGCATCCAACCCTGATTGAATAAAAATATTGCAGTGCGGTCCCGGAGGTTGTCTAATGGAGCTTTGCATCCAGTTGGCTGTCATTATGGTAGGCAAACAAGCGATGAATACGGTTTTGGAAATGATTTTTCCTTTATTCTTTAAATGGCTCAATACTCTAAGAGTAAAAACTGGTCTCAGTAAAGAAAAACGATCTTGTAAAGGTTTGAGGCCTCAGTGGGTAAAGGATTTTAAACTTGTGGAATGGGGTCCCAGGAGTCTGTTTCCTGAGTATTTGGAAATGGGTATGTCCAACATATAGCACATTCAAATGCAATTAAAAGAAATATTTTGTTTAGTTTTGCAGTATGGCTTTGTAACTATATTCGTAGCAGCATTTCCTCTGGCCCCATTTTTTGCCCTTTTGAATAATATCCTAGAAATGCGGTTGGATGCCAAAAAATTGTTAACATTCTATAGAAGGCCGGTATCACAAAGAGTTAGGGATATAGGGGTGTGGTATAGAATTTTGGATTCTATAGGAAAATTGTCTGTTGTGACAAATGTATGTATGTGTTTTATCTTGCGCGGTAATGCCTTAGGCCGATTGTATAATTTTTAGGCTTTCATTATAGCGTTTACGTCAGATTTTATACCTCAATTGGTATACAGATTAACGTCAAGTGAGAATAGAAATCTGGAGGGCTATCTGAACAATTCACTTTCTTATTTTAAAACTGTGGATTTTCATCCATCATCCAGTCCCAAAAGTAATAGTTCAGATGAATATTGCAGGTTGCAAAATAAGAAATAATGGAATTATAGTGTACTATTGTAATTGTTTGCAGATATCCGGATTATCGAACGCCACCATGGTCTTCAGACCCATACGAAAGAACAACAATGTATTGGAATATTCTGGCAGCAAGATTAGCTTTTGTTGTGCTTTTTGAAAATCTCGTGGTGGTTGTTATGATTGTAGTTAAGTGGTGTATTCCCGATTTGCCCGGCGAGCTTAGAGATCGAATACGTAGGGAAGCATATATTACCAACGAGATTATCATTAAGCAGGAAGCGTTGAGAGCTCAACATGGTAATCCATGTAAGTGTGCAAAATGTATTCTTTCACTTTTTTGCAACTTGCACTTCTGAACCAAATATACACAAAATTTAACTTTCTAAACTTATATTGAAATCATTGGATACTTATTTATTTTTCATTTCTTTCATTGCTGCTTTTAGTAGCCGCTGGTGATGCGGACCGAGAAAACTTGCGCAATATAAACGAAGCACCCTCCACTCCTCAGCAATGGGACAGGTTGATAAGTAAATCTTTGTCAGGTAGCGAGTTCGATCTTCTGATTCATGGCGGTAAAGACAAAGGAGAGGGAGAGTCACCAGCATCAATTTAAATACTGTTACAGTTCCTCAAAGTCTAGTCTTATATTTCTATGGTTGTGTTATTACTTCCAAGGTTGGTAAAACCTAGTCTTTATCATTTGTTTTAATTTTTGCTATTTAAAAGCGACTTGTGATTTTATGTTCATTATTTTATTTATATTTATTATTTTTGTGGTTCGGTAATTTCCAAAAGGTTAGTGCTGTTTAGAAATCTCATGGTTTTGCTTTATTGACAAAATGAATTTGCTTATAAGGATTGTTGTTATTTACATATTTTAAAGTGTTTTGTAAACAGAGATGTTTTACAATAATAAACAATAAAACAAGACCCAACATTTTAATTTCAATAAAACGGTAACATCATACATCATGTGGTAGTTTTGAAGGTGAAAAAGGACCGCCGCATATCACACCAATTACATATAATTTAAGGAAATATTTTAAACAGTTTACTGCCTATTAACGGCTTGCAAAATACGCAATATATAAAGAAATAAATTGATTATATCCAAATATAAATTGATGGTTGCTAAAATATACTCCTCAGGTGAAAGAGTTTCCATGATCAATTTGGTGTCCACAATAATAAAAAGGCAAAACAGAAATGCCCCACCAAATGCAATTAAGATCTCAAACACAGGCGACTGCAAAAAAATCTGCATGAATCCTCCAATAATTAAAACACAGAGTCCGGCGAATAATCTGAAAAGTCAAATTAACCAGATAGAACTAAATAAACAATAAAACTAGCACAAAATGGATTTTTATAAATAAAAACGAATTTAGTTGTTACCAATGTGAGTGACCTAATGTGGCCAAAAAAGATTTGCTTATTAGAAGGTTCTTAACTTACCCTGAATACATTGTAGAGAAATCATGTTTAGTCTGGAACGTATACAAAGTTAAACCAGCAAGCACAACCAATGTTAAGAGAAGGGCTTCCAAGACCACTGTTTTTGAATAGAATGTCACTACAACTCCTACTGTATAAGCCTGAATAATCGTCTGAAAGCACATATGATTATATTGAATACTTCAAAATCAGCTGAAACCCACAAAGGCTGCGAGAAGAATCAAATTTGTGGGAGACTCTCTGCGTTTAACATGGAGGCCAATTAATAGAGCAATGCTTCCAATAAATGTTACCATTAACATCCAGTCACTGTAAACATTTGATATAGTGACAAGAAACAAGCAGCTAGTTATTACCACTCACTTGTTGTGAACAAAAGACTTTATTGGGGGTGTGAACATGCAAATACTTGCCACAATTACAGTTAAAAATATTTGCATTGTGAGCAGTCCATACACTTTGCGTAAAAAGGCCAAACGAATCGACTTTGTCGCTTGGACAACATTGTTCCGGTAAGCGAAGTCGTTTTCAATTCCGTCTTCGTATTCTTTACCGCCTTGTTCAATATCATTTAAAATAAGGGGTACGGTTTGGGACATGATGGTTCTGAAACAGATTGTTTACTGAAGTGTGTTATTTACCCAATTCGGCCAGTAGTTGCGCATTGTTCCACAAATCAGACTTATTCAACATTATGTTCATTTGCAGTGCAAACATACAAACAGCATACCTTGAACAAATGTTTACATTTATTATTCCTACACCACCTACAATAGTGTAGACGTCAACGAACTGTCAAACTGCTCTAAGTGTCACAAGATATCTCTGCGCGTCAAACAGAGATGTTTGTTCTTTGGTCTTACTACAATGAGTTGTTTTTAAAAATGCGCGGTTAAATTAGGATCATCATTTAATTTTAGGGTAGAGTAGTCTCGTTAGACATCGTTAGAAAGTTCGAGGGTTGGAGCACATAAAGCCACTGCTTCACTCAGCACTGCACTCTCGTAGGCATTGCACTGGTTTGCTCGGATTTTAATCGCATTTGATTTTATCGGCTGCAAAAAATGGTCAGACCTGCCGGTAACAGAGGGCAGCAGTAAATCAGACGTTGTTTGTAGTCGAAACGTCCTTGATTTTTATAAATGTGTTTGCGTGCGATTTGCAATACACTTCCTTGTCAGCTGATGGACGACGAATTGCGCTTTGGCTGAAAAATGTTTAACATTAGTTGATTCTTCGCGTTTTTCGGTTTTCGTGTAAGGATTGGTAAATTTTTTGCACACAGCAGGACAATTCAAAGGTGAACGAACATGTTTGTTTTGGTGTTTATCTATATCAGCTGTAGAAATGTCAGTTCGCCAGGGCTCTCCTTGTAAAAATCCGAAAATTCGCCACAAAAATTGCATGTGTCATTTTGATTGAGATGTGTGTGTTCTGGTGCTTATTTAAAATTGTCGAAATTACTCGCCAATCGTCCCGAACGAACGAGTTTACAGCGTGAATGGTGTTTTGGATGAGGACAAAGGGTTTTGGATGCAGGTAGCTGATACCTATATAAAAAATAATTATTCAACGTTTCCATCCGAGATTTGTTTGTTTGCTTTTTAAGGCCTATTTTTATATTTCTAAAGCCATCCCTGTTAATGGAAATTGAAGTTAAAAAGTTAAATTAATTGTTTGTTTCTAACATGCTGTTTCTTTTTCAGGTAGCTTCAGCAGGGATCTGCTTTTTAAAATTGCTTTAAAATGGTATACGTATTTTTTGTTCAACCGGGAGATATGATGACTTTTGACAATGAAATCTCTATTATGCAAAGGTGGGTGATATTCTTTAGAGTTCAACCATTATTTATATTCTTTTAATAAATGTTTGGATCTGGGTTTTACTTATCAAGTGAAAACCAATCAAAACATGGAAGCAGTGTCTGTAACCAAGGTTACAGGCATCAGCAAGGTTGTAAAGTTGCAATTTCTGATCTGTTATCTATAACCCACGTGGGTTTAAATTAAATGGCTTGATTTAGGTCATTTTGCAGATTCTAACGTATCACGCGCAGTTATCCATATCTTGACTTTAGGAAGTGATTAATTTTGTTTTTTTATTGTTTTGATTTGATAACAAACAGACCGCAAAGACTGTCCTCAGTTTTATGATGGTTGATTTGATTTTAAATTAAACTAAATTTCAAATCTAACTGCTAAAATTTTAAAAACGACCGACTATCTGAATCCCTCCTGTAAAGATTGCAATAACTGTGTCCCAGACATTTAAATCTCCTGAATTATGCTGTTCCTATATTGACTATAGCAAATTTGGTACTTTCCATATACATTGTTTTTACCACTACCAAATTGGCATTCAATATACGATTGGCCATTAAAAGTAAAGTCATTAATTCCAGGCCTTGCTTTATAGGGTCAATTTTTTTTTTTAATGGAATGATTCTAAGTTTATGCTTTCGTATATGCTCATGCCTATTTAAAAACTTTAAAAAATGGCGTGTCACATTTATGCTATTAACTATAAAAACTTTATTCCCTTTTATAAAATCAAAAACAGACTAAGAATAATATTTTACTCACTAAGTTAACCATCAATATTATTGTATTTTATTACAGTGTGGCAGACCTAAAGGAAAAAATAAAACAAATATGTGGTATAAACTTGGAGCAGCAAGTGTTGCTCATAAATGGAGGCGAGCCTTTGGACTCCACAAAGAATTTGTGTTCTTATATGGCTGGAACGGACACCAATCCGATTTACCTATTTAGTACAAATTACGACAGTAGTAAAATTAGGATACTAGATAATCTTAATTTTGATGATAGTGGTGAGAGCAGGTTTCATTTTGTGAAATAACTTTCATTCTAAACGGCGTCTATTTTCAGAGCTTAAGGCTAGACTCCTAGAATGCTACGACTTACCCACGTCGCTAGCGACTGTCAAAAAGCGAGCACAAGTGGCCAATGATTTTTATAACGTCGCTAAGAGACAACTAGAGTTTTGCGAGGGGTTCGTACACGACCAGCATATGCAGCAGCAAGGTTGGTCTGCCGTTATCGCGAACTTGGAGGATATTGTTTTAGAATTTAAAAAACGGTGGGAATTGTACCTTAAAGCATATACGGATTTTATCGCTGATCGAGATACCTACAATGTGTTCTTACAACAGTAAGTGACTTCACAAGTTCGTCGTAAATTTAGGTGTAGTAAAATTACAAATTAACATGGGATTTTTTTTTCATAGTTTTCATAAAGATAAGCAAGTTTTACAAAGAATACCAGTATTGGAAACTCTGCTGCAAACAGAGAAACAATCCATGGAAGATTCTAAAGCTTCTGAAACAAATATTAGCACATCACAGGGAACTGATAGTTCAAAGAATCTCAGTCTTTACGATTGGATATCATCTTCGGATTCCAAGAGTTCATTGGATGAAATCTACGAAATGTGTAAAGCTCATTTATTTAAAGTAAGTGTCAGAGCTTGATGTATCCCCTTACTAAGTTTGGCAACATTTTAGTTTGAAACTGAAATTATGCCCACTTTGGAGAAGCAAATCACCGAGACTTTGAATTTAGCGGAAAAGCCGGAACGTAAAGAAATTGAAGGTTTGGGAAAACGTCTTTACGATTTAGAGGAATTGCTCAGGAGGATTAAGAAATACGTAGAACATCAATCTGACATGGCACAGTCTTTTCAACAGGTGACGTCCCTAATATTGTAGGTATAATATGTACCAAGTGATCTTTTTTTATAGAATCAGAATAGAGCGAGTCACTTGAAAGACCTCAGTATATTACCGGACTTGTGCGCTACACATTTGAAGCAGTTAGACTATATTAAAGATTATCATAAGAAATTAATAGACGAAAGGAATCGTATAGTTAGAGCGAAATGCGAGCTGAGCAAAAGTCTCTGCGGAAGGATATGGCAAGTGAACTGAATAAGTTCTTAGAAAGTTTTGGCATTGTACTGACAGTTAGGACTTTGCATTTCAGTTGGGTCCAGCATGTAGAAGAGAGGTTATGGGAGCTAGACTCTTTGTTAGTATATTATCACGAACACCTGCGGAGATTAAGGCGTCACCTGGAGGTGTTTCAACAGTTACACCAAGCACCTACCGTCTACTTGAATGCGGTGGCGGAAGTTGTTCGGAGAAGAAACTTTTCGCAGTTGTTTTTATTGGTGAGTCTCATATTTGGATAAAATTGAATTATCGTCACATTTTACGCTTGCTGAACTTAGTCTTAAAATAAAAATATTCGAGACGTGCTTTTTACAAAACTTCTGGATTTCGCTTGCGTCGGTTTTTGCGTAGCCGAAAATGGTGACGTTTCGCCAATCATCCTGTTGCTTCTTCAGAGCTTCACTGAAACTGTTTGTTCAGTGAAGTTTGTTTGATGATTGGCGAAACGTCAGCATTTTCGAATAAGCAAAAAGCGACGCAGGAGGAATCCAGACGTTTTGTAAAAAGCATTACAGTAGCCTGTGGAAGTTTCTTTGAAAAAAGAAAAAAAAAATAGTCGAGACGTATTTGGCATAAACACGGGGTTAATAAAGTCTGTCAAGAATGAAATATTACTGCCTCCCACAAAACTTATAAAATTAAGTATTTAAGCCAGCACTTTAGTAATACCAGTATTTAAAAAAGATAACCGTGATGTTGTTGAAAATTATACACTTATATCTCTACTCTCACTTGTTTCAAAAATTGTAGAGAAATGTATAGCTAAACAATTAGTTCAATATTTTGAAATTAATGGCATGTTTAATAATAATCAGTTTGGTTTTAGAAGAAATGAAAACACTGTTTCGGGCGTTCTCAATATAACACTATTATTTTGTGATCTCACTAAAGCCTTAGACTGTGTTGATCATGGAATTCTTCTGCGCAAGTTAGAGGCTTATAATTTTTCAAATAGCAGTCTTAGTTTGATGCAATCTTACCTTAGCAAAGGATGCCAGGTGATTCAGTACAGTACTCTGGAGCGAAGAGTGAGGTGAACATTGGAGTGCCCCAAGGCTCAATTTTGGGCCCCATATTATTTTTAATACATACAAATGATCTTCCCCTTGTGGATTCTACATCCGTTTACACAGTTTTTGCTGATGACACCACTGTGTCTGTTTCTGGGCTTTAATAGAAGACACGTTGGAGGGTTCCAGGATCGCACAGGGAAAGGCTGAACACTGATTTAGTGCAAATAAATTAGTTCTAAATAATGATAAAACAGAGCAAAACATGCAAAATTTAAGTACAGTTAATTTTAATAAAATAAATATCAGATTTCTTGGCATCTATATTGACCCAAACCTTCATATAGACTTTGTTGCTTAGAAACTGACCAAGAATTTGTATTTGCTTCGACGCTTGACCGAAAATGTCTCTCCTGGTGTATTAAGAACTGCATATTTTGCACTTTTTCATTCACAACTCCCATATGCGCTCTTAATATGGGGCCATGCTGCTGGCAGGCACCGTTGGTTCAGATTACAATGAAAAACAATTCGAATTATTAGTGGACTTGTTTATCGGGAGGACTGTTATAATGCCTTTCGAAACTTGGAAACTCTTACGTTGCCCTTATTGTTTATCTTGGAAGGTCTATTATTTATAAAGAAAAATCTGCATCTATTTACTACTTATAAAGAATTGCATGACATTCAAATCAGAGGTCGGGACAATGTGGTTATTATCTACTGCCGCTTGGAGAGGTGTCAAACTGGTCCAAATTATTGGTCCGTTAAGTTTTTTAATGCGCTTCCTAATGCTTGTCGTAATTTTTTACCATTTGAAATGTATAAACAAACGGACAGCATTTTTATTTTAATGAATATTGGGCTTTCAATTATAATGTACGAGGTGCATTTTAAGTATATGTTGTTTTATTCCTTTTTGTTTGACGTATGTAAATCATCTGTGATAGCAACATTAATAAAGTATTCATATGCGTATTCGTATTCGTATCAGTATATATTGATTTAATCTCATGTGGAGGTGTTAGTTTGGTCATTGTTTACTAATATTTACGATTTTTCAAATTACTTTAGTGGGCGTCAGATCTGGCCTGCCAACAAATGACGATCCATAACGAAGAGCTGACCCGTCGGAAAGAGTTCGCGGCACAATTCGAGGGTCATTTTTTGACCGCACTTTTTCCCGGCATGGGAGACATACCTCCGTCGTTCGCCACTGAGGCGCCCTCTATGTTCGACGCGAAGTTGCCGAAAATTAGCGACGAAGACGTCGAAAGGTTGAGAAAGGAGGTGCCAGCCGATTTGGCCGATAACCTCCTATTACCCGATATATCAACCGTATCTAATTTGTATTTGGGTAAATCAGTAACGACGAAAGAAAAGGATAAGGTCGACGACGCGAAAGCGGTGGAGGACAAGCTCATTCAAGCGGTCTCGGATGTTGGGCTGGCGAGCAATTTGGATCAGAATCTGTTGAAAACGACAGGCAGCGAGACTTGCCTGTTTACCCCGCACGGAGTGCCCCATCTGAAGGATATTGACAAGTAAGTAGGGTTTACCGAAAAAAACACTTTTAATTCCATTCGTGTGCTTATAATTGCTCTGAATTTCTCTGAATCTTTTACCATATTAATGTTTTGCTTTTTCCCAATGTTTAGAGGCTGTGAGTCAGAAACAGATACGGAGGAGTTTGAAAAGGTGAGCCAGAGCCCTCTCGAGCTCCATTTTGATAAAGAAGCCATTTCGCAGGCAGCCGCACCGCCATCAAGTGACAACAAGCAGTTAGCAAAGATTGTGGAAAAGCAAGATGCTTCTACGTCCGTAGAGGTGAGAGATAATTTTTAAACATGAAATGTGGCTGAATACACAATTTTTACCGGCCTGTATATCTAAATGTTTCCTGAGAGAGTGGAATTTGCAATTGGATGGCAGAAATGCCCAATTTTTTTGACTTTGGCCATTGAGTGCATTTTCCTTTTTTATATTCAGTTGATTTGTAGTTGTTTGGCCTTAAGAGGTACCTATTAAGGTCACAACCGCTTAGATAGAGTTTCCAAATTCAAATAAAAATAACAAAAAAGTCAAGGATAAAGATAAATAACTTCCTGTTTAGAGGAACGGGCAACCCCTTGATGATATAACTGATTTTGGTGAAAACTGATTTTTTTTACCCCCATTTGCATCCTGGCTGACACTAAACCTTCAAAAATTAAAAATTATATATGGTATATCGGTGATTCTGTTTTAACTGTGATTTTTTTGTTTTGTAATGTTTGTCCTCACTGGTGATTAATTAATAACCTAATAATGAAATTTTTGTATTAATTAGATGGTCATGAACATATTTCATCATATTTTTTGTATAATTTAATTTGTCATTCGATTCAAAAATCTACAATATATCAACTAAATGTCCGCAAAGATTTATCTATAAATTTTTAAATTTTTTTGTCGCAATAATCGATTTAAACTAATCACCTCATAAATTCTTATTTCTATGATCAAACAACAAAAAAGAAATACTTTTTTGGTTAATGTTTTAAGTTTACACTAAATTCCGGTGTTTAAAAATGTTGAATTTTTGAACTTGAATTTATATGACTCGAGCGCCATCTACCTTGAGATTTATGAAACGTCTAGTGAATCATGTTGATAGTACATCATCTAAGTACTGTTTACAAACATGGAGTTAATGAAATAATGCAAAAACATACAAAAAATAAAAATTCTAGTTTTAAAATCTGAGAAAGTTTATGTAAAAAATTAACAGTTAGAACGCAAGCCTTTTTTCTTGGGTTTTGTTACAAACCACTTAAAATTAGCCCTGTTTGTTGTTAATAAAGTTGAGTATTCAATTCGTTTAATTAATTCACATTTGCACACTGGCTGACTCTAAGCTGTCAAAAGTTAAAAACAATAGATTGTCTATGCAATTGAACCCCACTGTGACCTGTCAACATTTTTATCGAAATTCAGAGACCGCCAGTTTACTAGCTTTTTCTTCTTGCATTTGTTACTAACCACTTAAAATTACCCTGGTTGGCACTGTAAGCTGCCCACAGTTAAAAGCAATGGGGCGTCTAAGCAAGAAAGGTGCACTAGAATCTGTCAACACATTTAATTCCAAGTCCACAGACCAGCTTTTTCGTGCGTTTGTCAGAAGCCATTGAAAATTGGCCATATTTGTTATCAATGAAATTATTGTTTAATTAGTGTAATCAATTCAAATTTGTACCCTTTAAGCTTACGATGCATCAAATAAACTACTTAAAATTATCTCTATTCTTGACCAATCAAATTAAGTATTCAATTAATGTAATTAACCCGTTATTCAGGTTACCGTTTATTATTTTCACTATTATTATTGTATTTTGTTCTCTGCGTCTACCGCGGTCTAATTTGTAGGTGTGCTGCGATAAACTATATACGTCACACTCGATTCCTCCCAGAAAACCCCCCAGATCTTTCCATAAATGTTCCCTTATTCACGCGTCCGAAGACCCAACTTCCATGCAAAGAACAATAAGCATCAGCACTACCGAAAGCTTTGCTAACATAAAAAATATCTCCTTGGATTCGATCGACGAAATGTCGAGCATAAAAAATTTCACAACCACCGAAAGCTGTTTCAATTCGCACTACCAATGCGGTTCCGCTAACCTGATGGTCAGATCCAAGTCGATATCGCCCCAAAGTCCCCGCGACCTCTCCCCGTCCGCTGCGTCCCCCATGTTGGGTCACCAACAGGATTTCACTAACGATGAGTTCTACATCGATGAGAGTTTACCGTCGAGCATTAGCGTCGAGACTGGAAATAGTCAGGGGTCAGAGTTTGTCAGGCAGTTGGATACGGCTAATATTGTAGTAGCGATGCTGCAGGTATAACCGATATTTGTCGTCTATTGATTTTGTTGCCTGGCGTTCTGGTTGATTTCTTTACGCCATTGGCTGTTGTCTGAAGTCTGAGAAATCAACCGGCAATTATTTTCGGTTTCTTTTGCATCCCGTCTTACGTAGTTGATAGTATTGTTTAGTTTGCTTGGAAATTTCTCCTGAAACTTATTTTTTGTAGGTAATCAAATCTTTTGCTTTTTATTTTTGAAATTGTTGGTGGCCCTAATATCCCGATTCCCGCGCAGTATTCATCTCTGCATGGTTATGGTTTAGACATTGAGGCGATCCGAACTGGCGATTGTTCCTCTTACTGATTTCCATATCGTTTGGCTATAATCTAGACTCAAAGTGATGAAACAGCAAGCTACAATTTGGTGAACTGCTTAATAGTGCCGAGTCGGACATCTTTTTAATGTTGAATGTTGAAAATTTGTGGAAGTGCAATAACTCGAGAGATAGTTTAAACGCTTTATTTAATTTAGTTTAAAATGTACAAAATAGTTTTTTTTTCGTCATTCGTAATTAAATGATCCGCCTATCAGATTTTCTCAGAACGACTAACTTTATCAATATTTTTTATTCTTAATTCTTAATTGTTTTAATTTTTTATTCCAAAAGTTGACACAGAAAAAATTAATTTGTTTATTCATGTTAAAAATTGTTTTTAATTTCGTTTAAAATGTTGAAAATAACTTTTTTTTATTGAAACTCGGGGGATATAAATGCCCAGAAGTCGTTTATGTGGTAGGTAATCTGCCTACGTCATTTCATGGAACGACTAAATTAAAGAAGATTTAGGTTAGGGTTTAAGTTGACACAGAACGACGAGACTGTATAAATATTTTTTATTCTTATTCTTTAATTTTTTGAGCAAAAAGTGCAAATAGAAAAAATCCCGACTTAGTCCTAAGCAGTACACCAAGTAGGGTATAAATTTAAGTACTTTTTTTATTGTTTCCGCATTCGTTATATGTTTTGTCAAAACCTTTTTTTCTTTTCAAATATGCGAACGTGGATATTTTGTTTTTCAAACAGTTTTGAAAAAAGGGGAGTATTTTTAAAAAGTTCGTCAGAAATTATTATTTTTCTAAATTCCGCACCAAAAATTAGAGGGTTTTTGATATCGATCGTTAAATATGAAATCTGTATTTTTTAGGATAATCTGCAGATATCCAGAACTGAGCACGACAAACTTAAGTCTCTGTTTGTTTCAATGGGGTTTTTCGGCAAACAAGCGTCCGATCAGCTAAGAACAGAACTGAACTGCATAAAATCCCAAATTTTAAAAGAAAGGGATGCACTAAGTCGTCACTGCGCAAGTATCGATAGTTCTTGGCGGAATAAACTTGTAGAATATACGTCGGAAATAGAAAAATTACGTAATGATTATGAACAAGAGGTTTTGTCATTAAAAAAGCTCAATGAAGAAAAAGAGAATAAAATTAAAACTTTAATGGTGGAATTATCTCAATTAGAAGCAACGATATCGGAATATCAAAAGGATAAAAGCACTTTGGAAGAAAATCTGGCTCGGCAAGTAGAATTTCACAATTTAAAAGTTGACGAACTGATGAAATTGCTTGACGGTAAAGACCTCGAAAAGGAGAAATGTATGAAGGAACTTGCCGATACCTTAAAGCTGGAGCATAAAGCTGAAATCGAGAATATAAAGTCGCGGTTTAGGCTTATGACAATGGAGAGAAGCCCGTCCTGTTCGAGTTTGGAAAAAGAAAGGAGTGGCGATTTTGCGAGTTTGTCAAATCCGACTTTATTGGCTCAGTTGACTGAGAATTTTGAGGCGGATAAGGAGGTGGCCGTGGCGCAAGAGCGAGAAAAGTGGAAGCAGGTTCTCGAGGAGAGAGTAAGGGAGGTGGAAAATAAGTTTGAAGATGAGAGGGATTTAATGATGCAAGAGGTTGCCAGGCGAGTGGCCGAAGATAAAGATCGACAAATAGACATGCTGAGGGAAAGGGAGAAGAACTTGGTTTTGGAGTGCATCAAACATAAAACCACCATTCAGCAACTGGCCGAAAATGAAAGCGAACACCAGAGTGCGGAATTTATGGAACAAATCGAGATATTAAGAACCGAAAACGAGGAACTTCAGAAAGAATTGGAAAAAATAAAATGTGAGAGAGCTATCGACGTGACCACTTCTGTGGCAGTGGTTGAAGGTTGGTAAATTTATAATTATATTTTATATTATTAATTTTTTTGTAATTTCGCAAAACTGGCGAGGTTAAGTGTTAAAATAGTGACAACATACAACTCGCACACCGTTTTAAGGTTGCCCCGTTGCAGCATGAAAAAAATCTAAAAGCTAAATCAAAAAATTATATTTATTTTCGTAGGTTAGATAAATCCTGATAGTCTAAGGTTGAAGTCATGTCGTATATTATTTATAGCTAAGATCGATGCAGCTACAAGTCCCCTTAAAGAATCCCAAGATCTCTCGAGAAGCGAAATTGGGAATAAGCGCTTATGGTTAAATATCGATTCCTGTAAAATTGGAGACGCAGTTCTCATCATATGGGATTTTTCGCACGAGATTTTTAAGATCCTTCAAGAATCGAAACGCATGTACTTCTTGCATTGGGACTGCTTAGATAAGTTAGGGTTATCCATTACGGACGGTAAGCCCAACAGGACGTACGTTACTGGGGAAGTTTTTTACAAAGAATATTGCAGCGCTCGAAAAGTAAGTGAAGTTTGTTTTATCCGAGGTTTGGCAAAAGCAGTTTGCTTTTTTTGTTTTCAGTCGGAGAACCGTTACAAAATTCCCAAAGGAACCAAGTTTTTCCGCGTCAAGGTCAAGCCATTCGCGGACTTGGAGTCTTCTCAGAGTCTTTATCAGCCGAAAGCATCCTCATATCATCATTCGCACGGAATGACTCAAAGCCAATCTTCAGTGTCAGCGTTCGAACCTTTATCCGAAGAGCAGTCCATTAGCCAGTCGCCTCCTAGCACTCCTAGATTGGCAGCGACGTTGGAGGAAGGTTTCGTAGAGGATCCGGAGGAAGTGCAACCACACAGTGTCGAAAAAACATTCGCCGAAGACAGTGGTATTGTGGATAGTGTAGAGCGAGCAACTATGGCTGCGGAAGAAGACCAAATTGTTAGTCAAACAAGTGGAAAAGATAACCGGTAGGTGAACAGGGATGGGTGACGTAGGTCCCGGGTTGAGCAAATTTTACAATAAGATTTATGGCATACATGTTGGGATACTACTCAACTACGTAATTAGGGACTATTGCATGACTCGTTTGTTGTTCTATTTAAATGGCAACTTATAACAGGCTATATGAAATGATGTATACACAGTTTCGATTTAAGTAGCTTTACTTTTTTATACTTGGACCTTGTTGATATAGGTTACAAAATATGTCAAGGACAGTAAGCAGTAACATTCGATAAACTTTTTGTTCAGTGTCTCACACGTTTTTGCTTGTATTAGGTGCTTGGTGAGTGAGGAAAAATTAGGGGAACAGCGAACTTATATTAGCTCCAACTGGCTTGAGGCGATGTTGCGTAGCATGTTTAGTAAAAGCATTGCGGACCAGTGAATAAAGAGTATGTACCGAGTTGTGTCTTGCGTTGTGTAGATTGAGGTGATGTCAGAAATAAAATCACAACGGTTTGGCCAAGTACCTATTTAAAGGGCGAGTTTTCGCTTTTTTGTCCCAATTTTTGTGTTTGTTTTGTTGTTAAATCGTTATGGTTAGAGACTGCTTTGTTTTCTTTTTGTTTTGTTTCTAAATATATTGGCATAGTATATCCAAAAAATCTTGTGCTATAAAAAATTCCTACATCAATTTTGCATCACACGACAAAAGTTCAACAGAAAATTTGAGAATTGCTGTGCAAGTGGAGAATCTGTGGCCCCTGTATCTTAACAAAAAAGGAAAGTGGTTTTATCATTATTGCTGTTAGATTAAAACAGATATAGGCTCGTAAATCTCAATCTCAGTTTTTTATGTGCGTATGTTATTTGTTTTGTGAAGGTTCCGAGTCTAAATAGAGTGCAAATAGCCTGTTCTGCTGGGGATGGTTGATATCTCAAATTTTGTGACGTCACTAGCGTTCAGATTTTTAACACTGCAATTTACCGTAGAGAATCATCAATTTGACCAACAATCTATATATAAAGTAACCCAGATACCCCGTATATTTTTAACGCCCCCTATATACCGTAACTTGAAACTGCTCATGTGCTGCCATCTCCCGTTGAGTAGCGGAAGTAAAAGCAAATTTGTACTCGAGTGACGTGACAAGTTGGGGACGGGGGCTCGTGAACTTGGGTATATACACTACTAGTGTGGAATATAACTATTTTTAGTCTTCTATTCGGCAATCTTTAATATAATGCAGAAGAAATTAATTCTTCTGTGAAAATTGTATAAAAAAGTTTTTAGCAATGGGGGCGCTGCACAATCTGATTATATTTTTGCATACGTGAATGCGAAATTTAGTTGTAATTAAATTCGGTTTAACTATTTTGAAAAATTTAGAATATAGGTCATCAATCATCATACAATGCATGCATGTGTTTTCTAATTGAATGTTAATAATTAAAAGGAAGCGTCATATGAAGATATTTCCTAAACGTCTTAACTTTTGAGATACAAGGTGGTAAAATTTACAAAAATTAAGAGATCAGATATGCTCGTAAATCCATGGAAGTATCACTTTTTTTTTAAAGGATATCCTTAGTTGCCATTGACTGTCTATTTCCTTCCTAGTGTCCTTCAGGATAATAGAAAACTTTTTTTTTCTTTTACTGCTTTAGTGAAATAGCATAACATCATAACAACAAGATAAATAATATACGATTTTTATTTAAATTTATTGTATTTAAGTTTACGTACTTCGTATTCTTACCTATTTTAATAAAACAGACAATTACTTAAGTAAGAAATAATATGGTAATTGTTATATTGTTATGACCATGCAGAGGTTTTTATGTATTTAAGCGAAAACCGGATTGAAAAAAAAAAATCAAGAAATTAAATTTCTTTAGAAATGATTGGAGATTGCAAGAATAATTTTTATTTTAAGAGAAATCAGTGGCGTACTATCATTGTACGCCTGCCACTGCTGTATTTACTACCCTGTATCTAAAAAGTTAAGTGAAGTTTTCTTTTTAAAATAGACGCTGAAACGTAAAAATAATGATGTCAAGATATGCTTTAGTGAAATATGAGTGAGATACAGAGTGTTAAAATTTGTCTCGAAATTGGTGTTCTTTAGGACTCGAACATTTTTTGAAAAATCAGCAGTTATTATATTAGATTATATTGGAGGTTTTGCAAAAAAAATTTCACATTAATACTAAATCTTGTTTATAAATCAAACTTGCTAACATTTCGCCTATCAGTTTCAGCCATTTATAAATAGTATTATAATAGAGCGGCGATTTCCAAGTAAAAAGACGTACACATTCGACGTCGACATTTCACAAAACTAACTGAACGTCAACGTCTTATCTTATATTACCTTGCAATCGGATCTGTTGGGTATGCTATGCATAATTTTATTTGGGGTCGTCTGCGCGCGCTTATTTATGTTTGGTGGGGACGAGCCAGTGTCTTTGCTGCTAAAAAAATATTCAATGTCGTATGGGTTTTGATTTTGATTAAATAGCGTAATTTTGATGGTGGCTATTTTTCTTTTTAGGTCAAAAGTAACTGGCTCCCAGTTTGCACGCACCTGTAGCAATGTTTTTTTAGTTTTTCTATGTTGTTTTGTCTTTGCAGTTTTGGATCGTTTGCGTAACGCGATGGCATCCCAAAATTCTCGCTCGTAGGTAAATATTTGACGGTTTTTAGTTTAGCCGCAACCCCAGATTGTTTTATTTATGTGACCAAAAGTAATTGTAAATATTTTAAAAAATGAAGTAAAAGGCAACGACGTCATCCGATCGCTGCTGCTGATACGGCGTAATTCGAAAGATATGCGTCAACGCTAGGCCGGAGATTGGTCATCAAAAAAAAAAAAAAAGGAAAAAGTTCACATAAATGTAGTTCCGGAAAAGCTAAATTCTCAAGATACTAAGTGTTAAATACTAAAAAATTCATTTTTTACAAAATATTAATTATTTATAATCATAAAGGGCCAATTTTCCTGGAACTCGATTAAAATTGGGCTGGCCCGATAGATGTCTTAAGAAATAGTATTGTCAAATAGTTTTACGCCACTGACTTTGAATAAGCTGGTAAAAGTACAACTATTTTTACGTTTGATTTGTTTTCGTACCTTGCCCTAATATATGAGAATTTTTTTAGAGCCCTTTAATCGCAATAAACTTAGTTCTAAAAAATGATGATGGAATGGCCATTACTGAATTTCTAAAATATTGTACGTCCCATATCTTAAAGATTCTTCAGCCGAAAGTTGGCGCATGTTTTTCGAAACACCCTGTATGTGACATTTTGTACACGCCTGTACAATAACGCGGTAGTTGCAAATAAATCTAAAAAGATGAACTAACTATATTTTCTGATGTGCCCTAAAAATTCTCTTACCTGACAATGGAAAAATTACTTTTGATCAAAATATTATGTACTTAACCGCAATGGGCTGTAATGTAAGTTCAAATCTTTGTTGGTTGGGTTTTTTTCGGATATTTCGTTTGAGTAGTTAAGGTAAATATTTTTGTATTTCTTGGTAGAAAATATTGAGTGTAGTTTTCTTTTAGGTCGATATTGTTTTTTAATTGATTGGTATCTAAAATGTAATAGGTATGCTTATATTTATTATTTCAATGAAAAACAATTTGCGCAGGTGTAAGAAATATGAGTTATTTTTTAAGATGTTTCTGCTTACTCCTCTACGATTTTTAAAAGTTAGAACTTAGACTAGAATAATTGTTTTTGTGATATGAAATGCCTTTTTCGACGAGAGTATCAAACGATAATGAACGGTTGTGTATTTTCTCCTATTGTGTTTCCTCTTATGCGCTTGTTCGAGTGTAAGTTACCTAGTTTCAGTTCACTTTGGTTTAATCTAAAATCAAAAAGTGCTTTTTTATTTTGTAAAACTACTATTTTTAGTTGGCAGGGGCTAGACCACACACGTAAAAGATGATATCACTTCTACAAAATTTTAAATTATTTTTTTTTTAGTATATTTTGCTTGTTGTTGATTGTGGTCTGCGGTCTGGATCTTCAGATAAAGGAAATCAAAGGAGTGGGGTTCGGTTATGCCCGACTGTTTTGATAAAACGTTAATAAACTCTGGCCATACCGAGTTGACTGAACAATCCGTCACGGAAGTTGTTCATCAAGTCGTGTTAATTGTGCGATGTCTTAATGTAAATACAGTGATTTTTTAAACGTTAGTTATGTTTGTATACGCGACTTGTTTTGTTTAGCAAACTTGTAAATATACGCGGAAATTTTTTATAACAAGCCATGTGCAATAAAACATTGAAAACTTTTTGCGCGATTTATTATATAAAAATATCACAGTTTACTGAGAGTTCTTCACGGAGACTCTTTGGCTGGCTCTCTGGTAAGCGGGGTTGGCGAAAGTGGTGGTGGCTCCTCTGTACAGGGGGTTGTCTGACCTGTGCCATTTTAATTTGTTCCTTTCGTTTTCAAATTTGGCGTACTCTCGCCTGTCGTGTACGGTGGTGACGATTTTCCAAATTATAAGCATTATTATGCCGGCCAGCAGCACGGTTCCAATCACTCCAAGGCTCCACGCTAAAAATTTAGCCCATAGACGTTGGGGTCATTGATGGATTATTTTTTGTTCATATTTATAAGTAAAAAAAATTGGGAAAAAAGAAGAAGAATACAGATTTCATTGAAATATTGAAATTTATTTACCTAGAATATTGGGGGGCTCGGCACAACTCTTCCTGTTTGCTGCTCTAACCGTAATTAGCTGATTGGACGCTAACGACCTTATAACGACCTGATTTACCTCGTAACTGTATTCGAAATTAATTGTGCAGCCGTCCCTGTCTAGAACTCGGCATTTTTTGACGTCTTCTCTCTGACTTTCTTTGAAATTATCGTCCACTATGGTTTTGAAAATCGTACATGTTTCTTCGCATTCCGTTTCGTTGTATATCCCCGACCTATACACTTGACATTCGACGCACGGCGCAAACTCGTCACAACTAAAACAACAATGATCGTTCACCGAATGGCTAAAAATTTTAGTACTAGGTATCATTTGTTTCAAACTATATCGTGTTATACTTTCCGTACATTTAAATCCTTTTTTTCACCTGCTGAAGTGTCCCTGTTTTTTTCTAAGAAAAAATTTTTTTCTATTAAAATTAGGGACTTCAGTTCAGCCAACCTTTTAAATATTAAACGCCAGCAGGAAATTGTTAAACTAACCTAAACTTTTATCTATTGGTTTTGCGTTACTTTATATAAGTTATAGGTTATGTGTTTTAACCTCGTTCGTTTGATAATAGTGCATGGTGATGTCACAGTTGATTTCATCGATCTTCGCGAGTTCCACGTCGACTTAAACTTCGGATAGGTGTAAAATTAGTATTTCAAAAATATTTGGCAGGTTTGTTCTAAATTTACTTTACTAATAAATATTTCAAGCAAATAAAAAATCGACGCCAATAAAGTATAGTATAAATAAATTATTTATTGATAGGTTTAGCCAATAATATGTAGTAAAATCGTTAAAAGGCAACACGATATATTTTGAGATACACTATACACATCAACAGCAAATCGAACAGTGACGCAGTAGGTTTAAGTATTCCTCAGGAAGAGGGCATGCGTATACAAATCAAAATTGATATTGAATATCTACATGTATTAAAGTAGTTTTAAATTTTAATAATTTATCTGCTCACCGCTGAGCGGGACACGAAACGCAGTCTTCGCAAAATCTTCCAGAGTGGCGGTCGTTATCTTGGATGCAAGTGCACTGTCCGCAAGTACAGTTGCCGAAACCCGAACAGATTTCATTTGATCCGGGGGCCATGCAGTCTCTATTGCTTTTCGGACATTCGCACGCATTGCCCGCCCATTCTAGCATATAGATTCATTATTTACACAGTGTTTTATTTATAAATTGAAACGATCCAATAATTTTATTTGCCAAAACAACAAATATAACTGAATTTCAAATGTTTAAAATTACAATGCTTGACACTTGACTCTCGATTATTATGAAGGCGCGAGCTCTGAATTCCGTCTTCGGAGAGTTCAAGGTGTAAAAATTACTGAAATTCGAAATCAAGAATTAAAAATTAAATTAAAAAATTAACAATAACAATAAAAGAGTCGTCAAATGTATAGCACGTGACTCCTTTTGTTTTGTGATTTAAAAAAAATATTCTTTTATGTTTTAAGTTGTAGTTTCTGCCAAACAAAATTTGTTTGAACTTCTTGAGCAGCTTTATTAATTTCAGTTACGTCAAGTTTTATTAGATAGTTATACTTTTATATAATTTTTTTAACTTAATATTTTCTTTTCCTTTAACAAATTGGGGACGACTATAGTTTGGCTTAGTTCTTCTCTTTATTATTTTTCGTTATAAAGGAGGTAAGTCAGACGTTCCCGTCATTATAACGGGATTACAATTTAAGTGTCAATTAGTAAATAAACACTGCCAGATTAACCAATCCAATATGGACCTAATCTCAATTTAATTTGTTGAATAACAATATATAATTAAGCCAACAGCAACTTTGGACTACGGTTAAATATTTAACGCATTTTGTTTGATCCTCTACCTTTTTTGTGTTTTAAAATAATCCAAAAATAATAATCTTAGCAATCCGTTTTGTTTATCACTGGGTGCAAAATGCTCACAATTTTTTACAATGAAATAATCTAGGTCTTTTAAATTTTATAAATCCATCCAAGACTATTTTCCGTTCTAGTCAAAAATTTCTGCTAATTTTACTTATCACTATTTGTTTTTTAATTTTTTCCATAAACACAAAGAAATAGAATTTAAAATACAAACAAAATGCATTTTGAGCTTTGTTTATTTACTTACTGGTTTATTTGGCCCTGACAATTTGCCAGCTTGCAAATATTGGCAAATAAAATTTAAAATTCCTAAAAGATGCCTTCATAAAGAACCGGTCGGGACTATTCCATAATCCTCCACGTTTAATAACATATTCATACAGAGGAATAAACTTTTAAATAATGAAATGAAATAACGACCGATTCATCCAACGGCTTCAGCCGTTATCTTATACTGGATTTCGGATCGCATACGCCATACAAATCCATAGACACGCACACAAAACGAACATTAATTAACGAAACTATAGGCACTACGCCGCTCACAATGTACTGAACAAAATTTTCTCGATTTCTAACTTTTTTAGAAGCGGACTAGAACAAACGTCGTTTCTCACTCCAATTTTAGGTTATGTATGATAAGCTCGTTGTTTGAGGTTATTTGGTCAGCTTGTTGCGAGCGTCCATTAAAGACTGACGTCATAGTCGCGCTTACATGAATAAATTTAATTTTTGGATACGATGTTGGATGGATGGTTTCCTAATTGAATTTGGATTTGAGTCACATTTATACGTGTACTGGATCGAGAGCCAGGTATATTTAGAAGAAGAAAGAACAAACAGTGGACAATTTGCCTGTGTCGCAAGGCCACAAATAGTAAAAAAAAACTTTTCACGGGTTATTTCAGATAAGAGAGATAGACTTACCACTATTACATTCACATTTTCCGCAATTGCATACGCCCCTCCCAGAACACATCAGCGGACACGAAAAATTATCGCATTCGCAATATTTCCCGTAAAATTGCTCGTTGGGGTTTTGCCGTTCGCGGCAAGTGCATTTTCCGCATATACACCTTCCTTTTTCTGAAACATATAAAAGAGATCAAGACCGTGCGTACTCGTCACTCCTGTTTATTAAACTGTTATGATTCAGATGAAGGTGCAACTTCAATATGTCGAAGCGTTTACATTTTTATGATAAACTTGGTGGAAATTTCTTCCGAGAAACTATTTCTGACGCGCGCGGCCAAGGTTTGCGAATGTTTTGTTAATTACGTTACGTGTCCCTACCCTACAATCGAACGGTGCAAAAATTGTAATCATAAAGCATATCCGATGTATGATAATTTGTTATTCATTTTTGTTAGAAGTGCTCACGTATTGTTACAAAACGACAAAGAAAAATATGAGGCGTTCATAATAATTATATCATTGGTTCCCTACAAATTTTTCATTTTATTTGCGAAGAAGTTACGGATGCAGTCGCCAAAAAGTAAAGAAATATCCAAAAACGTAAATTATATGTGTAATAAAACTTAAATGTCAACCTGTTTTGTATTAAAACTGTGTAAATAGGAAGTTTTCGCTTTTCAGTGAATATTGAAATGACATACAATTTAAGTGAATGCGGACCGCAGGCAATGTTCATCTCGATAAATAAGTTGCAATAACTATATAGCTTTTTTATGTGATACATACAAAATCTAATATGCTAACATACACTAACCAAAAATGCTGTTGATCAGTGTTGTTGTTATGACTCGAATTTTGTTTTGTTTACAAACTACACAGATTTCAATTGTTAACAAAATCTTCGCTGGTTATTAGGTTGGACGATCATCAAGGTAAGCTGGATCCAAATTAATCGTTAGAGCCGCACATTTTGTCCTCAATTCCAAATATCGCTTAAAGGGCAAGTAAAGTCAAAAGAAATAAACATAAAACCATAAAACACCGCCATCTGAGAGCATTCCAGTAAACTTATGTGCATGCCCAGAATGACACGACCTAGAAATACTTGTTTAGGTGCCCATCGGTAGATGTTCGTCGTTGCAAGTTTGTGAAAATTTTGTTTATTTATCCGAGTTTGTTTTGGATACGACTAATTAAATATTGAAATATTCGTATCCTTATTGAATTATCTATTGAACATGTATCTTTTTATGAAGTGAAGTGGATTCTGGGGGGAGCTGGTGATTTTGTTAAGAACCTTTTGCGGTGCCGAAAGGACAAAAAGTTGCACTAGTGAGTCGTTTTTAAAAGTAATTTGGATAGATTAAATTATTGGCGAACTAATGGTGTTGAATTTTTGAAATTGGCAAAGTGTGTATCCAAAATCCATCAGGAACCTTTTGTCGCATTAGCAAACAAGAACAATATCGGCTAAGGAATATTTTTCATATTTGGATGTATTAAAGTAATGGTCCCGACATCTTTTTAACGCAAACAAATAATTTTTTGGGGTTTGAATTTGAGATTGGCAATAGTCGTCCAAAAAATTAAACGGGAATCTTTTGTGGCGTACCTCGACACTGAGATTCATTGAAGTATATGACGTCACATCAGCAACACCATATATTGTCGGAAATGTAAAGAATTCTTAAACCTTGAATTTAATTTACTTGTAATCTAGAGACAAACGTTTTTCCTGGATGAAAAGCGATGAAAATTCGAATTTAACTCTGAAAACTAATATGAACATGTTATATACAGCTAACAGTATCAGCTCAATGTTATTGCATGTGCATACCTGAACAAATTTTGTTTTGTCCATCGGGCCTGATGCAAGCCGATACATCGTCCGTACTGCTTTCCGTGCGATCGCACTGGCAACTGCTGCCGAAACGTTCCTCGTGGCATCTGCAGATGCCACATTCCAAGTCACCTTGGCCGCTGCATTCGGTGGAATTCGCAATTTTGCGACTCGCACAAGAACATTCGCAATGAACGTCCAGTTCTATGATCAGACTTTCCTCCAGTCCCTCCGGTTTAATTTTAATATATCTTCTCTGCGACGAGCCTATATATAGAAGTAATTAATTTCCATAACGTAATTGGTCATTCCTCGCAACCTTTGAGACACTCGAGAGGTTGGATTACGGCCTTGAAGTCCAGAATCGTTCCGGGTTTCACGCTCGAGCAGCCATTTTCGTTGAAGCTTGGACAGTTCGAGGTGATTTTAACGTTGACGTCTTTGGTAGCGTTGGAAGTTACCCTCACCGAATCTTTAATTTCCTGAAACACTTTGTAGAGATGAACTGGAGTCAAATTTATTTTAATGCATACGGAATGGCAAACACTTACATCGTAAATGTCCGAAATTAATTTCACCACGTTGTTCGAGTTGCCGGTCAGCGTCCCCATTTTGGAGTTTTCGATGTTTTCGGACAGCGCCCTGTAATGCGTCACCACATTGCTATTGTTCGATTTGGTGACTATCGCGAAAATGATGTTGATGTTGTTCTGTTTCGCCACGTGGTTGATGTGCGAAACGGACGGATAGTCGAAGGTCAGGTAACCTTTGTATTCGTTTTCCTCCATGTGACACTGACCGTCGTGGGGCTCCACGACCCCGCCCAATTTCCCGTCTCCGGCGATGTGGGACACCGCGTCCGTAGAAAATACCAGAAGGTGGCGTGATTTAGGACGCCATCTATTATTCCAATCCGAAAAATGCAGTTACCGTTATGGTAGCATCGAAGAAAATTATTATTATATCTTTGGTAGGATTGACGTTAGAAATTGGAACAATAATGGGCAATTTTTGCTAGTGTTCTGATAGGTGTATCATTCTGAACCACTAAAGGAACTATTATTTACAAATCTTCTTGATTCCTCCTCGGTTGTTGATGAATCGAACCTGCTGACGCCAATAATCCAGTTGGCTTCTTCAGAGCTTAACTGAAACTGTACAGTTACTTCTTTTCTTCTTCCTGTTCAGAGCTTAATTGTTACTTCTTCCTCTTCTTCAGAAGAAGAAGCCAACTGGATGATTGGAGAAACGTCAGCAAGTTCAATTCATCGACAACCTACCCAGGAGGAATCCAAAGGATTTTTGAATAGTGTTACAGTATGCTGTGGAAGTTTCTTTGAAAAATACTCAAGGAGCTGAAACTGAAAAAACTCTGAAATTGTTATTGAAGTTGTTTAATAAAGAGGTCTGCACTAGTATGTTGGAAGTTCATAGTTTTAGTTTCGTATCTACTTATTTTCTCACCCAATAACGTCATCGCATACGATTGCCTGCATCATGGCGTCGAAACCACCTTCGGGGGTGTCCAAGTTTCCTGATATTTGCGTGCGGGTGACCCTTTGGGAAAATTCCATGGACGAATTTGTGAGCGACAGGTGATTTTTGAAACTGTATGGGGCTGCGCATCCCGCACACGGGCTCTCCAAGCTAAAACCGTGGGCAAGTGGAATTTGCTCTCTTTGCTAGCCAATGGGGGACTCACGCGTCTGGATACGTGTTCACGTACGGGAGTGTCACTTTGTCGACGAAACTTCCAAAGCCTATTTGAAAGTTGTTAGTTTTCTTCCTCATCGCGGACGCTAGTTCTTGACCTAATTGACCTAATCTGTCTTTGGAATCTTTCATCGAAGCTGACAAGTCCATTATGTAATAGAGATCTAGAATCATACAAGTACCATACATACCGTTTACGGAAGGGTCGTATTTGGATATATTTCGTGTTTGAGTTCGAGTTTGACATTACTTTGTGCTTAAATTTCGATTAGATCTGCCGGTTTTGTGGCACCTCAACTTTAATAAGTCATATAGAACCCTGACACCTTTCACTAAACGTGAAATGAGTCGTAGTTGTACCAAAGTTGGATTTTCTAGTTTTGTCTGCAGCCAAACATGAACTTGATGAATATGATGATATAAAGGAAAATAGAATTTTTCATTTGATATCGCCATAGATTTTTAAATTTTCTTAGTTGCGTCACATTGAATATTTTCTTTATTAGAGAGAGCATAGAAAATGCTGTACCACATCATCATTCTTCTTTTGACAGTTCAATTAATTTAAAATAAATTTCTTATTGACGAATGCCTTTATTGACAGTTTGCCTTCATTTACTATGTAGAAGTTACGTGCATGTAGCTAAGTGTGCCCGAGAAGCTGAGCAGATGCATTTAAAATTTAAACGTCTACTCTGAAAGAAGTATGGTAACCGATAACGGAATCTTACGCATGCGAAATTTTGAATTAACAATATATTAAATAATGTCGATAGAGAGCTATCATGGCCTACTACAATAAAATCCAGTTTTGCGATACATCATTTAAAAGAATTGTATATGCTTAACGAAATTTTAAAATCTATGGTGCATCTCGGGTTTCCTTTTATGTTATCATAGTCTTCTTAATAAAATGTTCTAATATTTTTTTATATTATTGATACTGTGTAATAATAATTGTAATTAATTGTAATTAATTACAATTTACGAAGTTCATAAATTTATAAATATGCCTGAACAACCACGGTATTACCTTGGCTGAGCTATTTAAAATGTTTGTCAATTTGTTAATATTAAGGGCTGATTCATTAAAATGCAGTCAGTCTTTTACCATTTCGACCCCTGTATTTTATTTTTTTGGGCCGAGGCCTATCACTGCGGGATATCCAAATGGATCATTTGATCGTTATCGAAAATATTGCCCACTGTGATCTCCTTTTCAGTCCATATTTATATTGTTTGTAGTATACTTATTACGGATTTTTAGGACACACGTTTTATGCCAGGAGAAAGGGGAAGGTGTATAAAACAGTCAATAAATTACTTTTAAAGAAACTGTAGCTTTCACTACTTTTCTCTATTATATTTGAGCTGCTTATAGTTATATATATAGTTACTTACCCACGGGATAGTTGCTAGCTTGTTGGTATTTAAACCGAACTGTATACTGTTCTCCTTTCCTAACGGCGATTCGGATTCTTTGGGGACTAATCTGAACGGGATCGTACTCGTTACTCAACGGTTTTTCGTCGATCAATTGAAACGTTGAAGTCGGGTTTACGGTTTCCTGAGGTCCGCATAATTTCTGTTTATCAGAATCACGCGGTACGCAGTGCACTTTGGAATGCCCTTGTTGACCATTCTCACCTATCTGGAAGTCCAACTTCAAGTTTTCTAGTGTTATCGGTTTATGATTTGTGAAGTCATAATTAACTCCTTTAATTCAAAATCTTATTTTTTACATTACATTTTTTACAGGGTGTCAGACTATAACACCATATTCTAAATCCAAAATAAGCCCTAGTTTCTGGTAAAATACACCACATTTTACGGGTGATTTGCTTCTGGTTCAAGGCCTTCTTTTCACTTCTTTCGTAGGAACAAGTAACATAGTACAAAATTTTCAATTTTACAACATAGAAAGTCTAAAAGTCAACTCACAAAAAAGTTATCGCGGTTTTTGTTATCTGTATCGCTGAAAAGTTAAGCGCTTGGCCAAAATTTGACATTTATAATCAGACGGAGGATGCCAAAATAATTAAAGTGCTAAAATTTTAAAACTTTTTACCAAAGTGCTTCGGAAATATATAAATAAAAGTTCTCGTAAAAATAACATTTTCAGATTAATTGATTTTAGGGCATACGGCGCCGTTAAGGGGCGTTTTTCAGCATATTTATATAAAAAACAAGGGCTATAGGCCTTCTTTTCACTGCCACAGCAATGTGCAGCAAAATCTTTGACTATAAACATTTTTTTTGCAAATTAATTCCTTGCTATAATTAACATGGAATTAGTGTCAAATCTGTTTTCCATGTAAATATTAAGATGATTGTTTATAAATCTAATTTAGGGTAGGGTGTAGTTTAGTTATATATCGTGGACAATTATTAATATATTTGTTATGATGTCGGGGCGAGTGTTACACTGTTCAGAGATTGTTGAAAGAAAAAACAATTTTATTGTGCTCACCGGCGATATACACCAAGCGCATCCAGTCTCTTGTATGCAATCCCCGCAAGTTTCCCTTAACTCGCAATTGTTAGAGATTTCCTGTCCGTAACCGAAATCGACGTACGAAATTAAAACTGCTAAACTGTATCCGCAAAGCCACCACATATTTCCGACAAGCGCTTCAACTAAATGTTTAAAAAGTTTACTAGACTTTTCACCGCACGAGACGCAACGGAAACCAAAACACTGATAACGCGCGCCGCAATCAAAGTGATTCATTGGAAAATAATGATTGTTTATGATTTACACGTATTGGGCATACGTCGTGTGTACGTCCTTATTGGACTTTCCAATGGCTATTGTTTATTTTCGGTTCCCGTAACTTTTGCATTTCCGTGCGTTGATATTATCAAATTTGATGAGGAGGAGGAGGAGGAGGGATTTTTGAAAAGACGTTTCGGTGGGCACGTTTTGTCCGCCGTAATTAAATTTTTGCTAAGGTTGCATTATTTTTAATAAAATATTAATATATAAATATAAATATTTTTTTTTTTAAATAAGTTCGTGAACAGATAATCTTAATTATTTTCTGTATACTGCTTCGTAGTGTTCTTATTGATCATAGTACAAAAAAAAGTTTAATACAAAGCTTGTACCGGACTGATGCATATTTTTAAAATATTCTTAAATTTGGTGGGTGCTCCAAAAACGTTGTACGCTATATTTTTGTAAATGTGACACATTCTTTTCTTTGGCATATTAAGTTTCCTTTTGGCATTCTCTCTTATGTGCCAAGCCAAAATATATTTTTATTTGCTTCGATATTTCAGGAACAATAAATAAAAAAAATGAAAAGATCGTTTTGCATTGTTGCAGGTTGTTCAACATTTGGTTAAACAAATGGCAATTTTCAAATCAGCTTTTCTTAGTATTTTTAAACGGCACACCCATTATTTGATTTCATTATTTAATGCAGAATTTAACTACAAGCATATTTTGTTATTATGAATGCATTAAAAATCTCAGTGGTTTTAGATATTTTACCAAAAACCACAAATATCCTCATTAAACTAAAAAAGTATTGGGGAAATATCATAGACAGTCATGGAAAAACAATATGTAGGAACAGGAACTATTGCCAATTCATTTTAGCAAATGTTCAAAATGTATGCCACTTTGCTGCTAACATTTGTTTATTCTTACCTTCCACATTTCCAAGCATCGCTTGTGTGATCGTCGAAAATGCGTTAATTATTCTCTGCCGTATGTTCTCCTCTGGAATTTGCCTTTCCTTAAACTAGATCTTTTACATACACCCACAGAAAAAAATCTAATTTGGTTAAGTCGGGCGATCTCGGAGGCCATCGAGCTGGTACTTCTCCTTCAATCCAGCGATTTCCGTTCGTATTATCTCAGTCTGCTCTGATCTGTTGCGCATAATGGGCTGGAGCTCCATTTGTTGGTGGTAAATTAGCAAGTAATACAAGTAAAGGTTTCTCAAGAATTCAAGATAAATTTGCCCGGCAAGGTGGCCGTCAAAAAAATAAGGACCGATCATTACCACCAATTACCTCATTTGCAGTCTGTTTTGTTGTTTCTTCCTTTTTATAGTCCACACTCACTGCCTCTATAAAGCGCTCTAGCAATTTAAAAAAAGCTTAGGGGATCTGGATGACGCCTTTCCGGAAACTGAGTTGCGTAAACTCTACTGGCCAGTAATTTTTGTCACAATTCCTTAACACAATTAACTCTTACCTTGAAAATTTCATTTTAAAAGAACTAATACTTCAGAAAAGAACTAGATGAGATAAAAAATGATTAGAAGAAACTGGATATGTCAAAATCATTTGTTGTCGAAAAGTATTTTGCTGGATCATTCATGACTGATAACTTCCCAATACACCAGCATTAGCTTATTGAGGACATTTATGGTTTTTGGTAAATATATTATTATTACAAAGAATAAAGTGCAGAGGAGAACCTATTATGCACATTGATATTTAGTAGCATGAGAATGTTCTACATATAATAAATATTTAGTTGTTGCTGGGGGTAAACCATTGAGAATTTTAATACATTCGTAATAACAAAATAGGGGGTGTACCATTTAAAAATACTGTATGGAATTAGAAGAACCTGTTTACTATCGGTCTATTATTATACCTCTAGCTGGAACAAAATAGATCCAGATTTTTTTCTAATTTTTCCAAGCGTGCAAAACGATTTTTTAATATTTTTTATTTATTGCTTAATAAATATTTAGAGGACACCAAAAGGTATCTAAATATTCCAAAAAATACAGAGTGTGATATTAACACTTTTTGTATGACGTCACACCTTTTTGGACCATCCTATATATTAAAAAATATTTTTAAAATATGCATCAACCTACATCCTACAACTTTTGCATTCAACTTTTTTTTTACTGTTGTGAATAACGACGCCATGAATGCCCGACGCACTAATGCAGAACCCTGTATTTTTATATATTTTTATATTTGATACTTTTTTTTCAACAAATGTGACCCGATTTTCTAAACTTGAAGTAATTTCAACCTTTTTTCAATCTAATAGTATTTTCAATTTTATATAATTATTTATATTTCATTATTTTTAATTTATTTTAATTATTTAATTTTTTATTTATTTAATATTATATGACATATTATTTCTTGAAATATGTAGGATCTCTAAAAATTAATCATTTGTAAAGACCAGCGTTTAATCTGGCTTAAATTCATATAAATGATCTCTGTACCTATATATATATATATTTTATAATTATAATTCCCAATATCTGTGTCTTACAGGAGCGGCCTTATATCTAGCTGCCAGAGCAGATCATAGTTTTTTGGAACTCTCATATTAGCCAACCAACCTTGTCTGAGTGACTTTTTGTACCATTTAACATTTTCTGGACCCAAGTCTATTACTTCTCCTATTTTTTGTTTTATTTTGTAATTTACAATGAACTTTTAGTTGTTATTGTCAATAATAATTCTTTTTTATTTTTATTGTTAGCCGGAACTCTAATATAGAGAAAAAGAAATGAGTCCTAAAGCCACCCCACACTCGCCTCATATCAAAAGTTATGACATATATGTCAAAACCAGATTTACCACTTGTCCAAAAGTATTTTAACATCTTCGATACGAAAAGAGAAAATTCCGTATGAGACGCACTTTACGGCATGCGATGCATATGTGGTAAAGAATACATTGGAAAAACTTCGTCAAGTAAGCTTAAACAACATGAAAGAGCCTCCAAATCGTAGCCTACCGTACACTTGTCATAATAAACACATCAGCAGTTGTCGAATACAATCATCACATCAAATCTTACTTGACCAAACTGAAATTCTATTATGCAATCAATTCTTTTATCGAAGAAAAATCCGAAAACCCATAGAAATATCCAACCAAACATCCGGGACAATGTTCATGACCCTCCTTTGGCTCCGGTCCCCAAACAGTATATCAGCAGGTACTTTCAGAAAGACAAATCAGACACCATTATTAAACATTTATTTTTCGAATACAATGGAGTACAATTAGTATATTTTGTAAAACGTTAACGCCCACAAAAGCTTAAAGATCGACTTCTATACCATGTACCATTAGTCCAGGAATCAGCTCCATAGACACCGATCTGCTGGAAACGATCACCGCCTTATCCACTTCTCCATTGACCAGCGTTTCTTCTTTACTTTTCGTCAGGGAAAACTTCCTGACAGCCTCGAAGGCGTTTTTAATGGAGTCCCTCCTCGGAGATTCTTTCTTTACGGAATCCCTGTTGAAGTTCGTTTTCCTCAACATTCCTTGGAAATTAAAGGGCGGTTCGTCATCGGACGTGGTGTTCGACTTTGCTCGATTACGTAGCTCCGCTATCGGGTCCGCGTTTTTCGGTTTTGAGGTTAGGGCGCTGGCCTTGAAGTATTCGAAATCTTTGTTTGCCGGAGCCGAGTTGCTGGTGAAATTTTCGATCTCGTTCTTTGGCGGTCGAGTGGTTTTTTTTAACTGGATGGAGGTAAATGACTCGACATTGGTCGATTTTGCCATAGCTTTGGTAGCCTTGTTTTCCTCCTCTTTAATGTCTTTGGTTTGTTTAGCTTCTTTAACGTCTTCGACTTGTTTGCACGGGCTGGGCATCGTCGGCAAAGGTTCCTCCGGGTCTCTCTTGTAAGGAACGTTTACGACGTCTTCTATGGTTTGACCTCGCATAAATTCTTTAGATATGTTTGCTGCGTTTTGCCTCCAACGGTAGGGGCTGTCCCAAGGTTCGCCTTTTTCTTGTAAATTTCTGAAACATTTTTAAAGAATTCTATTTACAAACATAAAAATTGAGCTAATATCAAACAAGTCAATAATGTATTCAAAGTTTAGACACAGTTGGTAAATCCTGGAAATATGATTTTCGTAAATATGTGACCATATTGTAGACGAACATTCCAGTTGACTCCTTACAGAGAGCTCAGAGTAATTCCTTGCAATCATTCTATTCGTTGATGAAAATTAAAAGACTTTTTCTAATCTAAACACCTTGAAGTTTGAAGTTTTATTTTCAGTCCATATTAAACGATATGGCATTATGGCATTCTCATAATTTCTTTGAATCGTCATAATTATAGTGCTACTGATATCGTTTTAAAAATAAGATAGCTAAGACCTTATTTTTTCGCATATCTTCATATTTGTGAAGGAGATACTGTTTTCTCTATTTTTTTAATTTTTTATTCCTCTATACCACTAACTAAAACCATACCTACTGTTTCATTTACGATTTGTTTGTAATGTTATAAGACAGCGCCCACTAGCGTCTGTTGTCAGATGCATATTATTATTGGTTATAACGAAAAATATTGAATAAGCGCGTTTCATTTCAACAGCCCAATCCTGAGTTAATACCATTTCTGCAAGCAGGATTTGCTTAAAATACCATTTTCTGTTTCGTCACAGAGGTTGCGCCATCTAGCGACCATACTAGGAAATTTTTGTTGAGCTTATACGTGGCGAAATACTACATTCGAATATGATCGAATGAGATGTAAAAGATATATTAGAAAGTCATCATGGGACTTTAATTACACAGAATAACCAAAATCTTTCCTAAGTATTGAGTTTGCGATGTCATTTAATTTATTATCGAGTTGCAAACGCATGAAATATGTGAGTAAATGTGAGTAAGTAATCTCATCAAGATTAGATATTGAAAGACGATAGAATCTTCTATCATTTCATTTCAGTTTATTTGTTAGCATGCTACAAACATAGAAAATGTATACAATCAGTTACAGAATCAGCCATAGCAATAACAGATATTGCTGTAAAAGGATTGCTTTATTAAAAAGTCTTTGACTAAGTTTTTGAACCTGTTTATTGAGAGTTGTTTGGTCTTGGGCTTTAGTTTATTTAAAAAAAAATGGATGTAATAGGACCTAGCGTTCTCGTTCCGTCCGAGTTTGATCTTATTTCGTGTTTTGTAGTGGTGAACTTTATTGTCATATAAAAAATCTGTTTGATTCTCGTAAGCGCTTGGCAGTGTAAGAATTTAAAAATTTCTCTCTGTATTTGAGGTTTCTGGTTACTCTAGTTAGCCTACATTGTAAGCCAATTGGGAGCCAATTAGACCATGATATTCTGTCAATAAGACGTATTAGACGTATTAGAACAATGTTTTTTGAGATTTTTTTAGGCACCAAATTATTGATCTTCTCTCAATTGATCTGCAATTGAGAGAAGACTAAAGAAACTGTTTTCCCTGCGTCAAGGGATAAGTTAAGCTATTTTTTGTTTGCTAGTCCTTAGCCCTTGTTAATTCAGAGTCAGCTTCGTCAAGTGCTCCAGTACGATTTTTTTTTTATTTATTAAGATAGTGGTGAAAGTAGTGAAAGGTCGTTGATGTATATTGAAGCAGTAAATTTCTTTTTTTGAAAATTATCATCTACATTTAAAAGACACTGATAAGTCCTATATTAAAACTTACCCTGACGTGGTCAAAGCATCGCATAGACAAGAAGTATCGTAAAACGGAATTTCGTCTAGTCGGAAACGGACTTTAAGCACCGCCGGTTTTATTTCACCCAACCAATTGTTAACTTGGGCTTTGCAATCGACGTGTTTTAGGTCGACGCATTTTTGCAATTTTTGGGTCTGATAGAACGCGTTCTGGTTGTAAAGGTGAACCTTTAAATTAAAACAACCCGAATTTTTATTAATATTAGCCACAGTCAAGTCGATTTACCTGCTGAGAAAAGTTGAAAAAATCGTGTAACCTCGCAGATCTGTATTGAACCAATACTTGAAACATTGAAGGTGATTTCCATTTTTTCGCGTACGGCGAGATGAATTTACATTCCTCTTCTGTAAGATGATCGAAAGCGCTTTTGGAATCTCTCGCGACGGACCTTCGGTAAGCTGAAATCTTTTTTTTTTATACCGATAGTAAGCGAGTTCACTTTAGCCCCAACCTTTCTGTATTATTTCCGCGGCCTCATCAGGCGTTAGAACGCTACTCCTCCTAGTTTTACATTCTTGAACTACAATTATAAACAGAATGATAAAGGTCTGCTAGATCTCACTACCTGATGAGTCTTCTAAAATAGCCGATCCTAAGTTTTCTTCTAACACAGATCAATAGAAAAATGCGATTTTCCTTACAAAAATGTGGAGGAAACTATTTTCTAATTAAAACTTACCGCATCGGTCGTCTTGATCTTTGATTTTTTTATTTATTCGACACTTGGCCAGAAATCCCCTCATGATGCTTTGAATTTTGATGATTTTTTTCACTTGCGTCTCGTATAGCCTAGACAGGTATTCCTCGTTGTAATATTTAAGGAACACTTTTGATTTTCCTATCGCCCAGCCCTCCATATTTAACCTTATGAGTAAAAGGCGGCAATTTTCTTTGGAAAATTCCACGTTTTCGTCGAAATCGAAGGCTAGAAACTGATATCTGAAATTTAATTACGGCAAGTATATTAAAAATAATGCTCGCGTGACAAGAGTGAAGGGGTATTTCTTGAAAAAAGTAGAAGCAGAAAAAACATGCTGTAAATCTTTCAATTAAATTCTATGGAACGTATAGTAACACAACACGTCATTCAACACCATACTTTAAGTTACTGTTTGATCAATGTTTGTAACCTTCAAAATGTTATTTGACTGGATTATAAAGTTTTATATTACTAACCGACGCAAAAACTCCGAAAAGCTGATCCTCTGAGGGTATCCGTTTTGTCTAATTCTGGTCGATTCGGTCACTGCCAAGGCCCGTAGCTGTTGCTTGACGAGTTCCCTGTTGAAATACCGAGGTCTGCCTTTAAGATCGGACCTGATGCATCTGACAAAATGAGTTCCCCCTGAACTACCGCCCACCGACAGTTCCTTCAATACTTCCAAACATACAGCCCTGTAAATGGCAGCGGAGGTGCGCATCCTCTTAACCTGGGAAAACTGATCCGGAGCGTTCGTCTGAAATAAAGCTAACTCAACATCAGCTTAAAGCGTCGATTTTCATGTCCCACCCTTTCACCAAATATCATTCTTCTTCGTCGACGTTCGGAGTGGACGTTAAGATTTCCGGTTCTATCCAGTTTGTTCGTGAATAGCAATTTTATGATGGGATTCTCGGAATCCCTCATCGTTTCTATCAATTCCGGAGGTAAAAAGTCTCGGTTTTTGTCGGCCATTTCGCCTACATAATAGGGAACGATGCCAGTGTAATGGGCGATCGCAAATTCTGATGATCCGGTCACCATTATTCGATTGGTTTCTTGCTTGTGAACGTTAACTAAAATAATTTTGTCGTATTACCGAAATATATCACCTATCAACGAAAACGTTCAAGGGCCACCAAAAATATAGGTTTTAGTTTAATAGGGAACATTTTTGAGGAGTAAACAAATAAGTCTTTCGGAAAAACAAGTAAGAATTTCTGATATGTCTCTCATAAGGGACAGTGGCAATCGATCGATCCTATCAATTTCTAAACTGGAGGTATTAGACACTAAAATTGTGATTGAATTCAACGTGCTTTATACAAATATCATTATATGTTAAGTCTATTAGTACCTATTAGTTTGTCGTTTCTTCTTCTTCAATGTACATGTTAGAAATTACAGAAATTCTGACTTATTTTCCAAAATTTCTGACTTGTTTTTCAAAAGTTTACCTTCTTGAACTTAAACCTTTTTGGTAGCCTTTCAGCTCTTTCGTAGTTATAAGCTTTACCCATGACGTATCTAGCATCGAGATTTTTCCGCGACGCTTCGTCGATGATACACAAAACACCGTCGGGTTTGCTGAGCAGTTGGTTCAAAGTCTTTCCATTGTCAGCGTAACCGAATTGTTGGTACTCGAGTTCTTCCGTCCGAAGGTCTAGTAGTTCCCACGCGAAGATTCTCTGCACGTAATGATATTGCAGTTGTTCGTTGAAGCAATTGACGAAAAACTGAGCCAAATGGTTCCTCTTGAAGCACTCGAAACCGAAATAGTCCAGCAGTTTTATGGTAAATTTTTCACCGCTGTCAAAAATACGCTTATGTAAGAGAAGCGAAAAGATAAACTGTTCTACACTCAAAACGGGTGAACAAGAACTGTGGTTTTCGGAGTTTCATATCTGCAAAACTAAAGGTATCTGGAGACTCATTAACACAAAAATCTTTGTAATGTATTTTTTTAGCCGTTTCGAGGTTCTAGTAATTCATTCTTTTGAAAGCAGTAATTGCTGACGTCATTAGTTAAAATTTAATCGCTTATTTCAAAACCGCATAAAAATTGGTGGATGAGATGCAATTTCCATATCTTCATGAATTTTTCATAAATATTCTACACCATGTTTTCTGGAAAAATGTAAGAAATTTGACAAGTAAAATTTGCAATATTTGCTGTCAAATAATTTAGAATTTGTTTTCATGAACTCATCTTAATTAATCTTGATGAAATATGTAAATAAAGACGAAATCACTAAAGGCAAATATGTTTTCAGTATAAATACTGACTGACGAATGATTTGCGCCAGACCCCTTAGACCTTTTCCTAGACAGCTCAGTACTCCATCATACTAGATTTCCCAAAAATTGCTATTAGAGAAATTAATATAGTTACTATAATATTTTATACAGCACTGTGGGTGGAAAATACATTTTTGCATAAAAATTAACCATCTAACCAGAAACATAAAAACTAGGTTAAATAAGTCTCAAAAGTTTAACAACCTTAAAAAACCAAACTAACAACCACAACATAAAAGAAATCACTTAAATAACATGTATCTGCTATTTACAGATAATCTGGGTTCATCCTACGGTATGGTTGTTGATAAATCGAATTGACGTTTCTTCAATTATCCTGTTGGCTTCTTCAGAGATTAACGAAATTGGTTTGCATTCTACTGTACACCTACGTATATACTGTTTGAGGCAGGCGGAGCTAAAGGAGGGATGTTCTCTCGGATAACTGATTTTCATCAAATTTTATACGACCAATGTAACTAAGTTTTCTAACAATGAAAAATCCGAGGATCTATAGAAACTTCCGAACAGTAAAACGCGACTTAGGTCTGAAAATTTTAGAAATACATTTAGAAATTGGATCGTGCCAATTGAGCCAAAGTCTAAACAATAAAATATCTTTTTTTATTTAATAAAAAAAACATATTTATGATTTTTTCTCTATGCATTTTCTCTTGGTTACTAGAACTTTTTTAATTGCCACCTATCAAGTGATTTATGTTCAGAACCTCACTTTTTATTGTGTTTATACTTCAATAAATAGAACAGGCGTATTTAGAGTGATCATAATCCTCGCCGTTCCGTCCAGAACAACTTACTGTTTGGTGAGCTTTACGAGCAAGTATAGAATAATTGGTTATTGATTTTTTCGTTCATCAATCATGATGTGAAGGAGCTGTCGTATCGGTAACCGCATAGTTTTAAGTTTCGGGAACGTGAATTGACCTCACAGATCGTGCGATTTTACGCCGCTAAACTATTTCTTGGAGGACAAAAATTGTCAGTACTCACAAAATTTGTTTCCCTATGGCCAGCTTGTCGTTAATCAAGCCGATCACGTAATCAACTAGTCTGCAGTAAAGATTGTTTGCCAAAACGTCCCTCGCATCTCTCGCTTCGTCCGCTGTGCTCTTCTTTTTGATCACGTTCCCGTGCTTTACGAGGCAATAATTGGTCAACGCCCACGTCAACTTTTTCTCGTCGACCTCCATAAGGGCGGCAAAGTTTCCAATAAATTCTCGGTTTTGTACGCTGGCGCACCCTTCTTCCACCTCATCTTTGAAGCTCACCTCTCCCAAATTCAAAATCGCCGCTATTACGCTCAAAAACGTGGTCGTCTGCTCTTCGTTCAACTCGTACTCTTCCAAATAACTGTAGATTTTCTTGTACTTGATCAAGTTCTGTTCGACGTTATCTCTGGGTCTTTTCAAGTTGGGATTGCCGTCCGGTATACGTAAGTATCTGTAGTTCCTATCGGCGTTGAGCTTGTACTTTTCGATCGAGCCGTTGTTGACCATCCCATCGTACATGTAGTAGAAAATGTGGAAATTGCTTTGGTCCCTGCAAAAATGAAATACTAAAGCGTCAAATGTTAGGCAGATCCCAAGCCCTATCGATCTACTAGTCTGACTTCGTTTCTGCTGAAAAGTCTGGAGAAGATGCTGGAATCATAGGTATCAAGCAGATGGATAGAGGTCTGCTATAAAACGGACTGGAAATATTGCTTCCTCATTTCGTCAAACTATTCAGAGCTAGGCTGCCATAGTTGGTCGGCGTCTAAGTTAATCTATATGTCTAGTCCAGATCGCAAGCCCTATCGACCTACTAGCCTGACTTCGTTTCTGCTGAATACCATGGGTATCAAGCAGACAGAACTAGCATAAATAAATGTTGCTCTAACTGTAGTCCTCGACATTGAAGGAGCATTCAACAATTCACGTCCAGAATCCCTATACGAGGCCGACCTCCATCGAGATCGCTAGATTTAGTACTACCAGGGATCGCCCATAGGTCGGCAAGACGACCGCACATCATGTCCTAAATCTACCATTACCAAAGACATTCGCGCTTACATATCCACCGAAGAAACCCTCCATTTATCGAGACACATCACCTTGAAGTCTGCGGCAGTGAGTTTTCCAGTGCGTCCTAAGGTAACGTTCGTCTTCAACACACATCTAAAAAGAAATGAATGCGTTCGACTAATTATTGCAGTCGCCATCGTCACTCACCTGGTGGAATAATCATTAGTCGGAGTGGAGGCATGCGTGAGGGAATGGATCAGTTTGATACCGTTCTTGATCCTGTCAGAGTTTACCGGATGGTTCGATGCGAGGTGAAACAAATGGTCCATCAAGTACAAGTAGTTGGCAGTCTTTCCGGAGCCAGATTCACCGGTCAGTATGATTTGCTGGGTTACTTGGTGGTGCAGAACGTTCTGGATCGCCGCGTCAGCAATCGCGTAAATATGGGGCGCGTTATCTGATCTCGATTTGCAGGCGTACTTTTCGTGAAACTAAAATGGTAAAGGAGTCATTCCTTGTCCAAAATAATCAGTTATTTTTCTTTACAAAGGTTAGATAAAAAAATAAACAATTTGGGAGATATCTTAGAGAATAAAGGGATAGAATACTAATGGAATTTATGGAAGTATGAGTATTCTAAAAATATACTTTCTGCTTATTAGAAATATTTTGGGATCATATTTTGCTGGGTGTTTGCTGATGAACCCACTATGAGGGGCCTGTGAATCTAAATTTCTTAGGAGACATTAACTTTGACCAAAAGGGCGTGAAAAAAAATCTTTCGGAGCTAAAGGGATATTCTGCACCCGGAGCTAATGGAATTTCCAGCAAAATCTTGAAAATGTGGGCCGCTGTGCCTATGGAGGGACAAAGGGACAAAAAAGTTTCTACTTGATTAAATTGATTCGATGCTCTATACTCATTCTAAAAATGTAAAAAATACGTATGTTATTCTAATAACGATACTTCTATGTATAATTTTATTGCTGTCTCTTTTCGTTTTCACGAAAGCGCAAAGTCATCAAAAATAAAATTTTGGTTTTAGCTTGATAAGACAATTTTGAGGAATATGTCAGAATTTCTGTAAAACAAGTCAGTCATAATATACAATTTTGGATTGGACGAGAAATTTGTCAGAAATTCTGACTTATATGTCAGAAATTGAACCTATAATTTTTTTTGTAATTTGTAGGGCAACGGTCGACTTTTCATTGTCGACTTTCACTGTTCAACGTTTATTTAATAAACTACCCCCTATATTTTCCGCATTGGTTTCGACGCACCCTGTATAATACAGTATTTTTTTCAATTGACATTTCATTTGTTTTCATATCGTGATTGATTTGTATACCAGATTTCACCCACGGAATCTACAAAGATTTCACTAGGTTCAGAGTTCACGTATTCTACAATAACTAATATGTATAAAAAATGCTCTTAAAGCTTTTTTTCGAAAAGTGGTGAAGAGAAAATATTTTCTATGACCTTACTCTGTTCAATAATTAAGCTTAACTGAACCTGGTTCAGTTCAGTTCAAAAGATTTGTAAAAGGTATTACAATAGTCTGAGGAACCCTTTTTGAATAATTAAATTGTTTTATTATTTAAAGATGATTTCACTAAAAAGAGTGCTAAAAGCAAATTTTCGCAAGTATTCGTATGATGTTATTTTATGCTGTGCTTTTTTGGTTCTTTTAAAAACATATCTTGCAATAGGTTCTGTGAAAATAACTTAAGATTAACTTAAGATAACGTAAGATTCGATTGCCAGGTAAGTAAAAGCCAAAAGTACTAGAAATTGTTATCAAACCAGTAAATTTTGCTCTATTAGGCTTTTAGCGATCTCTATACCCGTACCGCTTTTGTTTTGAGAAGCTGAAGAGCTTTTTGTGTTAATCAATAATTCGACTCTGTGGTGTTTAGATCTTTTAATTCGATGCTCAATTATGAGAAAAGAAGATATTTAACATAAAAGGCCTGTAGCACCACTCACTTCTCCACCATATATGTTAAGCTTTTGATTCGGATTAACTGACAAGAGAATATCTCCGATGAAACTGTAGAATTCGTCTTGTTTGGTCTTGGTTTCCAGCAAATCTAAAATTTTTTCCTCCGTGATCTGACCGATATCGGTCAAATCTTCCTCCAACATTTTTTCCATTTTGCCGTCGATGCTCCGTTTTAAATAACGACCTTTGACGGCCACCTCTGGGCAGCGTTTGTGGATACCCGAGGCCTCGATATCCTCCAAAAGCGTCTTCACTTCTAAACTGAGCTGAAATAGAAGATGTCGTAGGAGCGTTGAAATTTTGGATTAGCAAAGGCGTACGTGGTAATTATTTTCTGGGATTTGTACCAGAAAGGGATGGTCGATCACTTCCATTATATACGGACGATGTTCGTAAAACTTTACGAGACACCTAAAAAAATTGCATTCAAATATTATGAGAGCACAGACGATCAATATCTTCCGAATGGCTTACTCGTTGATAAAGTCGCGGAAATTTTCCGACCAGTTGCTGATTTTCTGCAAACTCGGAGGAGGATTTTTCACGATCTGGAACAGGGCTCTGGTCGGATGCATGTTTTGGAAAGGCGCCTGGCCTTCGGCTATTTCCAAAGCGGTAATACCTAGAGACCAGACGTCGACTCTAAAATAGAGTATTTTTGATAGAATTGAAGCAGGAGTGAGTGAGCAATCACGTTATATCCAAAGAAGACCAGAGGAAGAAGATCAGTGACTTTTTTGTGAAACACAAAATAAGGCAGAAACAAAGAAAAAAAATACGTCTATAGACATTTTTTACAAAAAATCCAATGGAATATTTTTTGAATCATGACATAATGTCGTATATTTTTAAATAGGACACACTGTATAATTTTTTTAGTTTTATTTGTGAAAGTGAACTTTTTGTTCTTATTGATTGTTTTAAAAGTTGGCTCTGATCCAAACAAACACACGCTTTGTCTATCGAATTATCAATGGTACAGACACTGCTGAATATTGCTTCAGTTATTTTATTAAGCCATTTAAGTTGTTAACTAAATTGTTCTAAATATTATGGCTGTCAACGAAGACGTTGGAAATGTTGAAAAACATGACATGCTGTTTTGTTCTGTGCTGTGTAGTGAAAATACGCCGACCTAATTAATTTTGGATCTTTTCGCAAAGGTCGGCCAAAACGTTATAAACGGTATCGAGAAATTAGTGAAATTGCTTTAAATTAATTATTTTAAATTAAAATTATGCATTGAATATATGAAGGTAAATTTGAGCAGTTTCATTAGTTGTTAATTTAGATTTGCGTTTTTTTCGAAGAAATACAATTTTTAAACTAATACACTAAACTAATTTTGCGATAGGAAAATAGATACCACGGTTAAAAATACTTCTTGTATAAACTTTTAATTTAAAATAACAATTTAGTACTACATGGTAATTAATATAAATGCACTAAAACTGTCTAATTGTTAAATATATAAAATTAATAATATTATCGGTGGTAATATTAAAGTATTATAATACTGAAGACAGACTTGAATTAAAAACAATTGGCAAAGTGTTATATACATTCGGAATGCCCTTGGCGGATGCAATACAGCGACGTAAAATTATACAGTATGTCCCATTAAAAATACACAACTTTTTGTCATAATTTAGAAAATAAGAAAATCTGAAAAAAGCAGTTATTTTTATTTTTTTGATAGCTTAAATATGAACGGGCTTACGGTGCGCGAAATTTTTGAAAATTACCCTGTAGCTCAGAAACGCAGTGGGATAAAAAACTCTGTTGACGGCATCTTTCGTTTGAAAAAAAAAGTGGCAGCTTGACCCGCAAACCGCAAGCCTTTAGTTTTACTTACTTACTGAGTTAAATTATTGAAGAAAAAAGGCAGCAGATCTAACGTAATGAACCTTAAAAGTTATGGCCCAACGATTCAGCAGTCGTGGCCAATAGAAGTAAAAGAAGAAGAAGAAGAACTTTATAAACCAGCAGAACTTCTTTAAATGTCCAATGAATCAATATTGGTTAGTTTATTCTTATGTGAACATTTAAGGTCACTTAAGCATATGATATAATAAATACAATTTGCCTTTTGATTGTTTGCGTTGGGCATAGCGGGTCTCCTTTGCATATGGGGTTACTGGAGCAGAGTACCTGTTATCGTAGGAACCATTTTCGCAGTTAGGGTTTCCCGAGACTACTTCCGGCGCCATCCAACATGGAGACCCGACGCACTCGGTTGCTTTGCCTTCGCGACTGCTCAGTCGCTTTGATAGACCGAAATCGCACAACTTTATCTCTCCCTCTTTGGTCAGCAGTACGTTGCTGGCTTTTATGTCTCTGTGGATGACGTTGTGCTCGTGCAAGTATATTATGGCCTGCAATTTCGGATAATAGCTTTTGTTGCGCCGGCAAAACGAAGAGCTTCGACAAGATATCTTTTTGATAAAAAAAGTTTTCGAGGAAGATACTAATCGCACAAATTTTTAGAACTATCATGTATTACAAGTGTTTAAGTTTATAAAAATTTAAGTAATATTAAATATATGGTTAAAAATTGCTACACACGTGTTTTATTTAAAGTAAATATTTGATGACTATTTATTTTTGAGGAGGGCATGCTTGTAATAAAGTTAAATTATTTAAACTCTTCGCTTCGCTTAACAAAAAATTAAATCAAAAACTGTGAACTCCATATATCCATCCATGTTATATAGGTTATTTTCATGTAGTAAATTAAATTGTTAATGAATGAAATAAATAAAATTGTTAATATGATTTTTCATTGTGTTTAAATTTTTATAAATAAAAAATAAATCCGTATTTTAGTATTCTTTGCGTATTGATTTAGTTGTTTGTTTAATTATTTTAAGAAAAAAATTTAAAATGTTTCCTTTTTCATTAAATTAAAAATATTTTAAGTCTCTTTCGAGGACTTTTTAAGAAGGTAGATTATTGGAAATTAGAGAAAGACAACCATCCCCATTAGTAGCTGTCTCATTCTGTTGAATCACGCCATTGGCATTCTTCAGAACGAGTTAATAAAATGTCAATTTTCTTTATATTTTGCGTTAAACAAATTACATACGTTTTTGTTTCGTCTCCGTATCCAATAAAAATTAAAATTTGAATTCTCTGAGTTTCATTTAGATGATCTATGTTTACATTATTTATTTTCAGAAATGTAATGCTAACAATTTAAGAACTTAATTGGTAATAGCCCATTACTTTTTGACCTACCTTGTATATTTTCAATAAGTTGTTTATGTATAAAATAAATAAAATAGTTAATTAGATTTTGAAAATTATATTAACTTATTTGTGGGTATTATTGTATTGTTGTTATTCACTATTTATTAAAATAAATCAGTATTTTGGTTAGTTTTTATGTATGAATGTAGTTGTTTATTTAATGAATATAAGGGATAAAATTTAAAATGTTTCCTTGTTAAGTCTTTTTGAAAATACTACTTCTAAAAAAATTCATAGTAATAAGATTTTTTTTTGTGAAAGGCCTAAATATTTTGAACTTTATCCATTTGCATGCGCCGTTTACGGAGTCTTTTTAAGAAGATTATTGATGTATCAATTGTCAATGGACACACAAAAGGCACTCTATCAGGGCCATAAGCATTTTTGTTTTTTTTTTGTCTAATGATCCCGATTTATTAAAATTGTCAAGCGTTTTTTGAGATATCGACATTTATTTAAGAAAATATTCGAACACTCTCACCGCTTTCCAGATTTGAATTTTTCTCTTTCACTTTAACTATGGAGAACATTAGGAACTTTTGTGGAAACCGGGTTTTGAAATTCAACTTAACAAGGTGGCCATTTCAGAAACTCGAAAATAATTTCTAGCATTTTGTTTTGGCTGATTTTCATATTTTTGTCTATCGTCCTTACTGGGACATCGCATAAGGAAAAGGTTTTGTATATCACATTTTATCAATACTTATTTAGAAAACACTTAATCATTAATCATTTTGAAATATTTATTACCTTAACCAGCTCTTTGAGAATATAGGCAATATGCTCCTCAGACATTCGCCTATTTTTGAGCAACAGTCCTTGCACCAAGTCAATGACCGTATTTCCTTCACATTGCTGAAACAAAATGACATTACGGTGACGATTTGATAGTAACTTTAGACCACGACCTCCAAAACGAACCATATTTCGTTATCCCGTTTGAAAATTCCGTAAAAATCGACCAAATAAACGATATGGCTAAACTCCTTGAGGATTTCGTATTCTTCTTGGACGAATTCCTTGTTATCCCGATCGAATTTCTGGATTTTGACCGCGACCGCTTTCTGATTTGCCTGATTGTCGAACGCCTTGTACACTTTTCCAAAAACTCCGGTTCCTAACAGGTCACCGAACGTGTACCTATCTCCAGGATCGGGTATCTTGTCCATGCTCGTTTTCATTTTCACGAATTTGAATTTGAGAATTTCGAACGACGTCTAAAAACGACACGGTATATCGGAAAATGCTGGCAAAAGCTCCACACAGCGCCATCAAATTGCCGAGTGTGTACGAAAGTGAGCAGGAAAAAAAATTACATACCTATACGCGTCTAAGAGATTTCACATTCCTCTACGCTCTCCGTTTATCTTCGGTAAATTTTTTCCCTCGCTCATTAAATTTCATGGGTTATATTATACGGTCTTGGCTAATTTCGTGACGCACTTAATTCTCGGAAGTTAATTCATTACTGGGGGCATTTTTTTGCGTCGTCTACTTCCAATGTTCCGAGTTAATTATATTAGAAACCATCAAAGTTTAATGGGATTTAAATAAAGCCGCAGCCTCGGCCCCTTCCACGTCCGGCCTTATGGTTATTGAGTTACGTTGAGTTTTAAAATGTAGTTTATTTAAAGATCTCAATTTATTTTCACCTTCAAGATTCTAGTTATTAGTCGGGGGGCAGGGGGGGTCACCCGACGTGGTGGCCAATCATATTACTAACTAAAATACCGACGGCAAATACAAAGAAATCTTCGTTTTTAACTGAACTTAAGTGCTGTGTTGATAGATACATAGATTCTTTATTTGACTGTGTTAACATATAATGTACAAGAGTCACAAGAAAATTTCCACCCTCACCCTGATGGCTAGCGGTCATAGTTGTACATCTCTGGATAGTCACTTACCGAAGTTTCAACCATTTTGAGCGTGTGGTTTGTGGTTTGAGTGAGTCGATGTGAGTGTTTTCGTGAAAATGAAAAAAATGAGTATAGAGCTCTTATAAAATATCATCAAAGTGGCCATATTTGCAAAAAAAAAAACTTGTTTCACCAAGACAAGGCGCTGCTTCATACCTCAGCGATTGACATTGCGAAAATCCACGAATTTCGGTTTGAACTGCTTGACCGTCCGCCTTACTCACCAGTCTCGTCAAATGTGGAGGCAATCACATTCGTGAACAATTATTTTGAAGTGAAGTTATAAAGAAACCGTAGAAAAAATAAAAAACATTGAGAAGAAAATTCTTGTATAATTGTTATGTCTGAAATTTTTGTATGTTTACAACACGTTCAAGCAAAAAAACATGCAAAACAAACTGACATAAAAATGAACAAAAAAATTTGAAGCATCGGTTGTGTTCCTTTACAGAATAAAAGCAATATTCCATTGAAATTGTTTTTTTTGTCACCTTAATTTGAATGACGTGATATAAACTTAGGCCAAGAGAATTTTTCACGTTTTTAGTAAATTTAAACTTAATAAACTAAAAATCATATCCTGTCCAGGCAGCAAACGTATTATTTTTAAATAGTGACTGGTAATAGGTATTAGAACAATATAAGTCAAAAAAGGATTGTACATATTGTACATATTTTTCTAATAACTGTGTGTACCTTTCTTTCTATAATCACAAAATGCAAATTTAAAATCCTATGCTTTTTAAACAACACGATATAATGTCAAAAAAATTAAGTTGTCAATAACTGTTAAATAATATTACAACTGTTTTTAAGGCAAAAACAAAAAGCACTTTATTAATTCCTAAAAAATAAAATGATCTCTTTATGTCTACTATTTTTTTTATCTTTAATTTCCTATTTTGTGTTCTATTATTCGACATTCTGAAAATTAAATTTTGAAAAATTGTAAATTTCCATTTCCATTTTTGCTTTTATTATTAACAAAGTATTTGTATAATATTTATTTGATATATGTTTAATATTTATTTATTACATTTACTGTTTGTCTCTTAATTAGTGTTTTTGAAGTTTGTTTACTCTTTCTGTCAAACATTTAAATATTCGACTGCCAATTGACCATTGAGAAAGACCATTTATAAGAAATATGACACCAAAGTATAACCAAAACTAGCAAGCGAAAGCTGACTTATAAAACTTAGAAATGGATTTTCAAAAACTTTTGTCACATTTTCCTTGACTTCTGGTGAATGCATTTTTGTTGTATACTTACAATATGTTACTTAATATCTCTGACAAAATGGAGAATTCCCATCGTGTTCGAGATGCGAGATGTTGCAAAAGACAAAATTTTACGTGTTTTGGAATTATTAATTAACGGATAATATTTGGTGCACATAATTATTACATTGCGGCAACGTTTCTGCATTTTTCTCCATCTCTTACGATTTTCGAGTAAGCAATCATTTTAATTGTTTGACGATCCCATACGTGAAAGGAATATCAGAAAAGATTAGGCGAATAGCTAAACAATATCAAGTTAAAACTGTATTTAAATCTGGGTCAACATTAAGAAGTGTACGAACAAAAACAAAGCCTGAAACGCCGACTCAAGAGAATCAGTGTATCTACTAGATACGCTGTGAATACGGAATTGGCGAAACCAAACGACCTCTAAAAATAAGAGTTAGTTGAAGAACATAAGAAACATGCAATGAAGGGTGAAACGCAAACATCTTGACTTATGGCGGATGCATTTGGATATAGAAATTATTCGGTCTTTTTATTTACACACACAGTAAACTATAAAGGTACATTGTTTAGGTACAATTTCAATCCAATATAAAATAAATATCAATAAATAAATATTAAGATTACAAATTGTATACGTAATATATACAAACACAATATAAAATCAATGTTTGTTAAAATGCACTTCAAGATCGCACTATTTACACACACTGATCCATTCCTCCACGTTACACACTTTACACTTTACTTCGCAGCACCAGTAAAACTTGCAGTTGCACATCTCCGTTTTCCTTTGCTTGACCAAATTGTAACCCCTTCCGCAGCACAAAGCGGAGCAGCTATTTGGACTTGTCGTAGTCCTAAAATGCGAATCGCACATCAACAATCAATTTTTCAATTCGATTTTATTCCGTACCTGTTACAAACCCTGCCAATAGTTCCGGGAATGTCCAGCAACGCATCTTTCTCGCAAAAATTTGGCGACTTCTGGTAGTACAAGAGATCGTAAGACAAGTCCCTCTTGTATTTGTTCTTCCTCGGGGTTAGTTTCACTCTGATTTGTCGCTTTTTGCTCTTCTGGTTGACGCTGAAAATATGCGCTTACAACGTTGCCAAGTTATTCGGTAACGGAGACATGCCCGTTATCAAAATACCTGCTTACATGTTCGATTGGCGAGAGTATTTGCTGCCCAAATTTGATTGGTCCACGACTACGGCCGACTGGAATTTATCCTTTAGGATTTTACCGACCACTTGGAAATCCGTAACTGCCCTCCAGCAAGTCTTCAGTTGGCAACTGCCTGACATACCGTGGCATTTGCATTTTAACTGCATATTGTTGGAGACTACCTAAAATTCGTAATGCCTAGCTTAGTAACGCTTTTATGGAGGAGGCTGAGATTCATTTTGGACACGTCTATCTACTAATTGCCAGTTTTTAATGGAAGAATACTTCCAAAGTAACCTCAAATCGAAAGTTTTGTAATAGCCATTTTTCATTTTTGTTTTTAGAAGAACCCTGAAAAAATCTTATACATGAAATTAAAGCCTTTTTTAAGAGGAAGAAACAAAAAAAAAAACATTTTTTTCCAGATTGAGCAGCTTATTTTTGTTTTAGTTGTTTGGAATTTTTTCGTTGTATATAGATATAGAAATGTAACATTTTTTGAATTGAACAAATTTTGAAAAATTTTAGCTAAGAAACTCAAAAATATTGCCTTTTCGGACGCCAATGGAGTTGATATCTAGTATTATTGATTTTGTAATTTAGTTAGAGTGTTTGTCATACACGTTAACGCCTAATGCCTTATACTTCTTGGAACTTAGTGGTTGAGATATATGTTCACTATTTTTGAGGTTTTTCAATCTTGAATGAATGAATGTCAATGTCAATCGAAATTTAACTACTTTGAATTTTTAAATTTTTCAATTTGTATTCCATGTTCTGGAAGACTTTTTAAGATTATTCTAAATTTCATTTTGTACACTTGTACACTTCATTCTTAAATTTAAATTAAAAATAAAGATGAAGTTGGCTAGAAGATGATTTTTTTTAGTTAGAGTTTGGGTATTTTGAAAACTAAACATTTGTACACTGTAGTATGAAAATGAGCCTTTATCCACCGATATCCTTGTCCAAATTGTCTTTAATTTTTGCACATATGTTCAGGCTGTTTCCTCATAATTCGCCACCTCACTTATTTTTTTATTTGAAGAGATAAAAAAAAGTTTTGATTTAAAAGTGTTATAGTATTTTTTTAAGTTTTCGAAATTGATACGAATAAAAACAAAAATAATAACAAAAATGATTTTTTCGTATACAGTTATATTTTCCAACTTATTTTGAAAGGTTTTTAAACATTAAGTATCAAACTTGTTAAAATGTTAATGTAAACCCCAGTTAGAGAGTCTTCTTTGAAGACCGAAAACTTGAAATTATACGTATGTTTCATGGAAATAAGGACAACATCTCTCGAGCAAGAAAAGAATACAGGAAACTATATGGCAAAGCACATTCAGATATATAGAAAACATCTTCTGGTTAGTTATTTTATTTATTATCTGATACATTGTTATTACATATTATTTATTACATTTATTTATAAATTCTTAAATACAGGTCAGTCAGCTACCATAAGACAGATTCTAAAACCACAGCACAAGAAATGTAGAGAAATTTAAGATTTCCCAACATAAAATTGCTTCATTTCAAAAATATCTTTCCTATTTTGCACCAAAAATTCTGCAACGAAATCCCATCAGAGACACTGCTGTCTTTAACGCAATTTAAAACATTTATTAAACCTTAGCTCCTAGATGAGCAACGATTCCAAAAATCATCGTTTATAGAGTAAGAGTAAATACAATTATTTTAAATGTCGAAATGTCATATATCTTGTGTTCAATTGTCTTTCGGCCGCCATTCTAAATTTTGAAAACTTTCAACCTAATTATTTTAAAACCCTTTTAAAATAAGTTAAACAAACGTCAAAATCTCTGTGAAAGAATATACAGGATGGTCAATTTTACATATATAACGAAAAAATGATTTTTTTATTATTTTTTATTTTTATTCGTATCAGTTTCGAAGTTAAGAGAAAACTGTAAAAAGATAGGTAACGTAGATTTGAATTTTTTTTCTGTCCAGCAATTTAATAACTTAAGGGAGGGTGGGACAAGGCGGCCCTCCTGGGCAATGAGGGACACCTGAAAAATTCACCAAAAATTTTTTTTGTTATTATAATCATAAATTCTGGTTATTTGTACATTTTATGTACAATTTATTAAAAGTGTTATTTTTTGGATAATTCTATGGGTTTAAATAGACAAATAGTTACTCATTAGTAACCTTTTTTTATTAAATAATTTTTAATAAATAATTATGATTAACATTATAAATAGGACAGAGTGGGGCACGACGGTCAGAAGCTTCGCCAAAATTTCGATAAATTAAGTTAAAGTTAGTGAAAAATAAATCGACTTCACGGTTAAAAGCCACAAAAAATAACAAAGTTTAAGTGGGCCTTGCCCCACCCTCCGCTAAGTGTCCGAAATCATTTAATAATTTTGTGCAAAATCTCCAATCAAGCTAGAGTCGAATTAATTTAAAATGTTTCGTTCGGTCCGGTATAGGTATGCCGACTGCTTCGCCGGCGGCAATGGGAAACAATAGGTCGGAATGTGGACCTTTGAGTCGGAAAACGGCGCGTGTGGTCTTAATAATAATAATCCTAATAACGCGAGAAGAGCGCGATGGCTGCCCACGGGGGGCGGGCCCTTACACCGACCTCTTTGTGTGAAAACATTTTCGTGAACTCCCGCTTAAGTGCCCCACTGCCAAATAAATCATATAATTTCGGCCATTGCAACAACGAATCGGACCGTTAACGATACGACGTGGTCAGATTTTCCCGTTCAAGATTTTCGATTTAACCAAAATGTTGTTACCGTTTTGTTCGGAAATTAACTATTCTTTTTCTAAATACATTTTTACTAGTAGAAGGGGCGTTTTCTGCCAATACGCGTGTAAGCATTTTTAATTTTCTCACAAACAATATTAGAAACACAGAAAATTCAGACACTTTAAACAAATGAAAGTTGCGATTTCTATAATACTTTTTCAAACATTTCCAAAGACGTTCAACATGTTGCGTCTAGGACATATTCAAGTACAGGGTGTTTCGAGTTCACTATCCCGTAGGTTTGAAAATACGAAGGATTGTTAGGTACAAGTATACAGGATGGCCTAAAAAAGCGCGACGAATAAAATATACATTTTTCTTATGTTAGCGTTATTCGTAACGATGTAACGTAACGTAAATTATATCTGCAACGGAATTTGAGTTAGATGCTACAGGGTATTCAAAATAAACGAATTTTAAATTTAAAAATCTCGATTTTCCTCGGTGACACACCATATATAATATAATTATATCTGAAAGATCTTACAAAATCCCACAACTTTTATTTAGTATGTCATTTACGTATTTTTAATACTTCAATCATAAAATTTATTGTGTCATCAAATTGAAAAAAGTATGAATTTTCCTAAAGCTAAATTAATTGATATGATTTATATGCTGGGTGAGGCCGAAAAATACTTTCGGGTAGTAAGAATTTACCCTAATAGACGAACGACAACTAGACAATCTTTTCAGTGTTTAATGCAATGATATAATGCTAGTTCTAGTATTAAATATAAATACCAGAAAGTCGTAAGCCGGAATGAATATTTTACTTCAAGATAATCCCCAGGCTGCACCACAAACAGCAAAACAAAAATATCACCCCTTCCATATGGAACTACTTTTCATAACATTAAGAAAAAATAGTAATATGGTGTGATATTTAAGAAAATCGATGAATAGAGAAAATGATCCAAATATATTCGTTTATGTGTATTTAATTGAAATTCCCTTGAACATATTTTTACGCCCTCTTCGAATAACGCTAACATCATTCTTATAAAGATACTTTCACATGCTACTGTGAGACTATTTACATTTCTTGCGGATTTCTCCAGCGTCGGTTGTTTATAAAGTTTCAGTTTCAGCTTTGCAGAAGCTAAAAGGATGACTGGCGAAACGTCAGTCAGTCAAGTTTGATTTATAAAAAATTTAAAACAATACAACAAAAAATATTAAAAATAATAAATTGAAGAAGTTGAAGAATGTCAATCATTTGAAGGTATCTTTTGTTCGTCACGCTTTTTTGAGCCACTCTGTATACTTTAATTTTACAAAAGTACCTGTAAATTGTGATTCATTTTGTACGGTATACTCGAATATTAAATTCTCCGGAAAGACTACAACACATCATCCATATGAACCATACCGAATGGAACAACCCTGTAAAATCTCTGAACGGGCTAAAAAGTCATCCGTTCCTGTGAACTGTGTGATTATCCGTAACTGTATAACCTACAAAACTGTTTTTTTATATTATAGACAAAACATGCCTTCAAAAATATTTGAGAGGTATTGAACGTAATATATTATGTATTTGTTATGTTAATTTTTTGGATTAAATTATATTAAAACTTCGTTCCACTTGTCGATGTATACAGATTACAGATAGGGTAATATTTGTTTAAACTATATGTTAAATATTTCACCTGCTGCACGGAAAACAAAACCAACTTACTTTCCCTTCTTTAAATTGTTATAATTTCACTATCCCTAACTTAAGACCAGAAACCTTGGCGCACATAAACCAATCTCATGATGAAAAAGTATCTTCAGGAATCTTCTACCAACTCTAATAACACAAATACTCACCATCCTACCGACTTGATTGTTATGCAAATTAACCATGGAGTGTATATCTTCGGCTTGTTCTCTGGAGTCTAAGAACAATTTGGAGAATTTGATGCCGTATCTCAGGTTATGGGAACAGCCTCCCCATTTCCAGGTCGTCGTTGCGGTTGACCTCAGGTTACGCATTTTGTATACTTTCGAGTCGCAGCCGCAATTCAATATGGACCCGGCGCTGCAAGCTTTTGCAACTGAGATCGCCACTCCCGCTGAAGATATGGCGTAGGCGAATGCGGTCTCCTTGAACCCTGAAAAGTAGATGTGGAAATAAAAGAGAAATATATCTCATCGTATTTCCTTTTCAGTGGGATTAGTTTTTTTCAACAATTTTTATAAACGCGAAACTGATCTTGAATTTTTACTTTTACGTCTAGATTGAAGAATAAATTATGGTTCCAATGAAGATGTTAATAACCGGTGTTTTAACTATTATTTCATTTGATTTTCGGACATTATTCTTCTTAGTTTGTTTGGATAGTAAGTATTCCTGGTTATGTCAACATTATAGTCTACGGTTACGGGTAAGAGTCTGCTCGGCAGGGTGTTCTATAAAGGGCTACGGTTTTGGAGTAATAAACAGTGGGCAAAGTTATTCAGCGGGTCGGTTGTAAAAGCACTATATTTGTGGTCGAAGTATACCTGTGCGGGAACACTAAAAAAACTCAATTTAGCGGGGATGCGGCGATAATAATTCCGACGGCGAAGAAATCGCATTCCCCGTTCCGAGATTTTTGACAATGGGCGACCAATTGTCCATCGGTATCGTTTCCAGTCGAGCGCGGACATAAAGAACATCAGCGCAACTCGGCTTTTCTTCGGGCATGCCAATCCGCGATATTTACAACGAATGTCGTCAAGAAGAACGCTCAATGCCGCGTTCGCGGGGACGCACGGTAGCCAATACCCTATATAGTGCTTGTCCTCAAAATTTTTATCTCTCCTTCATACCTTGTTTGTAGCTGCCTTACGAGATTTATTGACCGTGTTCCCTAAGCTTATTTGCGAGAGCCGTCGCGAGTCTGTGCAGTCCCTTGTCAGTTTCTTTTAAATATGTTAGCATTTCAGCTCGCTGTCGTTTTCTCTGATTGTGTTGCCGGATTCAATTGAACGCGCGCGCACATACTTAACGGGTTAAATAAGTGAAATATTTTCGATTCATCGCGGAAGAGTATAAGGGGGACGGCGTGCGGGGTTGTAATCGCGGCATAGACCAAACTACCGGCATTTTCCACCAGTGTTACCATTGTCTTAATAATGAACAGTCCATTCCCATTGTTTTACTTAATGAATAATTTTCAAGCCTTTTTAACAACTTCAACAATTGTAGAAACGGTCGGTTAATTTTGAAAGATAGAAAAAAAGTGTAAATACAGTAATTTGAACATTTTTTCTCTATTATCCTACGCAAATGTCAGAAAAAACAAACGACGATCACAAGTTGCCAAAATGACAGCAACATATATAGCTTAAATCGTAGATCTTTTTTTTTCTGATTTCAAAAACATATAGTTTATTGACATTTCATTTGACCGCTTTTGAGATATTTGGGTTTAAAAATAATTATCATTCGATTTCTAGACAATAGCCGTATTGTTTAAAAACGGTCAAGTCTGCCTTGATAGCAATCTTATTATCTATGTTTGCAATTGTTTTAACAATGTTCTAATTTTGACAACTAATCAAAGTTAAATAACTTAAGATATTTCAAATGGGTGATTCTGAGGAAGGAAAACGCCAAATAATAAAATTATATTATTGAAACATTAAAAAAATAATAATAATTGAACCTAAACATTTTCCACATAACCTCCATTATTTTCCATACATTGAACAATATTTCCTGTCAATTTCCTATTAATACAGGACGTAATAAAATCCCTTTTTTCTCTGTTTAGATTTTGTAAAATGATTTGAAGAAGGCTTTCTTTTATAATAATAATAATAATAATAATAATAATAATAATAATAATAATAATCGTTTTCGAAAACAAAAATATATAACGGTGTGGGCGGCATCCAACATAGTTGCTCCCATGCAACTCCCTAAAACGAGCATATGACAGTATTTATAAAATAAAATATAGCATATAAATTACATTGACATTCATTCAAAATGGTAGACACTGCGAGAGTGAATTCAAAAAATAAATACATATATACAGTTTTTGTTTGAACGAAGTTAGTGAGGTGATTGATCTAAGTTGGAGAGGGAGTTTGTTGTAAGCCTTGATAGCATTGTACGTGAAACTGTGCTGAAACTGTGCTGAAGTATGTTTGGGAACGGTAAACAGCCCCCCATGGCGAGTATTAACCGAATGAATATCTGAATCACGAGTACGATCACTTGTAAACTTTCAGGCTTATTGTAAAGATTCAGGTCGGGGCTGTTGGTAGGCCATTTGATAGCTCCTTGCCTACATATCCAAAGTCTATATTTATTATTTAGATAATCGGTAACGGGTTGGACATTATGTGGAGGTGCGCCACCTTGGGGGGGCATTCAATTAAAAAAAAAAGATTTTGCTGGCATTTTGACAGCTTGTGACAGCTTATTATAAAATGTTTGTTAACTTAAACACAACACCAAAAACATTTTACACCTTATAATTTAGATAGGTATATATAATATGTACGTAATTAGTTTTGCATATGGAATTGTTCAACTGGTCCCCATTTTCTTCAATAGACTTTTATCTGTGGGTGATTTCTGCAAAATCCGGTATGTTTAGAAATATATCTTGCAAATAGCTTACTATTTTTTGACCACCACATAGGTTCTCTCTAGGCTAATGAAAATGCATCCTGCTTCTCTGCGTTCTCTGAACCTGGAGGCAGTTTTGGTTTGTAACCAGATGCACTAGCGAATTTGTTTCTAACAATTTTGCTGGAAGATTAACTACCTTAATGTCAAACTGTACAGGAAATGATGAGGGTACAACAGATTGGTGATTTGAAATTAACTAAAGATCAATTGCACATACTCCAAACATCCAAAATTGTAATTTCTTTTTTCAGATGTCCCATATCGTAATGATGATCACCAATTCCAATATCCCGTTTCGAGGTAAGCTACCGCTTTTATTTCTTGAACCACTGGAGACGTAAAAAGAACTAGTGTACTTTTTAAAATTCATGAAATTTATTTCTGATTCAAGCAATCTGGTACTGTACGCTGCCTTTTGCGTAAAATAAATTGATAAACAAAAATTTTGGTATCACAACTTACTCAAAAATAAAAGTATAAACAAAAATATATTTTAGGGACGTATTCACCTTTTTAATTAGCATAATTTCAATGTCCTTTAAAACCAAACAAGCCATGGAAATATATTTACATATGATTCTATTCAGAATTTTTGATTTCCACGGAATTCCAGTTGTAGTGAAGCTTTGCGTGACTACTGCGGAGGTTTGCATTTCTCACATATTATCTGATTCTATACAGATTCCGAATTATCGTTCTACCGACTTATTGTTCATATACGACAGCGACATTTAATTTCAGCGAGAGCTCATTTTATCTGACAGCAAATCTAAAATGAACGTGATCTGCGTCAATATCGATATCTGGGATAAATAGAATACTTCACGTGGTGCATTTAATATTCAAATTACCACACGCAGGCTTGATTTCACAACTCGCATACGTAAATCTTTAGTAAGCAACTAGTTGCTCTCGGCTGCCATCGTTGGCGATATTTCACTGTGGTGTAGGAAAATGGCGACAGTACGAGGTACATTTAAAAGAAACCAGTAATTCTTCTAATGCCTGTCATGGTTCTTAATCTCAACTTCTAATGTATGCTTCTAATACTTGTATTACAAATTCAAATAGGACTTGCAGCATCTGAATCCCACAGAGTGGCAGTGGTACAAAATCCGATCGACTGGCAAGACTAGTCTTAATAATACCTATTTTTCTTTATAGCCCGCCTCTTTTTAGAAGATTGGCTATAATCATTCTATTGACGTACGTTCACCAATCATGAAGGATGTGTTCTTCCAGCACTTCTTTGGCCTTGTTTTTTTAGTTGGTACTTTTTTCCTTGCTTTTACAGAGACTGTGGACGCTTTTTTTTCAAAGAAACTTCTACAGGCTACTGTAATACTTTTTAAAAAACTTCCAGATTCCTCCTGCGTCGGTTTTTGCTGAGTCGAAATTGCTGACGTTTCGCCAATCATCCCGTTGCCTTCTTCAGTGCTTGACTGGAACTGGCTCGTATTTTACTCTGTACCTGCTTATATATTGTTTGAGGGGGGCGCTAATGAGTGGTATAAACACCATCTCGAATGACTGATTCTCAAATTGGTGACAGGTAGAGACCTGAGTCGCGGTTAAGATTGGTGGGTTGTTTATAAGTTTCTGTACACATCTGGATTTCTTTTTTCATTTCTTTCACTGCATTTGCTACGTTTTTCGGCGAAAAAACTGTATGTATACGTCGATATATCAACATTTCGAAAGCCTGGAGTTTTTGAAGTCATCTTCGTTCGTTGAAAAAATATATCATTTTAAGCCTGATGTTTATATCCGCTGGTATTTTCTTCGTGGATTATCAGCGACTTTGTCTTGTTAATATAAAATGTTAAGCCAACTGTTACTGACAATTCTTGCATTAGGTCTGCGCTGCTCTGCGGTACTATCAAAGTATCGCCTGCAGAACGGATACTATTAATGAGTTTACCGTTTACTCTGATTCCCGCTGTTTCTTTAGATGTAACATTTTCTCTGAGTAACAATTAAAAATTATAGAAAAGAGCACTTACTCTTTCAATTTTAAAATTCATTTCAGATGTCTTTGGTTCTAGCCTTCACTGGTCCTTTTTATCAAGCTTATGATATAAAAATATCTTTGTGAGACATGTTGAAAAAGGTCCAGACAAGTTGTTGTTTTTCCCATTAGTTAGTTATATCAAGATTTACATGTCTGTTTCAGATTTTGTTGCCTTATGTCTGCAAAGAGTTCCTTTATATATTCTTCCCATAGTGTAGTTTGCCTGTTATGTCTGCGATCTGCTTCCCTTCTTATCTGTAGTGTAGTTACTTGTATTTGTTTGCCTGATATTTCTTTTACTTTTTTTTGGACATTAAATATAGCTTTTTTGTAGTGGTATATATTGTATTTAGGAGGATATAACCGCCACAAGTACATTTTATAGAAAACTCTAATTATCTAGAAAAATATAGAAATATTTCCCCGTTTGATTAATGTTGTCATCTTATTACGATATTATATAAATTCTGTAA